TTATTACCTTCATTTGGGGAAGACGCTTCCCATCAGAGAGTCATCTCTTTGCTCGCGCGAAGCGGTCGGTTAAGAGTGCGCTCTTACAAAATTTCACTGCTACTTTCTCGCCTAATGTCAACGGCGGTCACGCTCCCGTAGTATTCCACGAAGATGCGACTCGTTTCGATTTCGTCGCCTTCGAAGTCCGTCACTAATGACCTGCCGTAACTGGTCGTGAGACCCCGACGGATTTCCGGGAAGCTCGACGAAAACGAAAGCGAGTGTTTTCCGAGCCGATGGATTCGTCAGCGAGTTAGAAAAACCGTTTACGAAACTTACACCACGTCGAAATAAATCCTTTCCCGAGTTTGAATATTGCAACCAATATTCGAGATAACTCCTGACGCGGATGCGTTTATAAAACTCAATATCGCTAATTATGTGTCCATTTTTGTATCACAAAGCGTTACCTAAATTGTCGAAAAATTGTCCTGACTCTTTCGTTTCTCATATCAGAGCCTTCGATAATTGTATATCGATCGAAATATAAGAGCTCGACGCCATTTTGGTTCTGCTATGGGCTGGGTTAAAAAATTTTTTCCAAAAATCCAAATTTTGAATGTGTCAGGACAATTCTTAGATGATCAGGAGTGATGTGTTAAAGTTTCGGACAGTTTGGTCTAATACCCTTAAAAAAAAAGTGTTGTATTCGAATCGACTGATTTGAAGGGGCTTTCACTTCACCTTAAGTCAAACTAAAATCTGTACTTGCTGTTATGTCTCGTACGGCTTCTACATAGCTGATTCGTTCCTGCTTAGAAAAAAAAACCGTCCCAGGTGTTTCGCGATATCTCAGTTTCCCGTTTTTTTCCATTTCCCGTCTCGAGTCACTATTCCACGAATCGTGACGAGTCGGGAGATGCGCGCGCCTGCGCGGTTCGTCGATCCAGGGCATTGAGGACGCGCCGAAGAAGATGCGGATGTGCTACGGGAGGAAGAAAAAAGTTTCCGTGGAGGCCGTGTAGGGGGCGCGCGCAGAATCGTGCCGTTCGATTCTGCTTTCACCGATTCTCGATCGCACCGACCGGCCCGGCGATCGTACTTCAGAGAACAGAAGGAATCGACGATGCGTGGAAAAACCTCGGACATGAAATCCACTCGTAATGGAGGTTACGCGATAGCCCTTGGCGCATCGCGACGTTTACTTCAGCTCGGCCCGATTTGTAAACCGGACATTTGCATATTCGGACATGGAATTAAATTACTCGGATGCTTTTTCTCTGCTTCATTAAGTTAAATTTAACTTTCGTATTCGAACGTTGCTTTCATCTTTCGGATCTGTCGAACGGTTAAATAGGAGCAAAGCAAATTTAAAAGTAATAATAGACATGTTGCATGTTGGAAACGTTTCTTTCTAGGTGGAGCTGAGAGCAGGAAAGAGGGATTTCTAGGTCGTCTTTATTCTTTTAACACTGGACAACCAAACCCGTCGAGACGATTTCGGGTATTCCGGCAAAGGCAATAAAATCCACCGGTTGTTGTTGCGTTAACGATACAAAAAAGACAATAAGTCCTCCAAATATCATCTATATTAACGATACATGGAGAGATTTGTAGGTCACCTTCATTCTTTTTCTCAGGGGAGGAAATGGTAAAACAAGCCGATGAAGTATTGCTTTCATCTTCGGTAACGGAAAACGTATTTCGGATGTAGGTTGCCTTGAATTTTAAAAAATACCACACGGCGGGAATACTGATTTCCAGGTAGAATTGAGAACTGTATATTTAAATTCACCCTGATGCAATTACTAATAATAATTGGAATTTCTCATAAGTTTTAGTATATTTTTCGCCTCGGTTCGAGACTTTTTTTTAGGTAAGTGGTTATCAAGGGAATGAAATGAGTAAGCTGGGAGTGGTAACTGAAAGTTGTGTATGTAAATCTACCGTGTATGTAGTAATGTCATCGATCAAGCGATACGATTCTCCTATCGCAAGAGACGAGGATAACCGGAGAAAGGATCATGTCCCACATGTAGAATGGCCTGGTCTGTTCGAAGATGACTGTTAAATTCCACGTCGCTTTCCTTCCGTCATTAGTTACTAATGTTAATTCGATTCAATTAGCAAGAAGCTGAGGGAACACCTTCGCCTGAAATCACTTTCCTTCCGTGAATAATAGTCCTTAAGAACTCCATTGCTATAGTGTATGTAATCATGTATTCCATAACTAACAAATTCACATGCCTCTTGCCAATTGAAACAATTTGGAAGACCGCCGAACGTTCTAACAATACCGATGTTCCGTGTATTTAATGTATCAGAAATCACCTCTGGTGAGTTTGTGGAAGAATTTTTTAATCTATTTTTGCCGTATGTATAAATGCCGATTTTAACGCCTTGGATGTATGTCGACGTTTCGTTCCTCCGACTTGTCCACTTTGTATATTCAAATTTAAATTATCTTCGTTTTTGTATAGGTTGTCATTTCGAGCGGCGGTGCAGATTCGGAGAAGACATTTGCATATTTCGGTAAGCTGATAGAGCGGCGAATTAAATGTTGAATCGCCAAGAGAGAGACGGTTCGGTTCGCAGAAGTAGGAACTGGTCGATTGTGCGGATACTCCCATGTTTTAACGCAGACACATCCCGTTCGAACGAACTCCGTGACCCAAAACTTTTTGCGCAAGCATTTTAAAAGGAAAAGAAGAAAGTGCTTCGCACGAAACTCCGCTTCTTTAGAGGTTTTGCACCGATCGGGACGACTGTTTCAAGGATGAAGAGACGTGGCAGCATTTCAGACAAGTTCATCGGTGTCGATTGTGTGTGGATTAACTTTTTCCACACTTAACAATTCTTAGGGCTCAGTAATAGTCGATTAATATTTTACACTCTCAACGATCGCAATACCTCAAAAAAAAAGTCAAGCGTTTTATGACGTGCACCGTTAAGAAAAATATTACCATCTTATAACATTTTTCCTGGAAGTTTTAATCAGACATGGTACACTAAGTTCATAATATATCTGCAATGAATTTATAAATCGTATTATAAATTCAGTACATGAGTGTACTCATTTTCAGATGCAATTTCACAAAATTGTGACGCGATGTCGTTAAATTATAAGTTCAGTTAGAAATTCCTAATAAATGTATACCGAATCACTTTTAGGACGTAAAATTTATAATTTCACTACAATTTTATGTAGTAAAAGCGCTTGAATATTGGGAATATTTCTAAGTTTAACAACGTTTTGAATCCGTTCCCAATGTCGGCGTCAAAATGGCGACCGTTGGAAGTTTAACAAGACTGCTTTACGATTTCTTGTGGGCTTACTCGAAGAGCTATCGGAGATGAAATTCCGTGAAATATTTCATTTACGAGTACGAGATATGACCTAATTCTCGCGAAAGCGCGGCTGCACGAAGTAAAAGCCATTAATCCCCCGCGGAGATGGCACTTCGGCCATCTTTAACGCGAGGGCGAAAGTATATGATACGCGAACGGTGGTCGCCATTCGCAATCTCCGATTTCTAGAAGTCCGGCACGTCCCCTTTGACAATGTCGAGAAATGACTTTCCTTCGAATAACCCGCCATCTTGACAACGCGGTCGGGTTTTGGGTTTCGCTCTCGGTTTCATGTCGTCGAACATGGCAAGAGATGATAAGCTGACGTGGCCGCCTTATACGTATTAATTTATATTCAACCAACGAGTATTTATTATTCATTTCTGCTGGTAAACTGAATATCAAACATCCTCGAAAAGGTACGATTCGAGAAACGATCCGGTCAAAGTGTGACTGTCTGAAGTAGGTCACGTTTTAAGTTTTGGTTTCGATTTCAGGACGTTCAATATGACCGAAGATGACGGAAACCTGCAAGATGGTACGAACCACGAAGTAGTATAAGAAAATCTAACGCCATGTATTGAAATCGTCTCCATTTTAGTGGTCTAAGATGTTCTGATGTTTCTGATCTAGTCCGAGAGCGCCTCTTCGATGAAATTTTGCAATTAAAGATTATCGTTTGCTAATGTGTCTGCTGGTCTTTATTGCGTTAAATTCATCACAGTTTGTATATCATCCACGGATCATCACCACTGTAGCCACTATAGTTGGTTCCGCATGACCGACGTTTTTTTACGAAGCGTCACTATAGTGACCCCCTTCATTCCAATGTATTCAAAAAGACAGATGAATATCGTATTCATATAAAATATGAGTACTCCCCGGACGAACTCTCCGTATAGGTAATACATCTCCGCATTCGACTCCGTAGTAGTTAAAGAATCAAAAGTAGTCCGGTCAAAGTGGGTCCGGCCTGGCCGAAAAGTCGAGCGAAGCAAGGGGCCTCGGGAGCGACCTACGGTTCCCAAATCTCGATCAGCACATCTAACCCGTTCCAGGAATACTCTAAATCGAATTCAGCACCAGGGAAAAGGGCGTCTTTAGAAATTGTCCAGTCAAAGTGCAACGACGAAAAGTCGGGCGAAACGAAGAGCCTCCAGAGTGGCCTGCGGTTCCTACATCACGACCAACACATCCAACCCGTTTCAGGAACACTATAAATCGAATTCAGTACCAGGGAAAATGGCGTCTTTATAAATTGTCCTGTCAAAGTGCAGCGGCGAAAAGTGGGTCCAGCCTGGCCGAAAAGTCGAACGAAACGAAGAGCCTCCAGAGTGGCCTGCGGTTCCTAAATCATGACCAACACATTCAAGCAGTTCCAGGAACACTATAAATCGAATTCAACGCCAGGGAAAAGAGCGTCTTTATAAATTGCCCGGTCAAAGTGCAATGACGAAAAGTGGGTCCGGCCTGGCCGAAAAGTCGGGCAAAACGAGGGGCCTCGGGAGTGGCCGGCAGGACGAGACGCTCGGTGAGCGCTCGCAACCGATTCCTCGGAGATCGGTGCTCGCGACGGCGAAGCGGGATGTCCGGTGGGGGCCCAGGGGCCCCGCCCGGTGCTCGCCTATAAAATCCCGCCAGGAGAATCGGTCCCAACCAGTCCAGATCGGTACGCAGAGATCCTCTTCGACGAGCGGCGGTCCGCTTTCGCACTCCAGTCCGTCCCTTGGTAAGACGAGATCATGAAGCTCCTCGTAGCAGTCGCGCTGATCGCCGCCGTGGTCTTCGCCGCCGAGCCGGCCAAGGAGGAGGAACGACCCAAGACGTTCAGGCGGCTCATCCCCGCGGACGTCCTTCGTGGTAAGGGCGAGCTCACAAGACAGCGACGCGGTCGAATTTGTTTCTTCGCGTAGAAAAAAAAAAAAAAAAGAAATGTCGATTCATCGACATCATCATTCATCGCTTGATTGGTTGATTGATTGATTGATTGATCGCTTGGTTAAGGTGATGTGAAAACGGCATCCGAAGGGTCAATCGTTTATTAAACTCTGTCACGATGGACGTCATTTTATAACAAAGGCGACGCACGTCGATCTTGGGTTCATCACAATTGGTTGTAATATACTTCTAAAACAGACATTACATCGCACGCCATTTTTTGACGTAAGATAACGTAAAGAGATATTGAGGAAATTTGAGTTTATAAATACTTGTCATTACCGAGATATGTTCGTGATCTCTTTCCATTGTGCTAAACAGTATGCATGGTAGTCAAATGTGCACAGATTTAAATTTAAGGTCTTGCAATGTTTTGTTCAACAGTATACTTATCTCGTGGAAATCATTGAAATTCCCTCTTGTCAAATTGACGCCTTAAGTCGCATGAGGCTAATATTTCTTTTGCTATTAATCTGACTCGTTGCCTTTTTAAAATCCGCTGAATTGTAAGATGATTTGAATGTTTCCAAGGAATTGAATTGAATCGGATAAATTGATGCTGTTGTGGAGGTGAAGCGACAATAAGGTGTCTCGTTTCATTTATGTAACTTGATTATAAATACGTGTAACAGAATTCTCGGTAGAATCCGTATGCTGTATTAGCGGGGTAGAAATTGTCCGATAATCCATCTTAATGACTGCAATATTAAGCTGAGGGTAATATACATGATGGAAAAGTGGTAATCACTGTAACCGAGTACTACCGTAGTGACTTGTATGCATACATTCATATTTCAATAAGTACCTGCATTGTTAAGGTCCTAATGCTTAACAGCTGTGGTTCAAATAAGGTTCAACAACTTTATTAGAGCTGAGAACTCTTCAAATACGTAAACGCAATAGAATCCAAAAATCTCTTGCAACAAATCTCTTCTCACTCAGTATCATGAATTTCTTGACATAGATGAACATATAAATATGCAAACACGGTACATGTACGAGTTTTTTTTTTAAGTACTCAAGTAATGTATTAAGTCGAATTATCGAGAATTATCGTAACTTCTGATAATTAATTCCATAATATTCTTGGATTCACCAGTCTGACTTGACGCGCTATATAATTTGGAGTTATTCTATTTTGTTCATTATCTAATGGAAATGATTATGCCGCATTTTCTGAAGATACAATATTAACTGTTTGCGAATGTTCAATTGTTAATAATGGAATAAACTTTGGGCGCAACATTAGCTCTTCCTGCGCGACTGGTGGCAAAAAGCAAGATGGCGGCCAAGAGGGGCGAAGAAAAAAAGAAAATAGGAAATGCCGGTCGCGTTCCTGATCACGAGATCGCGAGAAAGTCCAGTGCTGTAACTTGTCGCTTCTCGTGTGGCTTGCCGATAACTTCAAACTTGCTTGGTTCGGTTTTTCTCTTGCAACCTCGATAACGATCCATCGCGGTCATACCTAAAAAGTCATGGAGGAAACGAGCACGATTTTAGCATCACATAGTGAAATTAAATAAAAAAAAAAATGCACATAACATTCGTAGCATTTCATCACCATTCACTTAACAAATTCACGGTTTCAGGTTCGCTGAATTCGAATGCAATGTCGAAATTTCAATATTCGGAATGATCCGCCATTTTGGTGCCACAGTATATATATATGTGCTGTGGCGCTCTGTGTGATACCCGACGCGCTCAGTGGGACTCCGTTCTAAGTCGTCTCGTTCTTACGCCGCGACGCAAACAGTAGAACCCGGCGCGTTTTTCTAATCGATGCATTTGGTTTGATATTTTTTAATTAATTATTATAAATGAACTATGCATCATAGAAAAAAGTTATACAAGACTTTTCGACTCCATTTTCGGGAGGGATAGTAAACACCGGGCACGAATTCTGCTACACGCTGTATATTCTACGTCCATGGAATTTTTCGAACGCCACCTTTTCCGTTCGCGATGCTCTCACTTTGAAGGTTTCTAGTTTGAGCGGAGGCTGCTGATTTATGGAGGCGCTTTCTCATTGAAAAAACGACCGAAGGCTGTCCCTCGATTTTGCAAAATGAGTACATCTCCTGGGCTGACGACTATTCCTAACGTTCTTTCTCTTTTCTATTTTTCGAGAGGTTTCCTCTGGTGAAAGTCGGCATTGCGCTAATGGAGCGACCTGGAGCAAAATGTGCCCACGAACCTTCTCGAGATTATCCTTGTCATTCTGGATCATGCGATGACCTCCGATCGGCTTTTAATCGCCATGGCCTGGTTACATCTTGTTTCGTGTACCAGACCTAGATTTCTGTAAATGTCGAGCGTCTATGACGACCTCGTTGAGTCAGTTTAACCAGATACTTAAGAATTTTTGCAGACTTCCATTTACGTCTACGTGGGTTAACTCATTCGCGTGCAGACTCGACTGCCTATTATCGTGATTAGTCTGCTTCTTCCGGAATTACTTACTTTCTCGCGACTGCAAAGTAGTAGTCTCGGATTAATCGTACTAGTCTACTATTCCATCGTAAACGTCGGTTTAATTTAACGAAGGAACTTTTGGATGATTTTTACTTTACTTTCATGCATCGTACAGGTATATACAAACGAATAACATGCGGTACGTTTATATTAATGTTGAATATATTTGCTAGTGGATAAAATAAACGATAACGCATTATCGGGTTGAGATAGGGTAATTAATACGTGCAATATTTTACGTGGTATACGATTTATAGTACAATCAGGCCGTCGATACTAAGGAGGCTTCTTGACAAAATCTTTCTCAAGAGTGCAACTCGCGTATGACTCATTTAAATAAATCGCAATCGCGTGCTGCCATTTACTCAATGGTGAGACGTGCAACTCTAGTACATCGCGTAGTTGTTTTTCCTTAATTTCAAAACATTATTTTATTGTTTGGCCGCCGATACTAGGGCGGCTCCTTAACAATATCTTTCTAAAGAGTGCAATTCACGTATGACTGATTTAAATAAATCGCAACCGTGTGCTGCCGATTACTCAGCGGTGAGACGTGAAACTCTAGTACATCGTGTAGTTGTTTTTCCTTAATTTCAAAACCATTATTTTATTGTTTGGCCGCCGATACTAGGGCGGCTCCTTAACAATATCTTTCTGAAGAGTGCAATTCACGTATGACTGATTTAAATAAATCGCAACCGTGTGCTGCCGATTACTCTGCGGTGAGACGTGTAACTCTAGTACAGGGCGTAGTTGCACAAGCGTTCGCTCCGCGTGTGACAGTGAAAGTGTTTCTCCTTGAAATTTCTAGCGCAGCTGCATTTAACACTGTCGCGTGTCGTGGCATACAATTGAATTATCCCTATTGGGATCAGTTGTCGAACAATTGTGCATTGTTCTAACCCACCAGTGGCGCTGCGCAATCAGTGGAAAGTCATGCCTCCTAAGAGCTTTACGGCCGGTTTATCGCGGAGACAATTTCCCGTGATGACGATTTATCGCGGGGATAATTGGATTGCCGCAACATATCGTTTCCTCGATTACAGGACATGTCAAGTCGACGGGGACATAGCTTTCCATCGTTAACTGACTATTTACACTCGGGACACACCCTCGGCTCAACTCAAATGGTAGATTAGCGAAATGATTAGAGATACCAGCTACAAAGGAAAGCTCGAAGAATAAGCGTAATTCCGTCTTCCAAGTACAATCTAACGATAACGTGTCATTAACTAGAAAAATTGCTTCACGGAATCATTATACTTCCCACGGATTATTTTGAGAAAACGGATTTTATTATTAGAAAATGGCCAAATTCATGTATATTGAATTTTCATCTATAGAGTTTTTAATTTAAATCAATTCCGCTTTATACGTCCATGAGATTGAGAGGGATTGGACTTCGCTTCTCTTTCTTTTATCGCCATGAATAAGGGACAGAGAAAAAATCATGTGTTCACTGAAATTAAATATTTATACCGCCATTTTATTCCAGTTTCGTTACCTTCTTAGCCCAGCTTCCAACGCAAGGCTCTCCTTCTACCTCTCGCGATTAAGCTTTCGTTTTTGAATAAATCTGCAGTTCTATAAGAAAATATTTAATCTCGAAATATATTAAACGGTAGGATACATCGAAGTTTAATGCTCTCTCACTGCCATTGCATTATAGACGTGGGTGGCTCATTTTAGTCAGCGTAGACTTTCAATGTGCAATGGCGGACATGAATGCCTCCCCTGCAGATACGGCATCGCCTGTGCAGGATGGGAGGGCATTGATGTCTCCCAGTGTACAATGGCGGACATAAATGCCTCCCCTGCAGATACGGCATCGCCTGTGCAGGATGGGAGGGCATTGATGTCTCCCAGTGCACCGCCCATGCCTTCTTCTATACCCGTCACCCGAGAGATCGAACTTTCCTTCTAGCCATAAATATCCAGCAGTTTCGCAACGAGGCGCTATTTTATCGCAAGACATACTAAGTAGTATAATACTATTATGATATATCGATATAATAGTATTTATACTCGACGTTTCTCCGCCACCGTGGCGGGCCTCGGCGTGCAGACTTTCAATGCAAACCTATGCTTTCTTCCGCGTACCCGATACTCGAGATCGAACTTTCATTCTATCAATAAGAACCTCGGTTTCGTAACGAAGCACAATTTTATTACGAAATGTATGTTAAACAGTACATAACATCGTAACTCGATATTTCTCGCCAGCCGCGTTTCAGTTAGTCTCTCACAGGCTTTTACCGTAAGATCTGCGGCTTTATTCGGATTTCTACATCACGTCGGACTTTATCTTTTGAATAAAACTCATTTTGTCCCCAAAGGTTTTATTAATGATATTTTATTAAATGGTACATATCATTAGTCGATGTTTATTGTCAAAGCGACGAGGTTCAGTTCGTTCCTAACGGCAAGAAAAACAGTAATTCACAGTTGTAACAAAAAACATTACTTGCTTCGGTGAAACGCTTGAAAACGGGCCAACAAAGTTTCTTTGCAGTTATATAATTCACCGAGGCAACAGAGATTGCAGTCATTATGGCAACATTCTTTCCCAGCGACACCAAACTTCGTATACTATTCAATTGATTGAGAAGTAGTTATTTTTGTTTGTTATTACTGCATTACCGTACTAAGAGTAAAACTTTATCAGCGACACTGTCCTTTGCTAAGAGTGCAAACGTCTCTTTGTTTTCATGAGATCTTCGATGCAAAACGTGATATCTTCTATACTCCCATATCTCAAAGTCGAATTTTCACCCCTTAACAAAACTCATTTTCGTGACGGAGTATAATTTTATTACGAAACTTAATAAATAATACATGACAAAGCTATCGAGGTGCTGCGGCCCAGTTAAGCTCTCACAGACTTTCAATCTAAAGACGCTTGTCCACTGGCAAGTAAAATTTGGTTGGATATTTATTTAATTAACGGACCGAAGTTTGGCGTAAAGTATTCGGTGTCGTTCGCGCATGCTTTTAAATGTATTTGGCGCGAAACTCTACCGAGTTTCCTGATTCTGAGAGAAGTTTCATAAACGAGACCTCTCAGCCGCCACTTTCGACCCGCGGCTTCTTCCGTGTTCCCGTATCTCTAGATCAGACTTTCATCCTTCCCGTTCTCTCTTTCTTTGCAGACTTCCCGGGCGTCTGCTTCGCCTCGACCAAATGCGCGACCGTGGAGCCTGGCAAGTCCTGGGAACTTTCACCGTTCTGCGGCCGCTCGACCTGCGTGCCCGCCGACGACAACTCCGGCCGGCTCTTCGAGCTCGTTGAGGACTGCGGCCCCCTGCCGAAGGCCAACCCCAAGTGCAAGCTCTCCGACAAGACCAACAAGACCGCCAGCTTCCCCGAGTGCTGTCCGAGCTTCGAGTGCGAGGACGGCGCCAAGCTGGAGTACCCAGAGATCCCGACGCTGCCGCCACCTGTCGACGAGTTGGCCAAGCCCGAAGCGTCCTCGACGGCCAAGCCTTAAACCTCGCCCGGTTCCACTTTTCATCCCTTCGAACCAAATGTTCTCCCCTCTCCCTCCCCCGCCAACGTCCCTGAAGTCCGAATACCCTCTCAAGGTGACGCCCAGTTTTTTCTTTTCTTTTCATCTGAAAATCTTTCCTCCTCCCTTTTTTTGCTTGCCGCACCCACTGTACGACCTCGGCATAACGGAACTCGACTTCGCCGGTTTCTTATTCGTGACGTTGGCTTTGATGTGTCACGAATAAGAGGTTTCTCCGTTCCTCCGGAGCTTTATCCCTATGTTAACACCTTTATCTACCGGAAGCCTGTTAATTGGCTTTTTTCCGATACCTGTGGTCGCATTTTTACCCAAATTCATTGCTGGGTAACGTGTTAACTGCCGAGGGCTTATATTAGCTGGAGACGCGTTATAGAAAACTCGCTGACGGGGACGACGACTTCTTTTTTCGATGCCGAGTGATCTACATCTGGGTGTTCCAAGTGTAGAACTCGTATTCTACAATTCGTGCATTTGGTTCTCCAGAATCGCCGGATTCGAAGAGTCGGGAGTTGCCGCATCCGTCCGCTAGGAGGAGATTTCACAGCTTGAGGTCTACGAATAAGAGATCGGTTATTGGACGCGTTGGTGGTGTGGTAAAATTTGAAAGACCGGCAGAAGATTCCACAAAATTAGAGAAGGCTCTTAAACGTACCTGGGAAGGATCTGGCGAAACGTCGAAACTGGAAATAACTGATCTTTGCGTGGAACTCTCTCATTGAGGAGTCGCGCTGAATACTCTAATCGTAATTGGCGCCAGTGTACTGGAACTAGTACTTTTTCCTATTCCTGCGATTAAATGCTCTCTAACGGTATCCAATCAATGATAGGTCCCTAGAGGTTTAATATTTAGTCGCGACATAATCCTGGATCTGGATAATGTCCGTTATACATCTTAGACAAGGATGGTATTCCCGCCTCGAATGATGTTTTCGCAGTGAATTCTGATAAATGGCGTTCTCTAAATCGAGCTGTAGAAGCAGTCGCTAAACGGCAAGATGCATACAGAACTAACATCACCCGAACGAGGCCACGCCGTTTCCCTTCACCGTTCAATGTGACTTACTCCCGTGTATGTTCCAGATAAGTAGCGAGTTGTCCATAAAATTCAGATCACGCCCTTGTTTTTTCCTTTCTTCTCGCCCGACTCGCCAGAGACCTCTCTCGAGTATATTCGAAACTATACCTCCTGGCGATTGAATACCTACTATCCGTTCTTCTTGGTTTTCCTTTTTTTTTTCTTTTTTTTTCCTCTTCATTATAGTTTGCGGCGTCAATTGATTTGAATATTGGCACGTCGTCCTTAACAAACTGCGGTAATTGTTTAACGTTAATAATGGGAATAAGATTCCCTTACCATTGCTCTGAAAAAAGGTTGAGATCATTTCTGAGATTTTCCCACGCTTTGGGATCGATTTGCGTATTATTCTAAATATGGTAATTTTGATTAATGAACGAGCGCGGTTCGCATTATTTGCCAAACAACGAACGGTGCCCGTTGATTAGTTAACGTTTACCATTATTAGAAACACGACTCGCTATCTAAGCTTCGCTTTGAATAAGGATCTCTGGATTGTTTTCAGTGTGCGCTAGTTGCACGACTTCGTCATTGACCTTGTGGAATCAGTGCGAGATTCTTCGACTCTTTAGGATTGATTAGCACGCGACTGTAAATTGCCGCTTCGAACTTGTTAATTGTAAAATGGAAAATGTCGTCTTTGTGGCGTTTCCTTGTCGCTTAATCGATCGCTGTAACCTCCGTCCTCGATGCAAAAGACGCCCGCGCGCGTTATCGCGACCATGTGTGATTGTAACTACTATGTGATTAAATTAATTGTATTTAATGTCACTGTGTTAAGCCCTTCACTTGCAGTCCTGCGTAACGAATTTCGAACGCGTGTTGCGCCTTGCGATATTTTTAACCCACGACCGGGAATCCCAGAGACAAGTCGCCAGTTAATTCCTGTAATGAGATTTCACCATGAGTCAGAGCTTCCACGAGCGGCAGAAAATTTACATGCATACAAAATGGTGAAACGTAAAAGAAATATATCGAGTTGAGGCATAAGTTCGTGCGGCCTTTTTTAATAATTTGAACGGGGAAACCCGCACGTACTTATATGCACTAACCTAATAGTAAAACCTGGAGATGATTTCGGCACTTTGAGGCCGAAACCAAGAGCAATATAATTTTGAGGCTTCTCAAATATATTCTTTTGACCTGCTCTACTTATCCCACAACTATTGCAAGGTAGGAATAATTTCAGATTATATGAAGATTTGCCTACATACTGTTCTTGGTAAATCTTCCTTCCCTAGAGTTTTCGAGCATTATATAGGTGAGAATTCTTATACCATTTAATCGACAGCATTAACTGCATCGACATAACGTCATATTAACTATATCATAGTAGTTAGGCCAGGCCCCGTAAATGCATCAAGGGTCACATAAAACGCGACGCGTCAACGCGCCGAGGATGAACAGCCAATCAGAACTACGCTAAATCACGTGATCACTTCCGTTGCTGTTCTGATTGGTTATTCAGTCTCGACGCGTTGACGCGTCGCGCTAGTGCCACGCAGATGTGACACCGACGCGCACAGCGGGACTCCGACCTTACACCACTACTTTTAAATTAAAAAAAAATAGCATGGCAAGGTAAGAAATAATAATTTCTAAACGATCGAACTCCTAGGTTCCTGTTGGCTGTCCTTCGTACAAGTTATGTCATCAACTTTGCGGAACTTCCTGACATCTATGACAAGGTCGGCAAAAAGCCCTGTGGTTTCTTGCCTTGTACTTTTGAACGGACCGCCGGTGCTCATTGTATACTCGATCTCTTTACGTCAATCATTCGTTTATAACCATTTATAACAAAATATAGCGTCACTACATGCACTATCACACGAGGGGAAAGGTAGTCGTTTAGAAAGGTGACTCCTTAAAGGATAACAAGTTCATGCATTTTGGATTACATGGAACCAGTTTTTTAACCCGAATGAAGTATATACATATATAAGCGATGATTACTTAAAACATCCAAAATCTCACATCCGCGTTTCTTAAACATCTGTCTAACGTGAATAGTATAACATAAGTCACACTTCCTTGTTTACAATTTTCAAGTTAACATATTATATCAATCTTGTTAATAAGAAATTCAATTTATTTCGTCCAAATTTGAGTATACCAAACCCGAACACTTGGAACTGGTGATTCATTGCACTTTCACATTAGGCAACGCCCTTTTTCACCTTGCTTTTATTTGCCTCCAGACGAACGATATTTTTTTCTTATTTGACCACGTCAAGGCTGGCTAGTCACTTGAATTACAATTACTTAATTCGAGTCGCATGTCCTCTTTTTACTGTTACTTCCGTCTCGGCGATGATCCAATTTCTTGCCTACCTTCTATACTCTAGTTAGACAAGAAGATAAGAATAAATGAAAACTGATTCATCCGTACGAATTATGAGTTGAGTTTTAATAAACGTATCAACAGTGACGCATAATTGAGTATGAAGGCAAACATTCATGGACGTGCTGTGAAATTATTTTACATGGCATTTATAAACGCGTTAAGCATAAAAGACTATCATTTTCATTCAAGGTAAGGTCAAAGTCGCATTGTCTAACATGTCGAAGTATTTAACTTTTTCTTTCATTCAAGTGTAGTCTTTTGATGTAACACAAAGCAAGTCGCGTAACATTTCCGGTTTTGAATTCAGTGTAAATGTCATAAAAAGGAAGGTCGATAAAGCTGATACGAATTAGCCATTTTTTTAAATTATCCGTGAAAATCAATTTTGTGTGGCACCTGTTACTTTGCAGACCAAGGAGCTCAGTAGAAGGGAACACGTAGCGACTTTAACACTAAATAAAAATCACATCTTTATTAGATAACTTACTAGATTATTTATTACAATTATCTTAGATGTTTAATCTGTAATGCCAGAATAATCGTATATCATAAATATGTTATTATAGTTGTTTATATCAAATATAATTAGATCTCCATGATTGACAAGAAAGCAATTACCATACTGCTTAATGAAAAGAACGGTGAACTGTTTTATTATGTGGGCTGTAATTAATCACCACCCATGGTTTATTTCTTAAAGTCATAAACAGTTTTATATAATATAGAATGTATGTACAATATAATACATAACGTGTTCAAATATAATATTACATTTGCATGCAATAAATATTGAATTTTAGCACACGCATTACCGGGAGTAATACTTGGACATTGTCTCTAGTTATTAACGAATCCATTTAATATCCATACTTGTCATTCAAACTTGTCTTTCCATCACCACTTTGATCTTGCGGTGGAACCCACATTGAATAATCTTCCCTGTACATATCTTTTTCATACGCTTTTTTTAATTCAATTTCAGCTTTCTTCAACTTTTGCTGATTTCTCTTTAAATTACGTTTCTTCCTTTTCTCCAAGTCCTTTTCATTCTTTTCTTCGTTTACCATTTCTTCATCTTCGCCTTCTTTCTTTGAAACGTTACCTTGTGTATCGGTATCAGTACTCTTGCCTTCAATAGGGCTGTCCTTAGGAGTATTATCTTCCTTATCTTTGTCTTTTTTCTTAGAATTTGTCACTGATTCCGTGTCGGTAATTACGCTGCTAGATGATCCCTTGTGCCTTCTTTCATTACCTTGTTCTTTAACAGAACCTTTATTCTTTACAGAAATGTTTGTCTTTGAATCCTCGAGTATTACCTGAGGTTTCAATGGAGGCAAATTAGCGGGCTTAGCAATGTTGACCAGTTTAATTAAACTTGCTTCTTCTTTTCGTAAATTTTGTAATTCTGATTTCATTTTGATGATGTCGCTCTTAGTTAAAACAGAAGAACTTAAATTGGACATGAAGGCATCCAATGCATCTTCATTTGTATCTTCTGCTGCACTATTCTTCAGTTTTTCAGAAGCTCGCAATGACTTTTCAATTTTTAATATTTCCTTGGTAACTTTTTCATGTTTTTCGAGCTGAAATTAAAGTGCTCACAATTAAAAACGTTTGTTATTTAAAATTGAATTTTAATGTCTACTGACTTGAATCGATTTAAGTAATGTTTCATAATTGTAACCAAAGGGTAAGCATATATACATTGGAAAGTATTACTATTTTAAAAAGAATTAGCACTTAATTTTCCAAAGTAGAGGTAAAATGTCAAATTATTTACCAAAGTAGTATAGGTTTCTACTGTACTATCAAGTTTCCCAGCCATTCTCATTCTTTGAGCACGTTTTTTCTCTACGGTTCCAGTTCTATCCAAGAAATTGTCTTCATCAGAGTCGTAATAATCCTCTTCCTCCCAGTTCCTAGTTTTTCTCTTCCTGGCTTCTACATTCATACATTTTAATGTTATTAGTTTGTGTCATTAAAGAATAAACAATTTGTATTTGAATTAATTAATGTATAAATGATCTAATACTTTTGTGAGATGTATCAGATATTTACATGATAGATTTTTTATAAACTCGCATGTTTATAGAAATTAGTATAAATAATTCAAATTAAATAATTACCATGATTAGCCTGTCTTAACAATCCATGTCTGTCCAATACCCTACATGCTTCCAAAGCACACTGAATAACAGATTCTTTCTTTTTTCCTTTGACAAGTGCTTCGACTCTTGTAGACCTACCCGTAGTACTGTCTATTGGTAAACTGAAATTAACAAAGATATAATGGTACAAAGATCCTCAAAATATTTCTAACAAAGTTTAGTCTGGCTTAATAAAATTTATAGTTGAAAATTAAAATGGATAATTATAGTTGTAATCTTTACATACTCTATCCAACACAAAAATTGCCCAATACTTCGTTCTTCTGTTTGATACTGTAATTCGTAGCCCTCTCGTTCAAACCAACCTCTTAACGTCTTTTTAGGATCATCTAAAAATAGCTCCTCATTATTGGTAGCTGCATAGGGATTTTCTGTCAAATCTGTTTCTTCGTCCGCATCTTCTCCCATTCCCCAATCAATTCCTTCATTTTCTTCCTTTTCTCTCTTTTCTTTTTCCTTTTCCTCCTCTTCTAATTCTTGAAGCTTTTCGACTCTTTCACGCTCTTCCAATTCTACTCTTCTCTGTTCCTAAAGTATTACAGTATGTTAATTCCAAATAAATGATAATTTTATTCATGGCATACAATCGATAAAAATCAAATTTACTTTTAGTTCAGCAACGGAGAGATTAGATTCCTCTTCCTCATCGTCTGGTGGTGACTGCAGAATAAATTTTCTTTGACTACAGCCAAATTTAATCATGTGACCGCCTTTCAATCTGACGCCCACATTAGGTCTTATACGATATCCATTCCAAAATGTTCCATGAGTACTTCCAAGGTCAAATAAATAAAATCCTTTCTCATTCTTTTCGTCAGGTACCAGCCGATACTGAATAACTGCATGAAATCTTGAAATCGTTGGATGGGCTAAAGATACATCACAGGTTGTATAACGTCCAAAGAGCCAGTAACTTTTCTTTGTTAAATCTATTGTATCTATAATCATTCCTGACTTCAATACTTCTAACTTATATTCTCCTTCGGGTCGTCCACCCCAGGGTGGTTCTTTGTAGGGTATTGGCAGTTGTTTCTCTTTTGGAACGTCTACTAATGGTTCAGTGTAACCATCTCCTTGTGTAAGAGCCTCATTTAATTCCGGCATTTCATCTATGTGACTTTGTACTTGTTCTTCATGATGATGTACAGCCGAAGAAGAAGAAGCAGCAACGTTAGGAACTACTTTTAATTTTGTACATTTTCCTTTCCTCGGCCCGATTAACAAGGCTGGTTTTTTGAATTGTTCTTGACATAATTCTTTACACTCATTTTGATTATCTTCTTCATTTTTTTTAACAGAATGTTCGGCTGCTTGACAAGTGCCACTATCACTCGGAATCCTTTCTATTTTAATATCAGAAGTCTTTTCAGCTACATCTAATTCATTCCTCTTTATGATATCTTTATCCGACCTTTTATTTTTGACATCACTGCGGTCAGTTTCGATTGCTTCCGTTTCAATGTCATTGTTAAAACTTGTGTTAGATATCTCACCAGTGCCGTCATTGTAATCCTTTTTAGCAACTTCTTTTACATTATTTTCAATATCTTTATTTGATGTTTCGTTTGTATTCTCATTACTTGCATCTGACAGACTACATTCATCTGCATTGTGTACTTTGATCTCATTATTTCTTTCTTCAGGCATGATATTATTTGAACAAATGTCTTGCTCAATATTCATGATCGTGGATAAACACTTCTTGAAAAGTGCAATTTTACAATATCCCAACAATCACATTAATTAAACCTATGTATTTTATAACCTCAACTTCGCACCAGTTTATTTATTTTCTACGTTTCGCATCGTTTATAGCGAGTTGATATTTCATTCAACTTTGAGCCAGAAATGAGTTGGGAGATTGCTCACGGGCTGGTCGCGCGACAAGTCATGTGCTGCCTTCGGTACAGAATGCGGGCGGCTCGCATACTTGCCACCTGATCTCCCCCAATGGCCGCCCAACTCATCTCTGTGATAACAAACACCGTTTAACATCTTTTAACATCACTTACCAACAAGTCTAGCAAGTTCTACAGAGACTCATGACTTGAAAAAAAAAAAAATCCAAGCAAGTAAAGGCCCAAGCCCAGTAAATCCGAATTTAAGTGTCGATGGATATACTCGGGATCGAATTTGCATTAATTATAAATGCGATGAAAACATGCGATTTACGGAATCCAGACCCGATAAATTCCGGATTTAGGAGTACGACGAAGACGTAGTCAATGTAAACTCGGTGTTAACCAACAGAGATGAGTTGGGAGATTGCTCACGGAAAGGATCGTGAGATCGCATCCTGTGCTGCCCTCTGGTTTCGTACGTTAGCTTTCACCGTTTTTTGCCCCCAAGGGCGGCGCAACGAAGTTCTGATAGGAGTTCGCGCACTCACGATGGCGGTATCATCTACCAGTCGCCGTTGGCGGCTCACGTATTCGTGATGGTAATACCATGCGGCAGTTGACAGTGGTGGCTTACCTACGCTTACCGATACTGCTCGCTTTTGATGGCAAGGGAAGAACACTCGTGACGCTCCATATGACTTTATCTACTTATCTACTACTATTAAGTACATTGTTGCCTCGAAGTCGACGCGATGCGGAGCTTTGGGGCACGCGTCGGTGTCGCGTACGGAATTCTCATGCAGCGAATCTGCGTGAGTGCGATCGCTCCTAGAAATCTTCGCGCGTCCCAACCAGCCAAGCGCCAAGCTACGGGTCGAGATGTTGAATATATGTGCGTTCGGCGCTACACTCGACGAGTATGCGTGAGAGTCGAATACTGCGAAAAATCCTCCCGAGGCTTATCTAACTGCGGATATAAGCCGCGTCATTTGGCGTATGATTTTTACATTTCCCTACTAGCGTTATCGAGCGTTTTTAAACCGTTTTTTTAGCGTTAACGAGCGTTTTTCAACCGGTTTCGAGTGTTTTTAGAGTGTTTTCGAGCGTTTTTCGAGAGTTTTCGAGCGTTTTCGAACGTTTTCGAGCGTTATCGAGGGGTTTCGAGCGTTTCCCGATCATTTTCAGACTGGTTTCGAGCGTGTTCAAGCGTTATCGAGCGTTTTTCGACCGTTTTTGAACGTTTTCGATCGTTTTTCAACGAAAGAAACGTTTAAAAACGCTCGATAACTCTAGTAGGGAAATGTAAAAATCATGCGCGAAATGACTCGGCTTATATCCGCAGTTAGGTAAGCTTCGGGGGGATTTTTCGCAGTTTTCGAGTCTCACGCATACTCGTCGAGTGTAGCGCCGAATGCACACATACTCAGCGTCTCGACCCGTAGCTTGGCGCTTGACTGGTTGGGACGCGCAAAGATTTCTAGGAGCGATCGCACTCACGCAGATTCGCTGCATGAGAATTCCGTACGCGACACCGACGCGTGCCCCAAAGCTCCGCATCACGTCGACTTCGAGGCAACAATGTACTTAATAGTAGTAGATAAGTAGATAAAGTCATATGGAGCGTCACGAGTGTTCTTCCCTTGCCATCAAAAGCGAGCAGTGTCGGTAAGCGTAGGTAAGCCACCACTGTCAACTGTCGCATGGTATACCATCACGAGTACGTGAGCCGCCAATGGCGACTGGTAGATGGTACCGCCATCGTGAGTGCGCGAGCTCCTATCAGAAATTCGTTGCGCCGCCCATGGGGGCAAAACTATGAAAGCTAACGTACGAAACCAGAAAGCAGCACAGCATGCGATCCCACGATTCTGCCCGTAAGCAATCTCCCAACTCATCTCTGTTAACCAATGCCGCAAACTTATTGAATTTCTTGTTTACATTTAACCTTTAAACTAACCTGTACAAAGTTTTGAGAATTAATAATTTTAGATATTATGACAAAAGGGGGCATCATTTTAACATTCGTCCGAAATATAAAGACTTCCAGTAAAGCTGCAGCATTACCACCGGGTAGTGTCATGTACGTTTTTGATAGAAAAGCAAAAGTGTTGCAAAAGGAACGAGCCGCAAGGGCGCCTGACGTTGAATTATTTGACTACGTTAAAGATGAAGTGGGTTATAGGCTAGCAGACAGAGTTTTTGATATAAAAAGAAAATTTAAAAAAGTCCTTGACTTAGGTTGTGGCCGTGGTCATGTCTCGAAACATTTATTAAATGAATCCGTAGAAGAACTTATGTTAACGGACACATGTTCGAAGATGTTGGAACAAGCCAAAACTACAGATGGAATTAAGGTTGAAAGAAGAGTCATTGACGAAGAAGAGTTACCTTTTGATTCTAGTACTTTTGATATGGTTATTAGTTGTCTCAGTCTTCACTGGGTTAATGATCTTCCGGGTTGTTTTAGTAAAATTATGAATATACTAAAAAATGATGGGGTTTTTATGGCAGCTATTTTTGGTGGAGATACATTATATGAATTAAGGTAAGGAATAAAAAATGATATTAATCTGCTTATTCAGTTTCCTCTTTACACGTTTTTTTTTTCTCAGGAGTTCCTTACAATTAGCAGAGTTGGAAAGGGATGGTGGAATTTCACCACATATTTCCCCTTTTACTGAAATTAGAGATATTGGAAGTTTAATGACAAGAGCTGGGTATAACATGTTGACCATCGATACCGATGAGATTGTCATTGGATTCCCTTCCATGTTTGAGCTACTATGGGATGTAAAAGGTAAATTTCTAGATATACTAACTTTTTGGTTCAAATTTTAATTAATGAAAGTTGCTGATCTTAGGTTTAAGAGACTTTTCATTGACACGTAATATTAATTTCTTATTGTTTGTTACCTAGGAATGGGTGAAAATAACGCATCAAGAAATCGTAAGCTGCATTTAAACAGGGACACGCTTTTAGCTGCTGCTGCCATTTATAGTCAATTATATGGCAAAGTAAAGAAAGATGGATCACGTTATATTCCTGCAACATTTCAAATAATTTATATGCTGGGTTGGAAACCCGACAAGTCACAACCACAGCCATTACAACGTGGAACTGGGGAAGTATCATTGAAGGACTTGTATAAACTTGATCAAATAATTAAAGAAACAAAAAAAGTTCCACTTGGAGATGATGATAAATAGTATACATTTATTATTAGAGTAGTAAGGAGATGTATATAATGCATATAATTAAAAATATAATTTATTTGAAGGTATGTATCGCTTCACCCATAAAAAATGTAAATGTTTTATTGATACAGTTCTGTGTGTTTTGTAAAAACGCAGTGTTCTGAGTTGATCCAACATGGAAAACAATAGATTCGAATAGTAAATATATTAATCAGAGACTTGTGATAATGACACGTAAACTATCAAATTCAAAGATTTTACCATGCAATTAAATATATCATTTTTATGCATATATGTATTTATACATACATGTAGGCTCATGTAATTGAAAACGTAAGTATCTTAAAAAATAATAACCATCCTTCTCTAATTTTTTTAGACAAAATTGTGCTGTACAGTTACTGGGCACTGTTTACCTAACACACCATATATCCTTTGTTTAATGGAATTAAAAAATTAATTTATCTAACTTTAACTATTTTTTGTTTGAGTTATCTTTGTGTTCTATTATTCCTTTATCTGCAAGATCTGGAATTTCTACAGCTAACCATGGTCCCAACTGTAATTGATAAAAAAGTATAAATCAAAGAAATGGGAAATTAAAAATATTAATCACAAACTGAATCGGTCAGTTACTTACACCTAGGGCCATTGCATGTGCAATTCCAAATTTAGGTACATTTCTGGCCCAAAGAGGTTTAAAATGATCTGTTAAACAAATCTTTCCTCCTCTATACATCTTCGCAGTTTTTCCATCTAATTCTGGCAGTGCAATTTCAGGAGCCGTTACTGGATACGTTACTGGTATCTAAAAATTTGTAATAAAGATTATTACACCCTGATATTATTTATATTTTATAGTATGTCGATGAATTAAGAATTGCTTACATCGAATTCAATATCAAATTCATACTTCAGGAAATTGTGAATGTACCAACATTTACCAAACCAACGTGTGCCCTGCTTATTAGATTCCAACCGGAACCAGTCATTATCTGCTGCTTTATTATTCTGTACATACTGAAAACACGACGCAGATATTATTTTTTTCAAAAATATATTTTATTTCTATCGGTACCAAGATTAATTTAGATTGTTCAATATAGCTGAGGATTTCATTGAAGTATAAGAATGCTGTCAAACATATGGTGAGATAATTTTGAAATACTTCTATAGAAAGTTTGTTCTTATACCTTAATTAAAGACTGGTACTCTTCTTTCAATCTTTGTACCCATAAATCTTTGTCGCGAGGCCCTGCCTTCGTTTGCAATAAAGGAATATTGCTTACCGACGACTCGTCCACCATATTTTATAATAAATCGTCAAGGGTGTTGAATTGTAGATTTCATCCGAATTAAAACATTACATAGATATATTTACTTGTCACGTTAAATCCTACAGATCGTTTACACCGGAAAGAGTTTCTACACGAGTTTGTACCGAATCAAATCTCGATGAATCGTGGTCTTTTATTGGTTCATATCTAGACAGAATCTATGCATATGATTGGTCAATGCTTTTAATCACGTGATTAGCTGACGAATCATTACCATGACCATTAACTTTTCACAGCAGCGCCATAACCTTAAACTTTGGATACCTAGTACCTGACCTTCGTGTAAGTTTCCCCTCTTCCTTGTTACTTTGTCCTAATCTCGCGGTTAACGCAAGTGCTTGTGCGCCCAAACCTAAAGAGTACTTTTCAGTACTTTTTAACATAGAGTGTCTAGATCGAATTGTACTAGAGTGGCGACTGTATTGTACCTGTGTTGCAGTAGCGTGCTTCATTTTCCTAAAATACAACGGCGACAGACGGTGTACTGGAAATTATATGTCTGGGATGGAGCTTCACAATCGGCGGCTTTTTAATCTGGTTTGAAGAGAAAAATGTCAGCTAGGTGTCGGCGCCTCACGAGGCTACAGTTGACAATTCACTGATTCAACGAATCGCAGCCGTACGACGCCCGATGACCAATTATGATTTCTTGACTGCCAGGTGGTTGTAATTCTAATTACGACATGGCATCTCGCAGGTGAGCCACGTTTTTACGCTACCAAAAAAAAACTAATTATCATAATTCACGGACACTCGGCGGATAGCCGGACTCCTAACCACATTTATCTGCTTAAATAGGATGAGTCCAGTAACAGGTGAGTTTTTAATGGTTCGGATAAATGATAACTTTGATTTGAGTAATTCTGAACAGGAGCAAATCACCGCCTCATTATTATCTAACCTTCGTTTAAATGGATGGCTCAAACAAATAAAATTCTTTGTCGTAACATCTTTACTTTTCGTGCTACACATGATAGATAGAAAAAAAGAAACATCGAAGTATACAAAGAGAATTGATTACTTTAGACAGCGGGCGCGGCACTCTGAAATTTGAACATTTAGTTCGATCATGAAAACTGTTTAATTATGTTGGAGTGGGGTATTATAATACCGAGAAATAATCCATCAGGGCCGTCTAAGTATACATATTTTAGAGACTATGACTTTAATTTGTTATTTTGTAAAATTAGACATTTTGATTGATATCTGTTAGAATAGGATCATTAATCGGGTATGTTTGTGTTCATAAGAAATTTATCCATGTTATGGATTTTTTTTAGAAATGTAAGAATGAACACTACATGTCGATTATTTTTGCATTGAAAACATAGACTTTGTTTTTGTTAGGATACAATTATACCTTCCCATTCTTAATGTAGTTACATTTCGACTTATTTTTATCAGCAAAGTACTTTTTTAAGCGACGGAGTATAGTTGTCAAAATTTCTTACTTTATGTTCTTCTTCTTAATATGTATATTATAAATATGTATGCTCAAAATGAATCATTTAAAAATGGGAGAAGCTGAGGCATTTATTTAATATTTAGAAGATATGTCATGAATTGTTAATTTATATTGCTGTTATTGCAGATGGTTTCATCCAAACATATCTGGCTTAGAAGCAGAACGTTTATTAATGGAACGTGGCTATGATAGTTCTTTTCTGGCACGTCCAAGTTCCTCTAATCCTGGTGACTTCACATTATCTGTCAGGTGTGTTAATTTGTGCCATCTTAATTTTACATTACAGTTACATTTTTTCTTGACTAGTGAAATTTTAAACAATTCTTTGCATAACTCTATGATTTTAGGCGAAATGGTGAAGTAACACATATTAAGATTCAAAATACAGGAGACTTCTATGATCTTTACGGCGGTGAAAAGTTTGCAACACTGTCCGAGTTAGTACAGTTCTATATGGAAAACGGAGGACAACTTCGAGAGAAAAATGGTGAAGTTATAGAATTAAAATATCCTCTGAACTGTGCTGATCCAACAACAGAAAGGTACAAAGCTGTTAATGGAAACGTAAAATGGCAATATTAAGTATAGTATAATTCGTAACATTTAAACCAGTATAGGTAAACATTGAAACTTTTTTTATTGGTTTTTCAAAAATAAAAATCATTACCCAAAGTAGTTAATAACTTAAAAATATTGATGATTTTCTAAGTGGGGAGAAATTAAGTTTAATAGAGAAAAAAGAATTATTACCAACTTTTAAAATTCCCATAGTTGTCATGCAACATCTTAACGTCAATTCTAGTTTCATTGTTAAATTGTAAATTATACGTTTAAAGTGGTGTTTCTTATTAGTAAAATATGGTAAAGGTGGTTCCATGGCCATTTGTCAGCAAAGGAGGCAGAACGGTTAATGCTAGAACGAGGCAAAAATGGATCCTTCCTCGTACGTGAATCCCAAAGTAAACCTGGTGATTTTGTGCTGTCTGTGCGTACGGATGATCGTGTGACCCACGTCATGATTCGATCTCAAGTTAGTCATATTGATATAGCAAGAAGGTTTAATAATATCAAAAAAGCTGATAAACAGTGGTTTCATTGACTCATCTTGTAGGATAACAAATATGATGTCGGGGGTGGAGAAAAATTCGATAGTCTCAGTGATCTTATAGAACACTACAAACGTAATCCAATGGTGGAAACAAGTGGCAGTGTTGTTCATCTTCGGTGAGCATGAGTTTGGTTTAACGGTAACATTGAGATTTTAACTTGTGTTGCCTTTTCATTAAGTTTGATATTCTGTTTTACGTAAGAATTAGTCATATGTAAGTACTAGCCATTAAATTTACTGTATTTTAAAAATTAATGTACTGTAATATATACAGGCAACCATTCAATGCAACGCGCATAAATGCCAGTGGTATCGAGAGTAGAGTCAGACAATTGCACAAAGAAAATGGCTGTTCCAATGGTTGGTTATGCTGGAATGGTGCCACTGGTAGCAACGAGGCGGGTGCAGGTCGTGGAAAAGGAAAAGCTGGTTTTTGGGAAGAATTTGAATCGCTACAGCAACTTGAGTGCCGTCACTTATTCTCTAGAAAGGAGGGCTTACGCCCAGAAAATCGAGCAAAAAATCGCTATAAGAACATCTTACCTTGTAAGTTTTTCTTCCATAAGAGGAATACCAAAGAGATTCGTCATCACGACGTACGTTCAAAAGGTCACAATGGTATTCTAATTTCGGTACTTCTAATTTTAAGTTGACCATACAAGGGTGCGATTAAAAGATGTCGATGCTAGCATTCCTGGTTCCGACTACATCAATGCTAATTACATCAGGGTAGGTAACGAGTTTAAGTAAAACACTTAACATTATCTCAAAGGTTCATATTTAAGAAAATCTGGGATTGTTTAAAACGAACAGCTCTAATATCTTCAGAAAACGAAATATTGAAATGGGTTGTCCGAAAAGTCGAATAAGTATTGAGAGATATTATTTTGAGAGGGAAAGTTTTTACATCTGGCAAATGATATTATTGAACAGTAACGTAATAAGTGTAAAAATTATGAGATAAGTTGTTTGAGTTGATCATAAGTGTTACGAAATGGGGTTACAGAATGAAGAAGGTGACGGATCCAGCAGTGGAATTAGTGGCGCCGTTGATGGTGGAGCATTTAACAAATGTTACATTGCTACGCAAGGTTGTTTACCAAATACTATTCAAGATTATTGGCATATGGTGTATCAAGAAAATACTCGAGTGATTGTCATGACCACTAAAGAAATGGAAAGGGGAAAGGTTAGTATCAATGATGTACAGAAAAATACAAAATAATAAAACTTTACTACAAACTTAATTTTACATGTCTAAAATACGTATTGTAAAAAGATTGTTTGATATTTTGAATCTGAAATAATATATTATATCTCTCATTGAATTCTTCTGGTCAGTTTGTTTTTATTAAAAAGAAAAAAAAACAATTATTTAGAACAAGTGTGCTCGCTATTGGCCCGAAGAAGGAGAGGTTGGCGAGTATGGAGGAGAATGGAAAGTCTGTGCTCTTGGTCGTACTTCAACAGCTGACTACACCCTTCGTGAATTTCTTTTGCAAGGAAGCAAACCAATATTTGCAGAGCCCAGAAGGATCTATCACTACCATTTTCAAGTGAGGTTTTAACGAGTAGAATCTATACTTCCTTGCAGACAGTCTTTCTTTTAAATCCACAAACTTGTTACTAAACTATTACGGTCAATTGTTGTAGTAACAATTAACTACAATGTGGGAATAATTTTCTATTAGGCCTGGCCAGATCATGGAGTACCTTCAGATCCTGGCTGTGTATTAAACTTTCTGCATGATGTGAATGCCCGGCAAGAATCGATTGCTGCCGCCAGTAATTCCACCACCCCAAACAATCAAAATTCTGGGAGTACGGGACCGATTCTTGTACACTGCAGTGCAGGAATAGGGCGCACCGGGACATTCATCGTTATTGATATGATTCTGGATCAAATCAAGCGTCACGGTGAGTTTAGAGATACGCAGGTATACGTTTTAGACGTACCTTCTAATAGAACAAGACGAAACAATGTATAATTATTTGCAAATCAGGTCTTGACTGTGAGATCGATATTCAGAAAACCATTCAAAGGGTTCGATCACAGAGGTCTGGAATGGTGCAGACCGAAGCGCAGTACAAGTTTGTATACCTAGCTGTTCTACATTACATCGAAACAGTATCCCAGCGTATGCAGGCTGAACAGGTATCTTTTTGAAAGGCTATCTTTCAGCCTTACTCCTAAATGCGATGACATTTTCAGGTCGATTGAGCTTTGGTTAAGAACAATCATTTATTTCTTACAGAAATCCTTGCAGCTTGGTCGAGAATATACAAACATTCGTTACAAGAGTGAGACAAATGCTGTTAATACTAGTGATTCCGCTATATCTACTCCAGCTCCTACTCCTACTCCTATTCCTACTCCGACTGGACTTCCACCAACTACGAATGTCACTCTTCCCGCTACAGTTGGTGGTTTTAGGCCAAAATAATGAAATCTTATTTGTTCGCACCCTATTCTGAGAATCTTCTAAGCATAGCTAAGAGGCTTCCCTTTACACTTTCTTATGTGCGTGCTTGTAGGCCTAAAATCATTCGCTGTAGGTAGGTAAAAAAAATAACATACGTCGCGTTCCAAACATTTGCAGAAGTAGAGATTAGACACGATTTGTTAGACACCAGGAATTTACGGAAATTGGCGTCTTAAGTGATATGTGGAAATTATTCTCCGTCGAGTCGACACTTACCTTTTACCTGATTTATATTTATGATACGAATAAAGTTTGAGACTATCCAATCACGAAACGGTACGTGTAACTATTGTATCGCCAACTCGGAGTAAATTTCATGGACATTTTGTATGTAGTCTATCATTTGAACTTCAATCTAGAGAATCCGTTTTTTGTTGTTAATAATAGCTTCTAAGGCACGAATACAATTAACTGATCATTCGATTTATTATAATTTAATTTGAAATGTCAATCAATTTTCGATAAAAGGATCTCGAGTACAACACTAGGTGAAGGTCAATTTTCGCCAAATTAGTCGTATTAAATTAATTGCAGAGACAATAAGTAAGTAATTTAAGTATGAATAACTACACTTTTAATCAATGCCTTTAGCAATGTACGATTGATAAAATGATATTGTTCGGTACATTTACGTAGCATCAAATTGGATACGGGGAAATATACTTTGAAGTTTCCGAGAGCAATAGTTCTTATTATGATGTATTATTTCCTTTTAGCTGTTAATTTCTTCACTAACATTGCACAATTTGAATACTGATTATATTTCTTTTTTACCGTGAAATATTAACAATAGCGGATTAATAATGAAAACGTATCGGTCGCTTGAGTGGACGGCTTTTCGATAGTTAAACGTGTCGTGTATTTAGAAAATAATTTCGATTAATGTATGTAAGAGCTGAGGGTTTCGTTCAATGAGTGATAGCTGTAGGCAATATATGTGATAAAATTAATTTTGAAAGCATGTGGAGTGCCTTCGTGAGACGATGCAAGTAGACGTACTCGGTATTACATAATTGTCGCAGAAATGCAAATGTGATGATGTCTCGAAATAAATGTTCACGATGGTTGTAGCCGAATAAGTGTGATGGAAATGTCATGTAACAATTTGTTTAACTTGCAATTTCTCAAACGTGTTCTCCAGATGAATGATTCAATGAACTGAAAGATTCAGCAAATTAAAAAATTTCATTTTTGCACTCTCATGTTATTCTTCGTGCAGTCAATAATAAGTTTGATCGAACAAATTGTATGAAAAATTAAGTATAAAGTGTACATGGAAGTACATACAGGTCAATGGATGTCTGTAAAATGTATTTATTCTTACTGTCAGATCGTGTTCACACGTTTCAATTATTCAAGGGAAAAATGATAAAAATTGGAGAAAATCTTTTGACAAATCGCAGGTTATAAGAATCTTAAGGATATTTTTATCGTGGTCATCTAGCTATGACTTGTAAGATAAAATATTAGACTGCTCGAATAACATTATCGGCGAAAGATTAGGTTGTAGTTGATCAATTCATTTGTTTATATATACATATATAGGTATACAGGGTGATTCTTATAAGAGGTTCAAAATCAAAGGAATTTATTACCGCGAAGGCACAACCACTCTTTGATGGACTATAAATTATGGTCAATAGTACTATTCTTATTCGCACAACTATATGTCATGATAGATCTTCAAATCTGTAATCGAGCATTGCTTTTCCGTCCCCATTCGCATAGTTTACTAGTTATATTCGTCAAGCAGACATGCCTTTGCATTAATGTCTCATCTACTTTGGGCCTTTCATAAGACTCACTCTGTATATTTATCAGGCTTTCAAATGAAGTATAAGTAAGCTCCGCATAAATTTTATTCCTTAGTGGCATTTCCTGTTAACTTCGTGCTTTCATAAAAGCCCTTTTACAGCAAAATATATGTTTAAGGAAAATATATGGAGTAAATAAGGGAAATCGTCTTTAGATATATTGTAGAATACCTGCGAATGAAGATTGTGATAATAAGGCAAATACAAAACATTATTAAAATTATTTTAAGTTGATTACACTAATTTAAAAGGGCTGTTTAACAAGAATTTGTAAGTTTGTTTTAATTATTATAATTAAATATTCTCACTATCCTGCCTTTATTAACAAAAACATCAAATTACCTGCCAGATCATTGCTTTTTATGCGAACACATATACATGTGTATCTTTTATGCAGTCTAATCATTAACAAGACGGATTATTAGTGAACCTCGGCTTTCATTCATTATGCTGATATGATTATTAATGCAGTCATGTTTTATTTAATTAAATCACTTCAAATTTATACGTGTATATTTTGCAATAAACAGTTGCAGAGCTCATTGAGAACACAGCTTGAATAATGTCTCGTTTTCACTTACTCTGACCAGTACCCAAGATTGTTTGTTTTTAAAGAAATATGCATTTACCAAGAAATTATAAATGACCAATTTCTATGCTAGTTTTCAATCAGCCAAAACCGTGTAATGTTGTTCAATGCACAACATTGATTTTACTCTAATACGACTACTCTTATTATCATGCATGTACAAGGTGAAAATAAAAATTAAGTGGTTTAATTTGCTTTAATAACTTCAATGTGTATCATTCGTTTTATATCAAGGGCATATATTTATAAAGAATGTTTTATAGTAATACAATAAAAAGTAGATGCTTACGTGATCAAACTTGAACAAATGAAATCGTAATTATAAAACATGATGAGTCAAGATTCCGTAGTCAGAAATTAATGCAAGTCTAGATACCGAAAAATTACTTATGGTAATTTTAGAATAATACACAATTGGTAACACCTTTTGTTTAAACATATCAAACCTTTTCTTATACAAATTAAAGAGAAAAAATATCCTATGATAGAATACATCATAACTAAAAGCTCACGTTGAAACGTTAAGCCATGTAAAGTAATGATTCTTACATTTGCTGTGGACTCAATATACCATAGCGAATTATTTATCTTTTGAACATTTCAATTAAATATTACTAATATTTATGGCTCAGAGATTATTTGAGTCCAATTTTAAATGGATTAAATTTTAAATACATCGTTGTCAATTTCATGTTGGTCAAAGAAGTGTATTAATAAAAAACACTCGCTTTATTGAGAAAAGGCTTGGAACATCTGCAGCTCACACCACTCTCTTGGCATAGAAAACTGAATATCATTTAACTATCCTCACTTTATTGGGATGTACTTTCTCGATAGGCTTCACTTCTCCAAATCTTGCTTTTCGTTTTGCTATTCTAGATTCTAATTCAGCCTACATAATAAATAAAAACAAAATATTATTTATAATTAGATAGATGAATACTGCAATTTTTACAAATTACATTAGATATATGATATGTCACCTTTTCCATTATTGAGGAAACTGACGTTCCAAATCTTTCTGCCCGTTTTTTGAGTACATCATAAGTTGTATTCTGAAAGAGGTGTTACTTGTAGCGCAAATATTCATATGCAATAAGTAGTAATACTTACAACCGGGGTCTTTATAGAAGCTGATGATTTGTTTTGATTGATTGTATTAAACCTAGCAGATCGTACTTCTTTTTTGGCAGATTCGGAAAGAGGCATTCCAAATTTCTTTGCTCTCATTTCTAGTCTCTGCAGTAATGAGACATTATTTTTTATGGGTGAAATTCAACAATCTATTATTTGGAAGAATCATATAACAAAGCGGATCATACCTCTTTAATACCAACTTCTGATAGCTTAATAACTTTCTTTTCAGTTGGAGCATCATTTGATTTGTTAGAGTGTGCTTCTTCAGTTTTTTCAGTCAGTTGCACTTCTTCAATGGTTGATTTTCGGTTTAGAATTATTTTTTTTGGACTCGTTACGTCCGTAGATGGTTTCTCCTCTGTATTAGTATCTTGAGAATCTGGTTTACTTGTCAGCTCTTCTATTTCTTCATCCTATTAGCATTTATTATTAAGAGAAAAGTAGATTTTATTAAAGCTTATACTTGTTAATACTTTAAAATAATGTTCAAAATAGTTTCAATACTTTGGTATTTAACCTTTTACATGCATTTTGCTTCAATTAAAAAATAAATGCTCAGAAGTCATATGTTTAACATCTTCGTAAATGCGATTCCAATTTTCTGCCTTATATATACAATAGTTATGGTTAAGGAACTAGGGTATAATTAAGAATTTTTATAATTTAGAAAATATCGAGTAATCATCCCTTTCAAATTATGCAATTCTATCATTTTATTCATTTCAGAATAAAACGAATGTTGCAACTCACACCAAGTACAGCATCTTCGTCCAATATCTCTTCCGTAGTTTCGTCTAATGATAAAGTTGTATCTAAAAAAATATTTTCTTAAAAAGCCCATTTATGCAATTTAATTTTTTAACGTGCAAATGACCTACCACCCTGTATAGCTAGCTGAAGCCTTTCTACAAGCTCATTTTTATTTCCAGTTGTAGGTAATCCTCGGTGTTTCAATTCCAATTTCAAATCAGCCACCTGTATATCGTTCCAAACATAAGAAGGGTTATGTATCAGATTTTTAATCATTTTGTGCAATTAAACGTTCAGCTTTCAAACTGAGCAGAATAATGCCAAAGCATATTATCTTACCATTTCAGTGTACAGAATGTCAAAATATGAATTATCATAATTACTGAGAATGACATCAAATTTTAGGGAGTTTTAGGGGTACCGCGATTAGAGGTTAGCATTTCATTACATTGGGATATAAAAAATTTAAAGTCTGTACCTTCATTTTTGCAAGTTCCGTGAGTCCTTTTTCGTACGAAGAATCAGCCATGATGTATATTTAATTAGGTGTCTCTTTATTTTGTATTTTATAATATTTCCCCAATGAAATATATCGCTTTATCGTAATCAACGGACCTTCAAGGTACAACCGATCGATCACACACTTGCGACACTTTGCTTAACTACTCTGAGAGTGTAAAGATGAATATATATGAATAAAACGTAAAGGTTCCTTTTCACAGTTCAAAACCTTCGTGAAATGTGAATTATTATTGGTGCCGGATCTGCTCGGGCCCTCGGGCACGCCTGTAAATAAATCTAGTGGTTTTAACTACCTAAACCATCGAGATTACATTAAATAGAGGGAATGTGTGGTTGGTGAGCATGGACGTATATATTCTTACGTCCATGGTGGTGAGGGATAGCAAAACATGCGACGAAAGTCACCATTTTATAGACTCTGTTGTGTGGTCAGTTCCAATCAGAGATGAGTTGGAAGATTGCTCACGGGCAGGATCTTGCGATCGCATCCTGTGCTGCCCTCTGGTTTCGTACGTTAGCTTTTACCGTTTTTTGCCCCCAAGGGCGGCGCAACGAATTTCTGATAGGAGCTCGCGCACTCACGATGGCGGTACCATCTACCAGTCGCTGTTGGCGGCTCACGTACTCGTGATGGTAATACCATGCGGCAGTTGACGGTGGTGGCTTACCTACGCTTACCGATACTGCTAGCTTTTGATGGTAAGGGAAGAACACTCGTGACGCTCCATTTGACTTGGAGAGTCCCGGAGAATGCCGGAGAGTTGCCGAGAGTGCTGGAGAGTTGCCGGAGAGTTGCCGGAGAGTTGCCGGAGAGTTGCCGGAGAGTTGCCGGAGAGTTGCCGGAGAGTTGCCGGAGAGTTGCCGGAGAGTGCCCGATAGTGCCCGATAGTGCCCGATAGTGCCCGATAGTGCCCGAGAGTGCCGGAGAGTTGCCAGAGAGTTGCCAGAGAGTGCCGGAGCGTTGCCGGAGGCAACTGTCCGGCACTCTCTGGCACTCTCCGGCATGTCTCCGGTACTCTCCGGCACTCTCCCGCAACTCTTCGGCATGCTCCAGCACTCTGCGGCACTCTGCGGCACTCTCCGGCAATTTCCAGCATACTGCGGCACACTGCGGCACTCTCCGGCACTCTCCGGCACTTTCCAGCACACTGCGGCACACTGCGGCACTCTCCGGCACTCTCCGGCACTCTGTGGCAACTCTCCGGCAGTCTCCGGCAGCCTCCGGCAACTCTCCGGCATTCTCCGGCACTCTGCGGCAACTCTCCGGCACTCTCCGGCAGTCTCCGGCACTCTACTGCACTTAACAACACGCAACAGCACTGTACGGCCTTCGATAAGGCTCGAAAACACTTGAAAAACGCGCGAAAACGATCGATAATGTTCGACAACGCTCGAAAAGCGCTCGATAACGCTCGAAAACGTTCGAAGACGTTCAAAAACGCTCTAGAAACGCCTAAAAACGCTCGATAACGCTAGTAGGGAAATGTAAAAATCATGCGCAAAATGACTCGGCTTATATCCACAGTTAGGCAAGCCTCGGGAGGATTTTTCGCTGTATTCGACTCTCACGCATACTCGTCGAGTGTAGCGCCGAACGCACATATATTCAACATCTCGACCCGTAGCTTGGCGCTTGGCTGGTTGGGACGCGCAAAGATTTCTAGGAGCGATCGCACTCACGCAGATTCGCTGCATGAGAATTCCGCACGCGACACCGACGCGTGCCCCAAAGCTCCGCATCACGTCGACTTCGAGGCAACAATGTACTTAATAGTAGTAGATAAGTAGATAAAGTCAAATGGAGCGTGACGAATGTTCTTTCCTTACCATCAAAAGCGAGCAGTGTTGGTAAGCGTAGGTAAACCACCACCGTCAACTGCCGCATGGTATTACCATCACGAATACGTGAGCCGCCAACGGCGACTGGTAGATGGTACCGCCATCGCGAGTGCGCGAGCTCCCATCAGAAATTCGTTGCGTCGCCCTTGGGGGCAAAAAACGGTGAAAGCTAACGTACGAAACCAGAGGGCAGCACAGGATGCGATCGCCCGATCCTGCCCGTAAGCAATCTCCCAACTCATCTCTAGTTCCAATCGTCCAACGTTTTGGCATTTATTTACGTTCATTGTTCGTAGAAAGAATGCGACAAACGGACTTGCGAAGTCAGAGTCAGAACGGACTTGAGAACTTGTAGTCATCCTGAGAAATATTTTTCATGACTCACTTTATTATGTAACATTGATCTTTTGTCAAAATACCTGATACAAATTCTTAAAATCACACATTAATTAAATTAAGATTCTAAGTTTTCAATTTATTTTACTGGTTAAATCTTATATTAAAGATTTGAGTTGATAAAGAAATTTAAACAAATTAAAAATTGATCATAATTGATACTATTGATAACAAGTATCGGAATTTATACAGATGAGTCAAATGAAATCAATAAATATACTTTAAAGACATTAATGAATTGATGGCTATATTACTTACATAAACAAATAATCCAATAGAATTATTGTAGTGCACTTATGTAATTTAAATTGTGTATTTCATTACAGCAGCATCGTATTGTTTATTTGTTTTAATTTCTTAATAAACAATTAATCATGCTTTTCTTGACAAAATAAAGAGAGCCTGTATATTTTACTGCAAGGCTGCAATACATGTAAGGCATTGAATAGATTGTTTTACAAAAACTGAAGTTTTTAAACAATTGCTATTGCCAAATACGATACCTTATGTGATAAATCTACGGTAACAAAAATTATTTCCAAAAACTACCCCCATGTAGCAATGTTTACGTTATTGGATTAATGTTCCAGCATTTGATTATTCAATTCACGCCTCTTTGACACCCACTTTTTTAGGAAGCATTTTATCTAATTCACCACTTTCGCTCATTTCCTTTACAATATCCAAACCCCCTAGGAGCTCTCCATTCACATATAATTGTGGATAGGTAGGCCATTCACTAAATTTCTTTAATCCTTCTCTAACTTCGTTATCGAGTAATATATCAAAAGTTTGATAATCTGTATTATAGCTATCTAGAAGGGATATTATTGTTCTGGAAAAGCCACAACGTGGAGTGGTCGGAGTTCCCTTCATAAATAACATGCAAGGAGCTTGATTAATGAGCTTCTTTAACCTAGTTTCAAGATCTTCCTTTGATGTATCGCTTGGTCGAACTGGTAGGGTATCTTTTGTAGAGAACTGTTTTACTTTTTTGGTCAAAACTGCTGGGTTGGCTCCATCGACACGGTCCACCACTGTACCATTTTTAAGAATCAATACAGTTGGTACAGCGGTCACCTTAAGTTTTAAAGAAATTTCTGGTACATCCTCTGCTAGAACTTTGGCGAATCGAACGCTTTCGTAATCCTTTGAATTAGCCATTTCATCGATAACATCGTTCATTTGGGCACACTGTGCTGCCCACTCAGCAAAGAAGTGTAGGACAATGATGTCTTTGAATCTTAAACAAATAATCATTCGATGTTTTAGTACAAGATATCAAGACAATGCAATGAAACCAATGTAATCGATCCATAATGGTTAAGCTTATTCAAAAAACAATTGATGATACATTTTTCCGGTAATTATGGATATATTTATTCAAAATTGCACTGTACCAAATACGATCCCATTTCCTGTAATTTCATTCACGTAACATCACTTTGCGGTAGTCTTATCGAAGTTTTGTAATTCCGGGGAAAAGTAATGATTATTAATTGGAAAGTAACTTACTTGAGGTATTCCTCGTAATCTTTCGAGGACTTTAAATTTACAACGACCATTTTATATTCGCGCCTTTGCTTTTGGATAAATTTGCCCTTCAATAATACTCCAAATCTACTAATTCCGGTGAGTATAAACGAAATGAAGCAAGAGACTGCGAAGATGTGCGAAGAACTGCGAGGCCTAAAAAAATGAATCAGTCTTTCTCTTTTTAAACCGTGAAGTAACTCGTTGTCTAGAAAAGAGAATTAAACAGGTTTTATGACGTCGACATAAAATAGCGTTTATACCACGTTTAACACAAGGGATCAATTTTGTATGCAGAGATGAGCGGAGAGATGTTTCTCGCCATTGTTTGAAGGTGAGGCAAGGCCCACTGGCGCCCTCTACGCCCTTAACATCCTGTAAAAATTAGAACTGCTTTGAAAGGTACAAAATCTTCGTGATCAGTAAAACGGTGTATACGTGTGTGCCGCGCTGTAATCTCCACCATCCACGCATAACAATTTTATTTGGAATTCGTAGTCTTCTTTTCCAACTTATATTGACCCTCATACTGAAAACAAAAAGGCGATAACTTGATCCTGTAGTACTGTGCTGGATTTGAAATCTGTGAACTCGTTTTTCTTTACCGACAGAGATAATTTCGCTCCCTCGAAAGCAATTCCACGGCGCTATTGTGCTGTGCTTCATTTTCGACAACGGCGTGAAACATCTCCCAGCTCATCTGTTATTATGGAATTGAAAATTGGGTGACTGTTAATTATATCTCAGCTATAGTTCTCGTAAGAAAAACTCAATAAAAATCACCCGAGCAGCCATTCGCGAGTTGATGGTTCTCTTGCATTTTCATGTAAGTTGAACCACCAATTCCCCAGGTCCACCACGAGGAAGTCGCTGCTAGTGTGGCCCGCCTAAGAGCACTAAATCGTCTACCTAGGTACCCATCGTGTCACCTCTCCGTCACGAGACTTAAAGGTGTCTCGATGGGATTTCGCCCATTTTTTTTCCTTCGGGGAGAATTGATCTCAAAACTAACTTAAGTACCTAATTTTACAATAACTTAACCGACGCAAGAGGTCACTTTTGCCAGGAGCAAGAAAAAATGTGCGCAGTTAAAGCGGTTACTTTGAACAATGGATGCATTTACGCTTCGCAGAGGAAATTATATTATGCAGCAGATAATAAATACATCGTCTTACTAAATAAAGCTATATATCTTCATTTCATCAATAGTGAACAATTAGGCTTCATACGAGGTCAATCGCGGTTTTATATTAAGATGTTCGGCGATGGAATACTTGTGTCGTTAATGAACTTCGATTTACATCTCCGGCGTTTGAAAAGCTCAGTTAACTTCATTTTCTTCCTTTGATTATTGCCATTGTCGTTTAGAAACTCTTTGTTCTCCCAGCAGGCTTCTAGAAGAAGAATAATAGTTAAAAATTAATTTCTATACATGATAAAAATTGTATTGATGATTCGCGTATTACGAAATTCATCTCAATGTACTTCCGTTGCACAGAACAGTACATCGCTCAAAAAAACGCGTAAACCATGCTTTTGTTATATAAAATATCGCGTGCACTGTTTTTATAAATACCTGTTGCAGATTTAGTAGTGTCTGCAGAACGAGCGTAAGAATCAATAAACTGATCGTTATAAACATGCAGACTAGGATATCGTGATTGATCATAAAGTCCAGCCAAGGGAAACTGTAAAAGATCGATTCTTATTATACTCAAATCACGAATACCATTTCTTCTTAAATTATATAGAAGTTCTATAAGTTTTGTTATGTTTTCTTTCGTGGTATATGGTCTAGTGATCAAATTATTACAATAATCATTTTATAAATTAATAATCTGAGCCTGCCTTCATAAAATCGCGGTTTAAGTCTAGATTGAAAAATCATTTATACTAGTTCATTGATTTCTGCTCACTTTTTGTGGGCGTTACGGTATGTACATAATCCTGTTCAAGTTTTTATCGTGTTTCAAATAAAATAAATAATTAACATTTTCATTTTGATCTTGAAAAGAAGAGAAATTACTGGACCATTTAAATTTAATTCCTTATATGCAATATTGATCATTTGCTTACTTTTTCAATTGTAGTTTCCGGGGATTCACTATGATGGCTCCTTTTGCCGCCTCTTGGACAATTAGTTATAAGGCAACAATAACCGGCCGATATTAAAACGTAAAGCGCAAGTAATTCTTTCATTGTTAGAACTTGATCATAAATATTGCTAATCCAGCTGTTCGCACGAGGCGAAAAGGACGTGGTAACGTCTCGAAGAATTTCGAAAAACTGGCGAACTGAATCGGAAATGCCGCCAATTTATACTGCAGAGCTTCGGCTGCTTACAATCGTCTTCACGTCACTCTGTATTTGCAAAAGCTTTTCTACAATGGGTCACTCTAAGGATTATGGAAATTATAATCCGTTCATGTGCCCAACAAAGGAGTTATCCTTTTTATTATTTTATTTAGGAATGCATTATCTCTCCTGTACTTATAGGAAATAACATAAGCCCTATGCGGCTTCACAGATGTATAGTGATTTTGATTAAGTGAATTTATAATCGATATACTTTGATAGGATTATATACTCAACATCTCTCATGGATCAATGTTCAACTTAAAAACAGAAAATACATTCAAATTCGCAACAATAATAACGCATTATTATTTATTAATCAGTGTCATAGATAATATCTTAATCATTATGACATTGGCTGCTGTTGTTACAGTGTCATCACGTATATTTATTTTAGTATGATTAATAATAGGTACAAATTCACACTTCCTTCTTCTTCGTGACATATTGTATTGTGAGACAAAGACGTATATTTTTGTTTATTGATAAAGGGGGACATGGGAAGGAAAAAATACAAGAAAAAACATTAGTCGATGAGTCTCTCTTAATGAGTAATAAAGAGAAATATAGTTGCATTGGTGGCGCCATCTAGACGCGAGTTTGGCAATCTTAGACAATTTCAAGTATAATACGTGTTACTTCAATTTGGACTATTTTAATTGCATTCTACAGTCGTTTGAATTCATTGTTTGTGCTCATTTAACTTCACGCTCTTTTCTACTGTTGATACAACAGTGCACAAAAGTATTTTCCGACCATGTGGTAGATTTGTCAACAATGATGTACCCTATGTGGTTTTTCTGAGTTCGTTGTTTATAAGAAAAAAATTATAAAACATGCCAGAAGATACTAGTTTAATTTGTATCTCGGAAGGTCTTGACAGTCACCCGAAATGTCCTCATGGTACGTTTCAAAATGATGTGTTAGATGTCTTTTAAGAAGATTTTTTTATAACTTATTCAAAATGGTTATTGGATAGTTGAATAAGATATTGGAATATGTTTTATTATTTAAAAAATAAAATTTCATTATATGTATGTAATAGGTTTAGAATAGTGATGCATAAATTTGAATATGTTTAAATTGATCTTTAGATTGTAAATATGGTACATCATAATTTTTCCTCTTAGGTCCAACACTGCTATTTGAGAGAACATGTATGAATGATACGGAAAAATTTTATGCCTGTTCCGCATACCGTAATCGAAAGCAGTGTCCTTTTTATTTCAAATATGATTCGAAGCCAACGAAACAGCATCTGCGTACATGGGAAAAAATTAAAAAGAAGGTCTTACCTTGCTACTATCATCAAAAGCTATATAGTAATTTTAATGAGCTATTGTTGAAGAGACCTGCAGAAAGGACATATTGTCATAAGTGTGAAAAGTTCATTTTCATTTCTGAAGAAGAAAGACACAAAGATCATGAAAAGAGCACAAATTTAACGGATTATTTAATGCATCATCCTACGGAGATCTTAAGACCGCTTGAAGATACCAAGAAAGAAGCTCAATATTTGTTCTCTAAGAAGACGGTGGAAAATGTTGCCAATATACTCTTAAAGTTAGGAGCAAAACATGTCTTATGCATAGGAACCCCCAGAGTACACGAATACATTTCTGAGAATCTACAAAATGAAATGTCTAGTCTTCTTTTGGATATAGATGGCAGATTTGTATGTATTTTTATAAACATTCAATGAACATATTTTTGTAACACAGCTGTTTTTAAGACACATAGTGCTTTCGTGCTCAACATTCTTCTTAATATTAAATCATTTCATTTCAGCATAACTTTTTTGGTCCACTGAACTACTGCTGGTACAATTTATTTAATCATCATTTCTTCCGTGAAGAAGCTGAAATCGTATTTCAGGATTTTTTAACACAAAGTAATGGTGATAATATGTTCCTACTTTGTGATCCACCATTCGGTGGTCGAGTGGAGCCAATATCCCAAACTATAAGGACTATTTCCAACTTACATAAGCAATGGAACAATATTTGTAATCCAAATAAGCAACTGCACATTATGTTCTTCTTTCCATATTTTATGGAGCCCATAATGCAAATGAAATCAAATTCTCCAGGAATATCGGGAGGTTTAAAGGAATTAAAAATGACTGATTATAAAGTGCACTACGATAATCATTCATTATTCACAAAGAAAAGAACGAAAATGCAAGGTACGCCAGTTAGAATTTTTACAAATATATCTTTAAATTCCTTTGAACTGCCATCATCCGATGGATATAAATACTGTAAAAGGTGTCAAAAATGGCGGGCTCCTGAGAATAAGCATTGCAAGAAATGCAAGCAGTGTACCACGAAAAATGGAAAAACGTATAAGCACTGCAACATATGTGAGCGTTGCGTTAAGCCCAACTGGCTACATTGCAAGAAGTGCAATAGATGCGCGTTAGAAAAACATGCATGTGGTGAATTTTCAAAGTTCACAGGCCGATGCAATAAATGCAATCTGTTAGGTAATAGTGAGAAAGATTGTTTCGTTGTATTATTTATTTTTAAGATTTCATTGTAATTTTAATTTCAGGTCATGGTGTAAGAAATTGCACCAATAAAGATGAAGAAATGTCAAATTCAATAGAGAAGAAGCAAACAAAGAAACGTAACATCAATGGTGTCGATGCATCAAAGTCAGCTAAAAGAAGAAAAGTCAGTTTAAATAGAAAGGATACATCGGAAGATACTCCCATTGTTTCAAATCGCATTTCAAAGTGTACCACTTCAAACATTGTGCAATCGCTTGCATTTAAGAGGAGAGAGAAGAGATTTTCACATTTGACTACTGGAAAATTGATTAAAAAAAAGAAGAGTGTATCTTCTTTGAAAAAATAAATAGTTGATTGGCTATTAGGTATGGTTCATTATATTAAAATAATATAAGAAGAAAAATCAATTGAAACCGCATACATTAAACCATCTTACAATTCATACTCTTTGCAGTAACCTTTAATTACATCAAACTGAAAATAACAAATAGGCGATTAACAATTACCACTAAACAATCCTTAAAATCCAACATAGACTTTTATTATTCTTATATACGAACTATTTATTCACATCTTATGTATCCTTGTCATAAATACGCGCTTTCGGAACTCCGTCGGTACGGACTTCCTCGAGTTCATTTTTATTTTTTCTCTTTCCACGTCTTTTTAGACGGAACTTCTTTCCAAGATACTCTTGATTAGATTATCGAAATTCCCTGAGATTCCCTTAAAAAAGATCGCACATCTTATGAATATAGGGCATCGTTGTAACGCGATATCGCGAGGATATCGCGCGACTCTACTACCATGGTCTACTACGTTCTCCCTCTATCTTTTCGTCAGTTTCCTTTTCGACGTTTGCCGGTCGCTACGGATATGATTCATACTTGATTCACACGACTTCGAAGACTCGTCCCGTATGGTGGGTCTATGCGTGGCCGACTCGCGCGAGTCGCACACCAGTAGCCGAATACTCGAGCAGTTTTTTGCCGGGCGCGAGACTTGCGATGCCGAGGTCACCGACACGAGTCGACGCGCTCGAGGAGATCTCCGGCTGGGACACCGAACAGGTGCTCTTTCTCCTCGAAAAGGCGAGTTCCTTCTAACTTACTTACAGATCCTTGCCCTCGTAGGCCTTTATCAGCCACAGCCAGCGCCTATCAGCCAGCCTATCTATTTTCAACGTGGCGTTATCGACGCCCGCTTTGCGCCCTTATTGGACATGACACATGACACTTGTTTCATGTCAAAACAGCTTATTAAATGGTTCCAAAAGACCACGCTTATGGATTGTTAATGTGGAATGATTTTCTCCAGTATTTAAGGTTTTTAATGCAGAACCGCTTTCTGTTTTTGTGAATGCTGAGTTTAAAAGGAATTAACATAAAAATTGACTGCTATATCGGTATTTCGAGCTTGATTAATGTGACGGCTCTAATAAGAGATTGATAACGTTATAGATAGAAGATGGCCAATTTGGAAATATATTTTATGGATTAAGAAAGAAGATCAGAATGCAGAAGAGGAAGCTTGCGTATTTGTATTAAGTTTCTTGGAATTGTGCGAGAGGTTTGAAGTAACTGGATATGGGAGTGATGTTTGAGGTTAGGGTGTTAGTGCTGACAGATCAATGACTTTAGTTAAGATTGATGAAAGTTGTTAAGATGCTTGAAATCATTATGCTTATATATTATTTTATATTGAGTTATGTATTTAAATGTATTGTATCTATTGTATGAGTAGGTGAAAATGGGATCTGTGAATTATTGTGCTTTTATTTATGACAAATTTATTGTATGATGATGAATAATAAAGTATCGATGCATGTCTCCGTTATTAATGCATTAAGAAAAATACACAGCTTACGATGCTTTGCTTAATTCTTTGATGTGTTATGGCAAATAATTGAAACATGGGCTAAAAATATATGGGATATCCACAGGATGCGAGTTACGGAGATACAGTGGTTTTGATGAGATTGTTTTCCTCGCACACTCTGTTTATGTTTCCTGGTTGTATATCTGGACACCCATTCTACTTCTTTCATTTAAAATTTCTTTAACAATATTTTTTAAATTTCAGGAATTTCATGATAAATTTGTCAGGTAGTAAAGAAAAAGTATATTTTTATATTATTAGGGAGAAATTGTTTATTTTCCTTGTTAGATTAATGTTGTTGCTAAAACTATGTAGGTAGGGAAAAAGACATTGTTTTTCTCTGAAAAAATAAAATTTCGAGGATCACACAATCTTTGTTTTTGCTGAAACAAATATTTTGGTTTGGTGTTAATGTAATGATGCTCTTTTATTAAGATATTTCATTGATTAATGTATTTTTGCATTGCAGAATGGACTGCAAGAATGCTGCAAAGCTGTCACTAAACGTCAAGTTGATGGGGATGAGTTTTTAGTAAGTAGATCAAGAATATTATGAGCAAGTAAATCAAGAAAATAAGTAATCTTTCGGTTACACTTGACTTATAGCACTTGACTGAAGGAAAATTGTTGTTATGGAAAAGTGATCTGAGTCGACCACAGATATGGTATGTAAAACGTGAAGTAACATTAATCTAGAAAATAAATCATGTGTAATATATATAAAAGTGACGAAAACTTGATTTTTTATTTTTAGGAGTCTCTGGACGTTTGTAGAAGAAGTAAAAAAGTGTCCTGAGAAATATTTGGAAGACAAAACTGATCAACAGATTAATGAAGAATTGAAAAGCGCTATTGCTTCTCCGGGAATGGGGTTGGAAGATAAAAGTAATGAGAACGTTACACAATTTCGTTCCAACTCTATGATTCCTTCAAAGGTGCTTCAAAGAGAGGATCAGGCATTCAAGCAGCATATCGTCAATGAGAAAAACTTAACATGTCCTAATTCTGAAGAAAATTGTATGTATGCTAATTCAGAGTCCAAAGTAGGGGATGAAAACATATATTCTAATGTAGAAGTTGATATTGAATCAAAAAAGTCCAGCATGGAAATGAGAACAAAAAATATGATGATCTTAGCTAAGGAACTTAGGGAACAATTAAATTTAAGAGAAACGGTAAAATTGAAAACTGAAACTGTACTTAAGAAACCTGCATCTCCCCCATTGGAAACCAAACAAAACAACGAACCTTTACAACATTCCGAATTTAATGAGAGGACTCTTCCGAAACCTCCTGCTATAATAAGAAATTTGGACCTTGTTGCTAATTTACCAACTCGGATGGAAGAAAGTGAGGATGATTATGAAAGTTTTGATGAGCAAATCGTTCAGCAGCATCGTCAGGGAAATGTGCTTAAAGATGAGAATAGACACTCTCTTGCAGGTAGTTTCCAAAGTTCTATGGATAGTGTTTATCACCCTCCCAGTACAACGAGTCAAGAGGAAGAAGAATATGAAATATATGAATCTATCACTGAAGTTGTAAGTTTTTAGTTGAATAATTTCAAGATATTTAATACACACGTTGTGCTTTTGACGTGTTGATTGAAATAGATATACACGTTTATATTTATGTATATTTTTTAGGGAGATGATGACGAGTATTATTTAAGGCCAATTTCTCGAGTGAAACCTGTAGATGTTCCCCCACCACTGCCTGATAAGCTACCATCAACTCCATCTCCTGTACCGAGCATCAAAGCCTCCGAGAAGAAAGCAGGTTGGTATTACAATGGTAGAAAGTATATGGTTTACATGGTTACAAGTACATGATTAGTACATGGTTTACAGTAGCAGAAAGTCAGAATTCTTTAGGGCTTTACTTACTACTTACTTTTTATCTGATTATAAATGTTTATGGATATGCAATATGTTATGTACTTTCAGATAGATCAAGGGAAAAGAAATTTGCAACATTGCCAAATTCTGGAGACGAATCTTCGGGGCGATCTGAAAGAGCTAGTAGACCTTTACCTCCTCCTCCTGATAGATTAACTTACTTGGACAAACCGTGGTTTCATAATGTAACCAGAAATCAAGCAGCTGCTCTTATAAAAGGACGTAAGTAATACATTAATATTAATATCTTAAATGTTCCAACATAAATTCACAGGTGTACAAGGAGTTTTCTATAATCATGATGCAGTTTTTGCTTTAACCTGAAACCATAAAACTTTTTGTATAAATGTAAGCGTTACAAAGTGGACATTGAGAACTGGTTTGCAATATGGCTAGTTAAAATTGAAATAGTATATTTGTTTCGATTCAATTTATAGGAATTAAATATATAGTACACGCTGTACCGCAAATTATATACATATATTTCACATTATGTGTTTTAGAAACTTCACGTGGCGTTCCAAGAGATGGGTATTTTTTATTGAGACCTTCCTATTCAAATCCTAGTAATCCTCTGACGCTCGTTGTGTGGTGTAAGGATAGAGTATACAATATTCCAGTCAGAAAAAGAGCCGACAATTGGTAAAGCTTTTTAATATTTCAGTTTTTCCATATACGTTAAAATGAAAAAAAACAATATACTGCAAATATATTGAATTTCATGAGATTAGCAATTGTATTTAATTAAACTAATCAATCTGTCTCTGAAGGATTGCTTTTAGCTATTATGTTAGTATATGCCATTTCTTTTATTTGGTAACTCTTTTTAGGTATGCCCTTGGATCGGAAAAGTCAAAAGAACCAGTATTCGCAAGCGTGGAAGAAATTGTTTCAGTGTACTCGAGGGAAGAGTTATTACTTGATTCGGAAGGAGTACGAACTGAAAGTACAAAACTGACGGAAACTCCTTCGAAATAATCTCTGGACTACTTAGAAGTATTTTCTACACATTCCTTTAAGAGTATGAACCAAGAAAAAACGTAACATAATAGCGGCTGTTACATCCAAAGCGGATTATGATAATTTTATTACATTAGAGTAAATTAAGTATTCTTGTGCGCGCGTTTTCGAATTCTTCTCAGAAATAAAATACTCACGACATGCTTATTGTCGTATGTATTACAATTTTAATAGATCGTCGTCTGAGAAGTATTCAATATTGGCTCGGGCATATACAGAAATAGGGTTTATAGTACGACCGTGGTTTATAGCTTATAATTAATATTGAAGTACTGGATGCCTTAAAGTATGGAATATATTTTTAATGGTTTATCATAGCATGGAAACAGAAATTGGAATGGAGTGTTGAAATGAATACATATTGCAGACCGTTTGGCGACTATCGCACATATAAAATGCAAGAATTGCAGTCATAATAAACGGAATTTGCGTTGTGCTGACAACTCGTTTAATGGTAATTGTGAAAAACCGTTCTGACCGGAATAGTTATCGCATAGCAATAGACTGATGTTTCAAGACGCAATGCGGTAGTAAAATGATAACGTTATTGTTAAAATAAGAAAAGCTCTCGATACATTAATTTGACCATTTTAATAATCCATTAAACAGTTACGATTATTATATCATGTATTAGCAACGCATCATTGAATAATTTGGGAAGTTTTAAGTCCCGGAATTTTATGATATGTCAAGTTTGATATCACATATAGTTAAAATGTTTTACTTGAATAGACATATTTAATTGATGCCATTTATTGATTATATTAATATTCTACATTGATTTATAGCTTGACTTGATTTTTAACATTTGATTTGGTGCAAATTTTTATTGATGTGAAATTTTAGGTCTTTAGATAGACAGATTTATTTAAATATGAAAAATCCGTCCTTAGCCTTTTATTCGGCTACTAATTACAGGCGATCTCGCATAAAATTAGAAGCTTGTCATGATTTTCGAAAAAAATTGGATGAGTTTCCCATATATCACGATATTATGCTCTAACAAATGTCTTTCATAATCTGAGATCTAGTGTTATTTAATTTTATTAAATATACGTATCTAAAATACATATCTTATATCTCTGAAATTGACTTATTATGACATTGTCATTTTTGTTCCATTAAGTTGAAAATTCTTAATTACGGAAATGCAAGTATTTACCACTGTTGAGTATATTTAATAGAACCATAGTGAAAGTGGCTGCATCCACCGAGAATATAAATAACGAATAATTTGATTATGTAACTCCGTATTTTGTATTTATTTTAGAGGATTCTATTTAAGATTTTCATCGGAGTAAAGGATTACTCATGTTTAAGAAAGTTGCAATATTGTATTATTTACAAACAATAATAGTATTTTAAAATGTGCGTTAGTTAGCTTTTGTTAAGTGGTATCGTTGAGTTCAATGGCTTGTACGTTGCAATTGTGCCTTTTTGCTTATCACTCTTGCGCTTATTGTAAGAGTCTAATTAATGCAAGTGATGAAGCTAAAAAGGAAAGATAGAAAGTGGGCGGAGCTATATTTTCCACCGGAGCCACTTTGCTTAGTGCTTAGACATGTTTATAAAATGTTAAGAAATGAGACGAGAACTTATACATGATATGTATTGTATACATAGATGCTGTACTAATGGAACCGTCCAAAACTATTTCATCTCCGAGACCTTTGTAAGAGGTAACAATTGAAGACTGCAGTGGAAAAGCGATTTAAGCCAAAAAAAGTAAACATCGAGATTTTTATAACTAAAAGTATTGAACAAAATAGTACATAATGGCCTTTACATTTACATATCGAAATACGTTAATCGAAATATAAAGGTGTTTTTTAAAATCGTAGTTTGCTACTGGTGGGTTTTCTTAATAGGTAAATTGCGATTATTATAAAATAGCGCAAATCTGATCTAGATTATTCTTCCTCTGCAGTTTTCAATTATTTTCATGCCGTTATTGTCGAACTTCGGAAACTTTTGATTGACTTGGGGAATAATATTCGCGTATGTACATTTCCACGTTTTTCTACCAATTTTTTACCAGAATATAAAATGAGATAGGACGAACGACTAAATTTCTCTTATCTTCAATAAGTGCATCATTAATATCTGTATCAGCAATGAACGACTGTACATAACGTGCTGTCACAAGATTTTCATTTAAGAGACACGATGTAAGTTTACGAATTTTCTAACATGTCATTGTAATTTTATAAAATGCTGAATAGATATTAAATCTATGTTTTTACCGTGCGAGTGGTCATTTAACTATTTACCTGGTATTTCAATAGGAATTACGAGATTGTACAGAGAATGTATTTTATTCAAACTACAAACCGTTCCTCTCATTTTAAAGAAATATACACTTTACAATGTTTCGAGGTATTGTCTAAGCGACGCTAGTTTAAAATGTGCCGCAGCATCTATCTTTACACATAGAACCCACATTCTCTGGCCAATGAAAAAATTCAAAAACGTCGCTGCAAATTTAGCTGTAATATTATTTTTGTACACTCTTAATAAGTACAATTGGTTACCGTTTGTTTAATTTAGTTGTCCCTAAAATGTATGTCTCGTTTACAGCGACCGGAGGTAAAATGAACCGAGGCCGACAGACGTGATAGATTTTGATTGTTCCTGACAAATGATCGTTATCATAATTTATACAAAATTCACGGTATCGAAAATTCAACGTCAAATCGTGTATAATGATAGATCTGTGATAGTGACCGTAGTTTATAAAGAACTAATGTCTTCAATTTATTCTGTACAACAAAAGCTGTATCTGTTTGGTGCTCGAAGCTCCAGCCATTGTTCTTGATTTGGAACGTACATCTCGGCTGGCATTCGTTCCAATCCGATTGATTCCGGCGATCCGTTTTCCCCCGTTTTTTGCACTGCAATGCAGACATTATTTATTATTATTTTAGATCCAGAGAGAGAACTATCGGAAACAAGGAAAAGCCAATGTAGTAGAGATATAATTGACCTGACGTACGTTGTTTGAACATGGAAATGGTTTCTCCAGGATGTCGCAGAAGAAGACGACCTACTCCCTCACATCGTCGCAAAACTTCATTCTTTACGAGGTGATTTCTTATATTCTGCGAGATTATCGAACATTCGGTGACCCAGTTGGTAACAAAGGCGAAGTCAGTTAAAAGTTGAAGAGCTCCCCATTTACTGAAACGTGCATGAATGCATTACCTGCCTCTTAGTACAATAATGTAAATGTACACGTTTGTAGAAATTTGGAAAAAAATATTAACACTGGTTATCGAGAGTTAACATATCGATACGAAGTATTGTTAATATACGGTACTTGAGATGCAGTCAGTGTCATTTATAATCTGCACCTTATGGTTGAAGATAGACATTGGGACCTTACATGTATTTGCTCGGATACTTAGTTTATAATAATTTACCTGAATTTAATCCGGTGTAAATAAATGTAATCGAGCCACGCTTCGCACATGATTTTCAAGATCATGTTAGGAATCTCGTGGTCCTCCATTACCTCTAGAACGGGTAATAAAACATTCTCTGAAATATTACAGTAATTACATCACTTTTTGATGCAGTGGATTATTAAGTGAACTAGTCAATTTGTTTACCGAAAAATGTTTTAACGTAGGGACTGGGAGCGGAAGGTGCGACACTTCTGTTTTTTCTCCAATAAGCTGGCCGGGGAAAACACATATGCAAATTGGCCAGGCTCACCACGCGGCAAATCTTTGCGAGGGTGTCAATGCACATCGATGATGCATTCTAAAAATTAAAATTACGGAGTTAATTGTAATAAATAATATTAGTAACAGGTAATAACTCTTTGTTGAAAACTGTTAACTATAGTTAGTATCACATAATTGTTACCTTCAGCAATGAGACATTCGCATTCACCTCGGATACGATCTTCACTCTCATCTTTGCACAAACGAACACTTGAACGCTCAACGATTCCACTTCTAGAGAATTTGTATGATTAGCGAGCTATAAAAAGAAAGTACATTTTTTATGGCGCTAACGGTTATTAAATAATGTACAATCGGTTATTAAACAACATATACCAAGGAATGTACGGAGGTAAAATATTTGTAACATTAGTACACGGTCTGAAAGTACGATATTTCTTCTTACACAAGCGAAAAGAAGCTGCTACTGTTAAGAGATATTTGTAATTTGATCAGGCCACAAAAGACGCCAACGCGGCACAAACATTGAACATATCTCGTGCTTGACGTTTACAATACTGCGAAATTGTTTAAATTTGTAAATTTTTATAAGTTTCCCGAGTCTTATCGTTCATTCGAGATTAGAAATCCAACAAATACATCACGAAACTCGATAGCGTTTCAGACAAATTCATGGGCCTCGACTGAGCGTCTCTTTACGTGAAACATGGCACTACCGGGGATGCATTTTTATTTAACGATCAGTGTTGCCATTAAAAGATGCCATATACCTTTTAAATAAGCATTTAGGGCTTTATTATTTTTTTCTCTTTCGTTTGGGACCAAAACCACTGTGATCGGTGAAGGCCTTCGCGAGTTATGTCGAGTTTAAATTTCACTAACGTCGGTTTAACTACATTCTGTTATCTCACATTCGTCTCTCTTACGTACGGATTTTATCTACATGCTTTTCTAGATGCTTTACATGGATAAGTACCTGCCTTTAGGTAAGATAACTCCTTGCTACAGTTTACCAGATCGCCATGAACAACCAGGAAGAAGCTGTCGAGGTCCCAGCTGTGCGCGATCGCGGTGGATTCTCTCATCGCCCACAGCCTCATTGTGTGAACCGAGTGGTCCAATCTGTGCAAAACCAAAATTTGTTCCGACAACGGAAGTTCGGCTAAAGGGGCTCCTTGAGTCCATTCTTCACTGATTTCGCCCTCGTTGGCCAAACCGACCAACAGCTGGAAGACTTCGACGAAGGCTCGGCCAGTATCTGTTCCCTAAAATTCGTCTTATTGTCAAGAATTTATAAAAGTACCTCAATAGAGTTTCAAAATAAGGACGAATTTATTCGCCAATCTGTTCAATTCATACTGTTTTTGATGATGACCATGAACACCATTTTTAGAGTGAAACTTCTTATCTCAGAAAAGTGATAGGATTTTTTTTCATAAAGTAAATTACTATTTAAATTCATCTTTGTATGTCGGTATCGGTGCAATTTATGTAAACGTTTTCGTTATTGTTATTTAATTTTAATTTGTTTTCTAAGAAGTCCATCGGCGACTGTGCCTCTGGCTTGGCGAAGTTGACGTTAAAATCACCGCTCGTTATCATCCCAATTATTTTTTTTACCGTTAATTATTATTTACAATTCATCTCTGGGTGTTAGTATTGACACAATTTTTGACATTTAAAGTGGAATAAAAATAATGATGCCTGAAAAGTGTGAAGTGAATCGTCCTTATTTTGAGGGTCCACCTGCTGATGTTGGTGTACTAAAATATAAAGCGTGCAACGAGATCGACGAAATTACCTCAATGGATGATCTCTTTGATTGACACTCGAAAGCGGATGTGTAAGCCGTTCTGAAGAGTCGATCCCAAACCGTGACGGTAATGTGAACCGCCAAAGTTTCGCGCAAATTTTGTAGGATGGACCTTACATTCGATGGGACTGAAATTAAATTGATAAAATGACTCATTATAGATACGTGCCGGATCAAGCGAATCTCCTAAACTTTGCTTATCAATTTCAGAGACCTACGTATAAGGGGATGGCTTACTTCTGTAACCGGATGTACGTACCATCGGCTCTTTGAGTGAACCTATGAAGCCAGTCGTTAAGATGCTCGACTTCGTACCTATGTCGAGCCGTAAAAGGCCCCGCAGACCACCAAAGAATAATGTGATCCAATATGGTGGAAACTGCGACCCAAGCCACTTCCTGATAATAATTGATAACTCTCTTCAAGGCGGTTCGCCTCACTCGAGTCTCGTCTAAAAAATCGAAAATACTCCTCGCTACATAAATATACGATAACAATTTTCTCTAATGGTCAATCAAAGTGCTCGACTGTTAATTTTCCTCTTGAAAATGTAATCACTTGATATCCTCTCCTTAATAAAGTATATAAAGCATATTTTACAGAGGAACAAAATTCAACTTCCTCCAATGTAAATTAAAATCCTCCATCGAATGTTCATCTCTCTGATAAAAATATGATATCTTATATAGCTGATCGTTACATAAAAAAAAAAACAACAGAAAATGTGAAGTATTTTTTATAGAAACGAAAAGAAGAGGAGCGAGATTCAACCTTCTTCCGTTTTGAGGGCCTCTGGACCAAGAAGTCGAGGCGAGATGTCCTTTGCGATATTCAGCAGGATATTAACTTCCTCGTTTTGCGTATTAACGAGTGCTCGAATACTTTCTATGTTCGAGTCCTCGAGTTCTGGGGCAGAATTGCTCGTTGTGGGTGGAGTTATATTCTTCGTCAGGGCTCTGACGATTCCACGGATATCCATTGAAGCATGCGTACATTCCAGATCGTTAGATGTCGGATTTGTTATTCCGCTCTGTCGTGTATATAAATCTTCACAGGTTACAAGGGAAATCAGTGTATTATTGACATAAATGTTCACCGATATATCTCGACGCTGGAATTCTCGGAAATTTCAACGTCCCCAGATTCTGGCGAAGTGACTTCTTTCTTCCGTTTGCTCGGCTTATAGTTCGCCATTAAGCTGACTAGAAGTTCCTGGCAGTACTTTTCGGATTTGTTTTTCGCGAGTATCTGTCAATGATAAATACCACCGCCATTAACCTTATGCTATTAATATTTATGTCATTTCGTGGGTTTATAAGCTGATGTTTACGGTAGTAAGTACATTAACAAAGTTGATTCACCTGTAATAAATGAGTGAACGACATTTTTTTAAGTGGTTCCAACATTCGAGGGCAGTCGTTGTGAAATCTGTTTATTGACGAAATAAATACGTCGTGTTTTAAGTCCAGCATTCCGTTGTATGCATTTACGAGTCTGAAAGTAATATAGATATATTGTTAAATGTCATGGAATAAGTTTTACTACATTTCAAAATCCCCCCGCAGAGGAATAAGTAAATACCGTGTTATCATTAATTGATATTCTCATAACACGTTGATGTTGAAATTCAATGAAATTAAGTAATGCATACCGAAAAAACGACTGTAAACATTCTTCGTCAGTGTACTCGATTGTGTGGCAGATTAAGCTGTGCATCAATTTCGCTGTAACGTTGATCTTTTTTTTCAGCGACATTGTTACATGATGTACCCTGTACTTGTATATTACGTGAGAAGGAATCGTGACTTCCTGTATGATTTTATAAAGATCCAGGATGGTTTCCAGTTTTTTCAGCAATTTACATAACTCTTGGGTCTATAAGTGAAAATATAAAGAAGAAAAATGAATAGTAACGTTTACTGCCATTGTGATCCCCGTATGTTTCTTTTTTTCTTCATTATTTATTTTCAGGAGGCCCTGCTTTTATTTGTATAAAAGAATAATCGGTATAGCAGTATAGTGAATAAACGACGTAGATACCCTACCTTTTTATCGCTGGTCGAGAGATCATTTATAATCAAAGTGGTACTTCCAAGGAAATCCGAAATCTCATTGTTCAAAGTATGGGAATCCTCGAACCATTTTTCCAGAGCTTCATTTTGGAGAGGCAGCCACTTGCCGATGTTTATCCTATAGTTGTTGTCCATATTTACACCGATGCACCTGTGAAAATGTATTGTCTGAATCCATGAATAAGCAAAGAAGTAAAACTATGCAGGATTATCTAATATTTTGGACAATTTTATATATCGTTAATGTATTTCTTTGCTTCACATTATAAGCACTTCGTAGACAGTAAATTTCACTCCGTTTTCCACAATATATCTTAAAAATCCTAAAATACTTACCTTTCGTCTTTTGTTAGCAGGAAGTCCTTATCACCGATATCCAAATTCGGTCCGTAGGAAACTCATGGAGAAAATCACCTTCGATCGTTACACCGAAAGAAATTTCCGGAGCTCGTATCGACGGCATTACAACAATACAGAATAGAGAATAGAGAATCTATGAAAATCACAGTGTAAACATTCCTTTGGGCAGGAAACAAATGACGTTGAGTCGTCGTTGTCAATTTGAGGTTCTTTTCAACACAGGACTAATCGCCATGAGCACTGTGTGTCGACTCCACCACTCATCGAGAGGGATTTCATTCTTGTTTGTTGCAACTTTTACTGCCTAATTCCTAATATTGTTCGCCCTAACGGAAGACTCCGCTTGGAGCAAAGGAGGGTCTACGTAAATATTTGTAAACGCGCGTTCTCCGTTGCCTAGGAAACAAATTGACGTGCGTCGTTACTCCTTCGCGATATCGACGCCACGGCCGACGAAATATGGAAATGAGCTTCCAATTCAGCGTTGCCTCAAGTTTTCTTGTAATCATTGATCGGAAGTGTCTACGAGGGGGATGCTTGTAGTTTAAAAAAAATCAGGGTGCTTGGTTATCAGGTAGAATTATTTGTTAAATAAAAGATAAAGAATGGTATTGTTGGGTCAAGGCCGGACCGCAGTCAGGTTCGCCAAAATGGCGCACGCACTGCGGATGTTACGGTGAATCAAGGTCCCATGAATTTGAAAAATATTTCTGGAAACTGTTTTCAGATGTCCAGGGATCTAATTATATGATTTTTAAAGTCCCAATTAAAGGACGCAGATTAACCGAAACGGTAGGACTGTGATTTTTGAGCAAACATTGAATTCAAAATCATGGCAATGCATTTCATGCAGACATGTCTACGCGCGATTGCCTGTAATGTGGTAAAAAAATGATGGCAGGTGTCGCATTACGTGGTAAATTTTTCATGTTGAAGAAATATTTGTATTTTCGTTTCTTGTGTTCTATTTTATAATAAGGAATGTGCTTTTCACTTTGTACGGATTCTGAATCTCTTGTAATGGGATTTCAATAATGTGAAACCTCTTTCGTTTTACAGAGCAGTTTACCGTAAATGCATGTAGACATTTGTTGAACACCTAATAGATTTCATGGAAGATCGATTTTATCTGGGATTATGCCCGATCTTTGTTTTTTATTCCTATGCTTCCTGAATGTCTATGTACTGAATGAAGTCATGAAGTGTTAATATGACATTTGACATGTTTATAGGTTTTTGAGGAGAAACAGTAATTGTTAATATGCAAAAACAAGGACGTAGATTAAGGAATAAATGGCCTCTAGATCCTCACAGGGAGTATTTGGATGCTGAATCCGATGACGATGAGGATGACACAAGTAAGATCAATTAATTTATTGTTAGCTATATCTTTTCAAAATTGTAATGCCTTGTCCGACTGTTAAAAATATATTTTCTTGAGAAATATTTCTCGAAATCCTAACATCGAATTTAACGCGATTGCTTTATCAGATTTTGCCTAATACACTATAAATGGCGTTAAAAAAATTAACAGCGATAATAAACAAATTATACATTTTGATTTCAGGTCAGGGACCAGAAAAGGATGAATCGTCCAGTATAGTACAACCAATTTATGAAAAGGAGGAACTTCACCAATTAGTGAGTTTATTTTGCATATAAAAGACATACTCCATCAATTTTAAGTATAGATGACCTGAAACGATATCGCAAACACTGAAGCTTAAAATTAAATGATATTGTAAATAACCAATTTCTTAAACTTCAGATTAATTACATGAAAGATATGACTACGTTATTTAATTTAAAAGAAACAGACTGGAATGAAGAATGTTTATCAACGATGAGTGAATTTCTTTATCAGCCGGAAGCAATAGTAATTTGTTTGTACTTTGACGGAGATGAACTCGTTTCGGAATTGTCCTTTCCGATGAAGCCCATCCACGAACTGACGTATTTCATCAAAGAGCCATATGAACATTTAACCGTGGAAAATTTTCATGAAAACATCGTATTCGGCAGTATTAACGATCACGTCGAATCATCGATATTGAATATTGTCGAACATCTCCTGGCGCCAATATTCTTCAGAATATACTCTTGGCCTGATAGTATCCTTTCGAAAACTGTGATAATTTTAATAATCATGGATTCCACCGAAATAAACATTGTTGTAATCTATTTGATTCAAACCATTTTTGTTGCGTGTCTTAGTACGATATTTCGTGAATATTTATGTAACATTTTAGAAATTGCTATTTCCACCAAATTATTAAAGACACGCTACCAAGTTTGAAATTATTTATTCTGTATGCAAAAAAATATGCAACTTGCTGGTTATGTTCACGATGAGGCATAAGATAAGGAATGGTGAGAAATTTGGAATTTTTCCTCAACCTAGGAACATACGCGAAGGCCAATTTCTGGGCCAACGTTCACAATTTTTTATGTACCCTGACGGACTTGACATACAAAATGTTGGGGTTGACAGTGATTTACTTACCCTTAGAGGCTTATGACCTCACCCCTGATGAAGCAAGCACTGATAAGGAGCTTGTAAAGCGATTTGAAAGCGTTGTCATGCACTGGACGAGGCAGATCAGGGTAGCTCTCGGAGATCAAGACCAAGCAACCTCTCGTGAACTTTTGCGACTTACCGACGAATATGAATTTTGGCTCTATCGATGTTAGTGCTTTCGTAACTCTTTTTACACTAAACCGAACCAACAAAACTGCAACACCTAAAAACCGAAAACGTGCATATCCGATAACCACATATATCATTAGGGACAATAAATGGAGACTATGAACATGTCTCGATAATTATTATGTTTTAAACCGAAAATGAATTCTCATTCCTTTACATTACCTTATACATGTTCTAATTTGTATGCGTTTCAATTTTTGTTGTTGCAATTTTCGGTAAGAAACAATGCAAAGCCTCCTAGAATGTCTATTCAGAAAATCGGCAAGGGATTCGGGTTATTTTATAAGTACAGAGAAAGGGCTTAATCTTAATTAGAATACATTATCCATTAATAATGATGGTTTTTTTTAAATGGTAATAATAAGCAGAAGGCGCATTATTTATAGGACGACTCAATATTTTCATGATATTGTACTAATAAATATTTATTTTTCTATATCTGATAAATGGAGTGGATATTAAGATATCACATAGAGTAGAATAACGTGTAAGTTTAATTCATTTTTATACTTTATTGCATTTCATAATTTCCTTCCGCAGATGACAACCTGTGTGGGCTCAACAGTCAACTGCAGAATTCAATTGTTAAACACGTTGTGGAAATATCAACGTCAACTCAGTCCACCTACGTTAGGCAATTTTTAACACTCAACGAGGAGATCGATCAGGGAATGAAAGTGGCTAAATCGAATATTGAAATTCTTGGCATTTTACGGGAGTCATGCGGAAAATTAGACGCTTGTTCTTCTCCTAATGAAATCAGCAAGTACCTTCCCGAGATAATTCAACTCCTTAGAGTAATATGGCTTAATTCTCCTTTCTTCAATAACGCGGAGAAGATGAGCAGCTTATTCGTTACTCTGAGTAATCAGGTGGTAGTCCTTTGCAAGAAATTCATCGATTTAAGGGAAATGTTCTACGGTAGGACAAGGAAGTGCATGCAGATTTTAAAACAGTGCATAGATGCGTGCAAAGAATATAAACGAATTTACAACGAAGTAAGTCAACGTGTTATTTAAATATGTAAGCCTCGACATTTAGAAGTCATTATGGATGCTATGCTGAGAACATTTCAAGAATAAGGATGATAATAAAAATAATAAAAGCTCAGCGGCTGTAATTCAAATACATTTATTATGATAATCTGAGTTATGTTAACCACGTTTCAGATCTCATTGGCTCATAATACTTTGACAGATACATATTGGGTTTTGGACAGTGAGCTGATTTTTCGGCACGTCGACGTTTTCATTACTCGATGTGAAAATGTGATCGAAATATGCCAAGCGATGATCGATTTTGCCAGGTCAATAATTTTAGGATTTAACTGGAATTTCTTTTTCCCTCTTTGTCATATTTGTGAAAAATCTGGTATCGACATGTTTGTATTTAAATTGTAGGATGGATGACACGACCATTATACCTAAACCTATATTCGGTGGCACAAAGGGAATTGAATATGAAAGGGTCTGCCAAAAAGTGGAAAGACTTTTTCTCGAAAGTCTTCGTAAAATTGAGGCAAACTCTCAGAAGATTTTCGATGTTCACCAACCGACTTGGTACGACGACATGTTTCGTTTCCGTGAAGAGGCAAAAGACTTGGAGATCATTTTGGAGAACCTTATGACTAGCGTCTTTCAGGACATGAACAATATCCAGGAAGGAATTAATCATCTCTATGGATTTTATAACTTCATGGGCCGAAAGACCTTAAGAACTCTGTTTGATAGCAAGATTACCCTCGCGAGTATTCCGGAGCAATTATTAATTTTCTCCATTTTCTCCTAATTCCAATCATTACTTCACTTAAGAATATAATAAAATATCTAACTTTATCCGTGATTATGTGAGCATTATTTTTATGAACTTCGTGGATACGAAATTTCAAACAAAGCCACCTTCAAGAAATTCTTCTCGTGGTAAATGCACGTTTAGTTTCTCTTATCCCTTCTTCACTTTCCACTAGTCTTTGAATTTAATATCGTTTATTGGATCCGTAGTTATTATTTACACTGTTCTTTGTAGATTTGGAAAATGTTCGGGGAGGAGATACAGAAAACAAAGCAAGAAGTCCTGGACGAGTACGAGGAATACTCTTCAACGGCACCATACTATTCCGGCAGAGCTCAAAATCTGCGATTAAAAATCTATAGATTAGAAGCGATGAAAAAAACCGTCGACGAAGCGAAATGGATGTTTCCTTGCAATATGGCCGAGGAAGTTTACCTTCAGCACAAGATTCTCGTCGCATCCATCGAAGATTCCATTAGCGATCTTTATTACAAATGGATCAACGACACCGGCGAAAATCCTGTGGATCGTTTGGACAGATTTTTAATGCGTCGAAGTTCGGTTACACCGGAGTTTATAGAATGTAATATCGACCAAAGTATCATTCAGATATGTAAAGAAGCCAGTTATTGGATTAATCTTGGATTTAACGTTCCCGTGCATATACAAGTTGTACATGGAAAATGGGACACGCTGCAGTTTGTTTATGAGAGCGTTCTTACGGTGGTGCTGTCCTATAACAAAATTATAGATGGTAAGGGTTCTTTTTTTTTTTTAATTAAGTACTACTTAATCAAAAAGTACAACATACAGGGTCTGAATGGAAATATTATATAATTAAATTACTTTTGATTTTGAGTAATTTATATTCTTTATCAGCTCTATCTAAACAGGAGCGAGAACTCTTTCGAGATTTGATAAGGCTTGTCGATAGGAAAATAAAAGTAGGACTAACAAGATTCACTTGGAATTCCGAGTTCATCGATGCCTTCATACAAGATTGTTGTAATCAAACAGCAAATGTAAGGAATGTTAACTTTAAACTTGAGAATTTTTACCTTATCCTTGGAAAATTGCATCGTATCGTGCCGATAAGTGAAATATAATTCGAATGTTGATTCGAAATTTATTATATTCCAGCTTCAGGAGTTCCTCGACACATACAAAATCTCGAATTTCGAGATAGTTAAGGTTTGTGAAAGGATTTGCGATAGGCCGATGATAAGGATAAGGCCCAATTATGCGTATCGCTTAAAAGAACTGGAAATGGAACTTAGAAATGAAAGGTAACGATATCGAGAAAGTTGTTGCGTTCTGTTTTATTGTACTTAGTATGTCAAATAATCGTAAGTAACAGTAGATAATAAACGGCAATTTTACAATTGCAATAGGTGCGAGTAATTTAGTCTATGCATGTATCTGTAGCTTATGTTGATAAAAGATGATCGGTTAATTAAGATTGATGGTATAACTACATGCTTGCATTGTTTCTTGTTTGTTTATTTTCAGAGAAGCGGTTATACAAGATATTATTAAAGACTATAGTACAATCATGCAATTTGTAATGGTCGTATATGAAGGATTTCAACCTGTGTTGGAAGATGTGAGTACAAACTATAGTTTATTTTTCAAATTTCTATTACATCGGTATTTTAATTTTTTTTTTTTCCAGAGTATCGTAGAGTGGAAGAACTATCTGAGTAACTTGGATAAATTGTTGGAAGAAGCATTTAGATTGTGTCTGAAGAATTCGATATCCGTCATTTACGAAGCCATGCATGGGGACGGAACTACAGCACCTTCGCCCATTTTATTCGTTGAAGTCGATCTTGTTAATAACAAAGTAAGATTAATTTTTTTATTTTAACGTGCACAGTTAAACGCACATCACCAAATGAATTCAGTTACCACATGGTTTAGCTGTAGTTACAACGAAGATACTAAAAGTTTATTACTCCATTCGATTTTGTGTTCCATTTTCGTATGGATGTTGTTAGTAACGTCAAATAGAAATTGGAAAAGTTGTTTTGGATTTCATTAAGACTAGTGCAGTAATAATAATTCGGTGTTTAAATTTGCATCGATCGATGTAGATATCGTTTGAACCTGCATTAAGTGAAATTGGGAAATTAGTGGCAGGAGTTCTTGAAGACCTTGTAGAACCATTGAAGAGAATTCCAAGGGTTATGCAGAAATTTAGATTAGAAGATTCTGAGAGTAAATCCTTTTCTCAAGTATACGTAGAAGATGAAGAATTCAAACGCTTGCAACAAATGCTTAATAACGGTAAGATTTTCATGACATGAGATAAAGTAATTATAAGTAGGAAACTATTGCACAGTTGTCACTGACTTGTTCAATTTCGATAAACCATCGCTCAGGAAATCTTAACATATATCAGACGTTTATCCAACGTATTATTTATCAAATACGCAAGATTATAATATTCTTCTTACTTTTTAAATCAAATTTCAGAAGTGGGATACTGTCATGCTCAAGTGCAGAATTATTTAAAAACTTGGGAACCCTTCCGAGATATGTGGGAAATTAACAAGGACATATACATCCAAAGGTAATGTCGTAGTTAATGATAATACTTTATCATTTTAGTATGTCTAGAATTTCGGGAACTTCTAATAAACATCTGTTTCAGTTTCATTATTATATTCTAAAGAAAGGGGATAAATGGATTTTGTTCCGAGTGATAAAGTTGCGAATTATTAGAAATTAATCGATAAGAAGAATTCGTTGCTGTTTCAATTTTTTAGGTATGAAAAATTAAAGCCAACAGTAGCATCCTTCGACGCAGACATTGGAAGATACGCTGATACCGCAAATAACGTTCAAATGCAGGAAACGGTATCTACAGTGTATTTCTTGGACATCAATTCTGATAAACTGAAAACCGCCATCATCGAGCAATGCGTCGAATGGCAAAAAAGACTGACTGGACTTCTGTTGCGACTAACAGACTCGAAAATCATGCACATCTATAAATATATAGCAGAAAATACTAAAAAGTACGTTGTAAATATTCATTACTTTGTAATGATTATGGTTGATCCATGAAAACCCATTGTGGTTGAAATAGGTTTCATATAATTTTATTTAATTGCAGCTTAAGTACGGAGCCAACTGATCTCGCAACAATGCAAACTGCTATGCAATTATTTGACAGACTGCAGACCGAAGCACAAGAGCATGAAGAGGACTTCCCAAAAATTCGCGAACAATTCCAGATTTTGGGTAAATTTATTGCTTCCGAGGATGCACTTTTATAAGCATACTTATAATCATTCGATATTCTTTGCGGTTATTTTTCGTCGTCTGACTTATCTTTTTAAATTGTTAATTTAGAAAAATACCAGGTACCGATGACGTTCGAATTCAAGAGGAGAGTTAGGGATATCGAAAGTTCATGGAACGTTTATTTGGAGTTGCTCGCCGCATCTGAGATTCTCCTCCTCGAGAAAAAAGTATGATTTTCCTATAATGGCTTAAATTATGTATATCATTTTTGTGCAGACCATTTAATGTTTTATATTTCTATCTTCAGAATGTCTATTTTTTTTTTAATTAAATTGAATGCGTATTTTAAATAGGAGCAATTTAAGAAACAGCTGTTGAACGTGGCTGCACTACTTACATCGGATATGGTGAATCTGATGAACTCTTTCTATGAAAATGGACCTTTCACCTCGGATTGGAAATCGGATGGTACTTAATAAATCATTTTTACATTCTTTATGCTGATAAATCGGTTTCTCTATTTGTGCTAGTCCAAACGCCAATCTAAACTAACACAAGTTACACTTTATACTAGTAAGTTAAATTTCATGATTTAATTGTTATAACAGATGCTTTGTCATGGATCGATGATTTTCGAATGGAAATAAGAAATCTGAGAGAACGGGAAACTCAGTTAAAAGCAGACCTTGTTATCTTTGGTATCAGCCAGTCGGACTCGCCGGAATTAGCTAAGCTGGAAAAGGTAGATTTTCTAGTAATTTTGAGGATGTTTATTAATAAAAAATTCATGTTATAGGACTTAAGGCCAATTGAACACGTATGGCGAACGGCAAAGGAATGGGAAGATGCTTGGGAGAGTTACAAGCACGGACATTTTTGGACCATTGAAATGGCAGATATGGATTCTACCGCGAATGTTCTTTTTCGAAAATTGACGAAATTGTCGAAGGAGCTGAAAGAGAAGAATTGGGAAATTGTCGAAACTATGAGGTACCCGAATTGGTACTTAAATGTCAGAATCTGATTTTTCAATTTCCTGAGAACATGTATGTACGTATTCGCCATATTTTCAGAACGCGTCTGGATAAATTTAGACGAACATTACCTTTAATAAACGATTTGAAAAATCATGCAATGCGGGATCGTCATTGGGATAAGGTGAAACAGGTGATCGGTCGAGAATTCGATCATTCTTCCGATGATTTTACTTTGAACGCCATTGCTGACATGCAAATGCAGAATTATGCGGAACAAATTGCGGACATTTCAAACGCGGCTACGATGGAACTTGGTATAGAAATGGCAAGTACTTTGACCGATTAAATATTGAAAAAAAGTATCGCATTATTTAGTTGGTAAATTGTTGGAAATTACCCGGAATGTCTGAGCGAGATTTCTCCTTGAGAAACTCATTCAAAAATTATATTTTGTTTCGTTAGGGATTAAAAGAGATTGCAGAAGTGTGGAAACGCATGCCTCTTGACATGATATTGCACAAGGATAGAGGATTTTTCGAATTGAAAAGTGTAGAGGACATTACTCAAGCTTTAGAAGCTCATCAGGTTCAATTGACAGTGATGAAAGCAACGAGGTTGGCAATTTATGTTGTAACAGATATCATCTTTTCTAATTTCAATAATGAATTGGGATGTTTCAATGAAATGATATGTATACACTCATACATTGTATTGCGGATTAATTTTGTTTCTGTCCTTCAAGATTTGTTGAGCCATTTTCTCAAGATGTCGATTATTGGGAACGCGCTTTATCTACCGTAAACGAAGTCTTGGAAATGATTTTAGTTGTGCAGAAAGCTTATACTTATCTACACGATATATTCAATGCCGAGGATATTAGAAAACAGTTGCCGAAAGAAACGGATGACTTTGATAAGTTAAGTCTGGAATGGAGAAAAATAACTGCTCGGATGGCTATGAGTAGTCTTGCAATGGACGCCACCCATAACCCTCGTAAGAATTTTTTTATAGCCAAGAAAATGACGGAAACAACAAAATTAAGAATTTTATGAGTTACGTTATAATATTTAGCATGAAAAATATGTACACGTTTCTCTGCTGCACGTGAAATTAATTTTCAGCCAACTTACTTGAATTGTTGAACAAACTCAACGATAGTCTTGAAGAAATCCAACGTGCCCTAGAACAATATCTCGAGACCAAGAGGCACATTTTTCCAAGATTCTATTTTATCTCAAATGACGACCTTTTGGAGATCTTGGCAAATTCGAAAAAACCCGAGCGAGTCCAGCCGCATATTAAAAAGCTTTTCGAAGGCATGAAGATGCTAAAAATTATGAAAGTAAAATACAAGTGCACGCTATCTTATCATATGATAGTGTACCGATATGATATATATGTGAATATAACTTCAATAATGTTCAAGTCACTGCTACGATTTCATTTAATGATCATAGAATCGATCGCAGATTTCTAGGGAGAACTTGATAAAATATTAACGAATTAACGCATAATATAATTATGTTTGTTATAGACCTCAAGTGGAAAACACTCGGCCGAAGGAATGTTATCATCGGAAGGCGAGTACGTCGAATTTCTTAAACCTGTAATGTTGGAAGGTCAAGTCGAAATTTACTTGTGTCATGTAGGTGAGAGAACATTTAGTTCAAATTTTCTGTCAATGTGTGGAATTACCCTAAAAAATGGAATTAATTAAAAAAAGTATATGTGTGCGTAAAATTGCACAGTTGAATATCTCTTCTTCTGTTATTCCTTACAGAAACTGCGATGCGCAATTGTTTGCGCGAAGTTTTACGACAGTGCAAAGCGGCGCTTCGTAAAATGTTGGCAAAACGAGATAAATGGGTAAAAGAGTGGCAGAGTCAACCCGGAATCACCTCATCGCAAATACAATGGACCAATGATTGTACCCGAACTCTTCTGCAGTGCAAGTAAAAGTTGCATTCAATGACTCCAGGATAAATTAAAAATGTTATCTCACTCTCACGGGAAACTATTGTAACATCTCATATTTATTTTACAGACTGATGGATTCGAAAAAGCCTTTGAGGAAATTAAGAAAAAAGCAAAATCAGGCATTGTCGAAATATTCGGAGACCATTCGATCCCAACTTAATAGACTGCAACGATTAAAGTTCAAAGCGATCGTCGTGATAGAGATTCACGCCAGAGATGTTATAGAGAAATTGTATAAAATTAGTAGGTCATGTTTTATTTATAAAAGTTTAGAACTATCTAATATTTATCAAGATTAGCATTCCAAGATGATTTATATAAGTTAATAACCAATTTAATATCAGATTGCAGAGACGTATCATCATTCGACTGGCTGTCACAGTTGAGATTTTATTGGGAAAGAGACACCGATGATTGTATCGTGCGACAGACAAATACATATTTCGTTTATGGTTACGAATATCTCGGGAATTCCGAACGACTCGTTATCACTCCTTTGACGGATCGGTGACTGATAAAAAAATTTATTATTGCGTTTAGCATTACATTGTTTTAAGTCTATCACGTATATGGTATGATTTTCCAAAATACTGTGTCTATTAATAGTAATTATTTATCAAAAGATGCTATATAACCCTGACAACTGCTCTGCATTTACATCGCGGAGGCTGCCCAAAAGGACCAGCAGGAACTGGAAAGACGGAAACTGTAAAGGATCTTGGAAAAGCATTGGGATTTAATGTCATTGTCCAAAACTGTTCCGAAGGATTGGACTACAAAAGCATGGGAAGGTTGTTTTCCGGTTTGGCACAAACGGGTGCATGGGGATGCTTTGATGAATTTAACAGGTACATCGGGATTAACATTTTGCACAAAAGGAAATTATTTATAAAATGACCCTAGTTTTATATGCTTAAACTGTTATGAGAGGATTGTTCTATATATATCGAAACGTCAAAATATTTATAAATCTTTTCTCCAAACTGGGTGCACCGAATCATTCGAAACTTCAATACTTGATTATGGAGGCTCTAAGAAGAACGTGATGCTTATGAAATTTCACTTTTAAAATAAATGTTATTCTTTATCTCAGTTTAGACCTAAAGACATTTTTTTTGTTATTAAATTTCATGAGCATCACGTTCTTCATAGGGCCTCCATGACCACGTGCTAAAGTTTCAAATGATTTGGTGCACCCAGTTAAGAAAAAAGTTTTATCAACATTTTGACGTTTTCATATTTATATAGAATGACCCTTTCATAACACCACGATAATTAATTTTGACCGGTTTCCAGAATTAATATCGAAGTACTGTCAGTCGTGGCACAACAGATCTTATCGATTCTCACAGCTTTGGCCCAAAAACTGACAAAATTCGCTTTTGAGGGTTGTGAGATTTCGCTGGTCCATACTTGTGGGATTTTCATTACTATGAATCCAGGTTACGCAGGTCGCACGGAGTTGCCTGATAATTTGAAATCGATGTTTAGGCCAATATCAATGATGGCACCTGACAGTAGCATGATTGCGGAAATTAGTTTATTCGGAGAAGGATTTCAAAACACGCGCTCTTTGGCTAGAAAGGTATTTTTACAAATACTTGACATAGTGACAGCGAAGGAAGTCAATTAATAATTTTAAATTTTACATCTAAACAGGTTTATACGCTCTATACATTAGCCCAACAGCAACTCAGTAAACAATTTCATTACGATTTCGGTCTTCGAGGAATCGTAACTCTTACAAGATATGCTGGAAAAAAGAGGCGTTTATATCCGCATTTAAGCGATGAGGAGGTAACAAATTAGGACATTTTTTTTCCTCTTTTTGTCGTTGCGGAATCATTTTCTAACAGCCATATAACGCCGTTTTACATTTACAATTTAGGTTGTTCTTCTAGCCATGAAGGATATGAATGTGGCAAAATTAACTTCCGAAGATTTGCCTTTATTCAATGGAATCACTGCGAGTCTTTTCCCAGGGATAGATCTTCCGACTGTTGATTATGAACAATTAATTTCTTATATAACTCGAGAAGCAACGCAACTAAATCTTCAAGTAAAGCTCCCGTCAAAAAATTCGTCTAATAAGTGGTATTATTAGAGCTGATTTATTGTTAATTTATCCGAACCATTTTTTCCATATTTTGCTTCCAGCCGATCCCGTTAATAATAACCAAAGTTATACAATTATACGAGACGAAGACATCACGGCACTCAACAATGATTGTTGGTGAATCTAACACTGCTAAAACGGTTACGTGGGAAACACTGAAAAATACTCTAACAACTATGAAAAAGAATAAGGAAGCTGGCTATAATGCAGTACACGTATATCCCATAAATCCAAAAGCATTAAATTTAAGTGAATTATATGGAGAGTATAATTTGGCCACAGGAGAGTGGCTTGATGGTGTCATTTCGTCAATAATGCGAATAGTTTGCGCAGGTAAAAAATTAAATTTTGTCCCATCGTAAAATTTGCAAGGAACAAGAGAGACCAGAGTTGTTGATAATTAATATGATCAAAAAGTACGCTAAGATCAGATGAATAATATGATGCAAAAATTAACGTGAAATAGAATGACAACATGAGAATCGATGTAATCAGAAATACAGAATATTCGCGGTTTAAAAAAATGTGCTTATGCATAAATTGGCATTTTCTACAGAGGAAACCCCTGATGAAAAGTGGATTCTATTTGACGGTCCAATTGATGCAGTTTGGATAGAGAACATGAACAGTGTAATGGACGATAATAAGGTACAGGAAAAATGTGATAAAAGTTTATTTGTAAATCAGTTTGAGTTATTCGTAACGTTTGATTCTGAAATTAAGATAATACCTATTAGTTAGAAATTTAACATCTACATTTTCTTATTCGTAGCTGCAGGTACTAATCATTTTTTATTCGTGTTATGAAATAAAGATTCGATTCATTTATTTATGTTGATTTCTTTGAAGATCCTGACGCTTATAAACAACGATCGCATCACGATGCCAGAGCAAGTGTCCCTCCTATTTGAAGTTGAAAATTTAGCTGCAGCTTCACCAGCTACTGTATCCAGAGCAGGAATGGTTTACAATGATTATAAAGACATTGGTTGGAGACCTCTTGTTAATTCCTGGCTTCAAGCTTATAAAAATGAACCACGACTAGCCAATGAGGTAATTTGAATATTATATTTCACCTAATTTAAGATATTAATTCATTTCGTTAGAAACTCGCTTTTTATATACGTACGTGAATCATTAAAAGACGTGCAGCTAATAGTAGCTAATTTTCAATTGCAGAATATTTGCACTAAGTTAGGAGGAACAATAACTTAAGCTGCATAATGCCAAGATAAAAATTAATAAACCCATAGTTTTATATTCCTTGATATAACACGATTCTTCATTTTTCTTTTCATATTGGATGCTTACCACGAAGCTCAATGGACTCTTCGATCGCTACGTTAACCCAATCCTCGAATTTAAACAACAAAATTGCGAAGAAACCATACCAGTTCCCGAATTGAATGCCGTTGAATCGCTTTGCAAGCTTTTGAAAATCTTCATTACTTCCGAAAATGGCGTCGAGGTAGGCGAGGATCAGGATAGTTTCAGTGCGATGTGCAAGTTGTGGTTTCTGTTCTGGTGAGTTGTTAATTGAGAAGAAAAAAGAGATTTATCTACTACAATTCGAGTTTAGATATTTGCACCTAATCATTTCCTTTATATTTAATTTCACAGTTCGGTGTGGTCGATCTGTGCATCGGTAAATGAAGATAGTCGGTTCAAAGTCGATACGTACTTGAGAGAGATAGAGGGTTCTTATCCTTTGAAAGATACCGTCTATGAATATTACGTGGATGTCAGAAAACGCAGCTTCGCCTCTTGGGAAGAGAAGCTGCAGCAATCTTGGAAATTTCAACCAGGGTAAGCCTGATAAAGTATTCAGTCTTGCAGGAAGTATTTATTTAATATTTTCGAACGTCCATACCTGTAGGCATAAGTATACGTTTTGTTATTAAAATAATTATATAAGATTTCATTGCTTCGAGGTAATGATGGAGTAACTTAAATTTTTCTTAGAATTCCGTTTTATAAGATATTCGTCCCCACCGTTGACACCGAACGATACATATCTTTGGTTAATGCACTCGTTGCAAAAGGATATCCAACTTTACTTGTTGGTCCTGTTGGGACAGGAAAAACGTCAATTGCACAGGCCGTTCTTGATTCTGCCAATCGTGAGAAGTATAGTATTCTCGTAGTCAACATGTCTGCTCAAACGAGTTCCAAAAATGTCCAGGTATTGGATAAACACTTCCTATTTTTTTAATAATTACTAAGAAAGGGAGGGCATACCTAGAAAAAATATTCAGACTCCATATGGTATTTGGTTACGTAAAACCTCTGAATGAAGTACATAGTCATAAATCCTGCAGGATTGTACGATAGGTACTTTAGCTACAATAAAATTTTCATAAACAATTTACAGTTGTTTAAATTGCTAAAAAATATAAAGCAGAGACTCACAGCGATGTTGGATATAAATAGTTGCAAGATGTAAATACAAGTATCAGTTCTTATCATTTTTTTCCCAGGATTGTATCGAAAGTAAAGTAGAAAAACGTACTAAGGGTGTGTACATCCCAATCGGCGGTAAGATAATGATTACGTTCATGGATGATCTTAACATGCCCATGAAAGATGAATACGGTTCGCAACCTCCTTTGGAACTGCTTCGACAATGGATTGGTTATGGATTCTGGTAAAGCAGCGAAGTCGGCCTTGTGAAATTTTAATTAAATTACGTTATGTAATTATAATATATTTTCTAACTTATACACTAACTGCACAGGTACGATCGAAGGAAGTATGGGCGAGTGTATGTGCAACGAATGCAATTAATTGCTGGAATGGGACCTCCAGGCGGTGGTCGTAATACCATTTCTGATCGTTTACTTACAAGATTTAATGTCATCAACATGACACTACCTGTAGACAAACAAATCACAAGAATCTATGGTACAATGTTGAACCAACGACTCTTTGATTTCCATCCAGAAGTTAAAGGAATGTGTAAGTGTTTTCAATGGGAAGGAATTGTCCTGTTGGAAAAAAAAATACTTTTATATTATTTATACGTATTATTACATAATCATATATTGCAACATCCTGTACAACTGTATAAACCAAAAATGCTTTATTTCGTTTTATTAGCCAGCGATCTGGTCAGTGCTACTATTAGGATGTACAACAATGTCATTCTAAAGATGCGACCTACTCCTTTGAAGATGCACTACCTCTTTAATTTAAGAGACATATCCAAGGTCTGTTACATTGTACTTAATTTAACGACAATCAGTTATGTATTACGGAGCGCTGTAATATCAATTAACATTTAATTTATTCCACAAGATTTTTCAAGGATTGTTGCGCAGTCATAAGGATTATCACGATTCAAAGCAAGTGTTTCTTCGTTTGTGGGCCCATGAATCATTTAGGGTATTTTGCGACCGACTGATTGATGAAAAGTAAGATTGATTCTTAGTATTGTTTGAATCTTCGTATAATGATTAATGATTTCAGAGATAAAGAATGGTTCATCGGTCAGATCAATGAACAACTTGGGAAGTACTTCGAGACGACATATCACAGTTTGTGCCCAGACAAAAGAAGTCCAATTTTTGGTCAGTACTTTCAATACTGGAATTGTTTACATAATTACATTGACAAAGTATTATTTAATTCGGGTCTAGTAGATACAGTAGAGATCATTTTCTTCAAATACTTAAATTCAAGTAGGGCGAAGCAACATTTAGTAAATGGTGAAAAAATGTAAATTTATATATCGTTTTACAGGCAGTTTCATGAATGCTTGGAACATTTACGAAGATTTAACTGATATACCGGCTTTACGACGATATATAGAAACACAAGTGGAGGAGCACAATTCGTCTCCAGGAGCTGTTTATCTCGATCTCATCCCTTTCCAAGACGCCATCGAGCATATTTGTCGTATCGTGAGAGTGATTTCTCAGGTTTGTGCTGAAATTAATTTCAGATTTCTGATAAGTCAGAAATTCCGCTGTCCATCCACATTTAATATACATTTTTAATATCATCCCTTTTGACTGAAATCGACATTTTTTTTTATCCACCCTCATCAATCATTCATTGGATGTCACAATACGAATATGTACTTCGCAAGGTATATACAAAGTGGAAGCTGACACTTCTTGAAGAATAATCTAAAGTTGTGAAAATTGATCACCTAATGTAATATCAAACAAGTATCCTGCATTGTTCAATACGTTGTTGCATAATCTAGCGTTGTAATTTTGCCACGTCTCTATCGCGATTAACTAATCCATTGAACTCAATGGTGTCTGCAAAAGAAACATGGAGGTGTTAATACAGGTATGTTTTGTATTAATTTATGTCACGTTTATAATAGCCTCGTGGACACATGCTGTTGATTGGAATAGGAGGAAGTGGCAGACAAACCGCAGGAAAAATTGCTGCATACATATGCGAGGGGAATGTCTTCCAAATCGAAGTGACAAAGCATTATCGCGTTATGGAGTTCCGCGAAGACTTGAAACGATTGTACACAATGGCTGGAGTAAATAACCAGCTTACAGATTTCATATTTAATGACTCGCAAGTGGCGGAGGAGCAGTTTTTAGAAATTATTAATACCATACTGAGCACTGGTGAGGTTACCAATTTGTACAAGGACGAGGAAATGGAGGACGTGAGTATTATCATTTATGACTTATTAAACGTAGCATGAAATGAAGTAACCATACGATTATCAATTTATTCAATGTGACATACTAAACAGTTTATTAAATCTTTCGATACTTCATAGGGAAATGAAGATCAGCTGTAATTTTTGCAGAATTTAAATCTCGCATTAGAATTTAATTTCTGGCATCTGTAACCATTTTTCCTTTTACAGATTAGAAATATTCTGGCGAAGGAGATTTTAGGACCAAAATCGAATGCTTTGCCTAGTATTGAAGTGGTTCACGCATTCCTCATCGAAAGAGCCAGAAGTAATATGCACATCTTTTTGTGTATGAGTCCACTCGGAGATGCATTTAGGAATAGACTGCGTCAATATCCAGCTCTAATTAATTGCACAACAATTGATTGGTTCCACGAGTGGCCGAAAGACGCACTGTTGGAAGTGGGAAACAAATTTTTACAGGACCTCAACTTAATCATCACGATTACCGGTGAAAATATAGTGGTGAATACTAATTTATGCACGCTAAAAGGACAGAAGTTAATGAAAAATGGCTACAGTCAATATTTATAAATTTATTTTCGTAAGACGGCTGTATCAAGTCGCCGCTCAATAAGGGATGCTTTTTGACATTCATATGGTGCTTGCTAAATATTTATTTTATCTTGCAATACGTCATGGATGTTTTTAAATTCTTTTGTCTGAATTTTGTATGTATACCGACCAGGTATTTTAATATTTATAGGAACCAAGACGATCAGCTACGGCTATACCGATACTTCCTCTTCAAGAACGTATGAGAGAAGGTATTGCTTCTCTCTTTGCTCTCATCCACAGCTCGGTGTCGCAGTTTTCGAAGCGAATGAAAATCGAAAAGAAACGTCACAATTACGTGACTCCCACAAATTTTCTAGAACTCGTAGCTGGTTACAAACGGTGAGTTCTGCAAGAATGCCTTCTGAAACGAGTACAGAGGATTATGCAAGAGCATGCACTTATCAAACTGATAATTATTAATTTAATATCAATGTAAATCTGCAGTATGCTCTCCGAAAAGAGACAAGAGTTGGCCGATCAGGCAAAGAAACTTCGAAACGGACTGTTTAAAATTGACGACACACGCGAAAAGGTGAATGAAATGGCGGCCGAATTGGAGGTGACACAAGAACAGGTTCATCAATCGACGAGGGAATGCGAGGAATTTTTAATTACTATCGTCAATCAACGTCGCGACGCCGATGAAACGCAAAAAATGGTTACTGCTAGGTCGATTCGCATCGAAGAAGAGTCAATAGAATGCAAAAAATTGGAGGAAATAGCTAGGGCAGATCTTGCGGCTGCTGAACCTGCACTAGAAGAAGCGATGAAGGTCCTTTCAATTTTTTATGAAAATAGGGACCATAATTTCCCTGTCCTTAAAGGGATGTGAAAGTGGCATCTGATGGGTTAATCGTTCTTGAAACTTTTCTCCGTGCTGGGTATACCAAATCGTTTCAAACTTTACAACGTAAATATTAAGGCTATAAGGAAGATCCTGAAACTCATGAAATTTAATTTTTATATGAAAAATAAAAAATATGTATAAACCAATTTTTAAAGAATTGAAATTTCCTGGGTGTTAGGACCTTTCTTATAGTCTCTATGTTAACGTTGAAATGTTTGAAACGATTCGGTACACCCAGCTCAGAGAAAAGTTTTATAAACGAGACATCTTTGACGCCACTCTCATATCACCTTAATCATGAGTTTTGGCATTGTCGATTTTTATGTTGAGCTTATTCTGCAATTAATTTATGGAACGGAAAGTGTGAAATTACATAGGATTCGATTTAGGCTTTGGATGCTCTCAATAAGAAGGATTTAACCGAAATCAAGTCTTTTACGCGACCTCCTATGAAAGTCGAAATGGTAATGGAAGCTGTGATGATCCTGAAGAATTCTGAACCGTCCTGGGCGGAATCGAAACGTCAATTAGGTGACGTGAACTTTTTGAATACGGTACGTAAACATTTCATTATATAGGATAAATATTTAACTCGAATACAGGATCTAAGAATTCGCATAATTGTTACACTTCGTTTTGCTTCGTTGATAAGCGTGATTAATTATTAAGATTAATTATACCTCTGAGAGATCGTTCACAAATAAGGAGGTGTAATAATTTGCAAAAAAAGATCATGCTTTGAATGTGGAGATATCAGATTTTTACATGTACAGTGTTTAATTAAAACTGTTCTGCTTTTGGGTGGACAGCTTCGAGATTTTGATAAGGACCACATATCTGACAAAACTTTGAAGACTATAAGTAAATACACGTCAAATCCGGAATTTGATCCAGTTAAAGTGGGCTTGGTTTCGATTGCAGCAAAATCGTTGTGCATGTGGGTGATTGCCATAGAACAATATGGAAAGTTGTACAGGTTTGACAATTGTGGATACTTCAGATCAACTTCAGTTTTCGACCTCAGTAATTAGCATTAGCGTTTCTTGGAAACCATTGTTAATGCTTTCGATACATATTACAGCTGCATCATGAATTTCTTGTACATTTCTTCCATAATAATGACTCATTATAGGATAATAGCACCAAAGAGGGAGAGGCTGGAACAAGCTTTAATTTCTCTACGACAAAAGGAGGCAGCTTTGGCCGAGGCAAAGGAACAATTACAAAAACTGCGAGACGAGCTGTTGAGGTTGCAACAAATGTATGACGCCAAGATGAAGGAAAAGAACGATTTAATCAGTCTGGTATGAGCATTATCTTGAAGTATTGAAAAACCATAATATTAAAGAAAATATCGTTGCATCTGATACTACCGAATAATGTTATGTTTATTTCCTATTTTTTTTTATTCTTACTCCTGTTGACTCTTCCAGTAGGATTTTTGTTTTCATGTGATTGTAAAGGAAGAGAGAAATGGTAAGTAAAATACAGCATAAGAAGGACCAAGTACATAGAATTAATATTATTGAATATTTTCCAGGCGAAACTTCTGAAGTTAAAATTGGAACGCGCCGCCATGTTGGTCGATGGTCTTTCGAGTGAGCGAATAAGATGGGAAAATTCGATTCATTCTTTGGATGAACTGTTTAATTGGTTGCCTGGTGATTGTTTAATATCCACTGCATTTTTGTCATACCTGGGCCCCTTCGATACTGGTTATCGATTGGAGCTTTTCGATATTTGGACGGCCGAGGTGAAATACATTTTGCGCATTTTATTGTCGCGTTCGTTGGGAAATTAGCTACATGTTTTCACGTTTAAAGATCAAGGAAAAGGAGATTCCAGCATCCCCAGATTTGGACGTAATAGATTTCCTAAGCGACAGCACGACCATTAGAGAGTGGAATATTCAAGGATTACCTTCTGACGAGTTTAGCACGGAAAATGCAATTATTATAATGAGAGGTTCGCGGTGGCCGTTAGTTATCGATCCTCAATCGCAGGCTGTTAAGTGGATAAGAAACATGGAATCGAAAAATGTAAAAATAATATTTTTACGGCCGTTATACATGTAATACCTTCATATCGTTCTCGTAATATTTAGTGCTGACTCGTTTTACAGTGATATTTTACGTGTATAGTAATAATATGTATAACAAGAGCTGTTATATTGTAAATGTTATGTTTAATTTCAGAATTTGGACATCATTGACTTTGGCCAACCAGATTTCATGAGAACTTTAGAACTGGCAATTCAATTTGGCAAGCCAGTGTTGTTGCAAAATGTCGGAGAAACTCTCGATCCAGCTTTGAATCCTATCCTCCAAAAATCCTTTATTAAATCAGGTGTGGAAAAATTCAAATTGATATATAATTAATTTTATCGTTACTATAGTTTAGTACTTAGTAGAAGCGCTGCAAAGAGGAGATAAACATTCCGGTTAGAAGCTAGAAGAGATAGGAATGAAAAACCTCGATAATAATGCATTCTGTTTTAAACTGTAGTTAAGCGTGGATATTAATTTATTAATTTGCTGTCAAGTAACACTGAACCGATTCGTCTTTCACACATAGGTGACGAAGTACTTATAAAAATTCAGGATAAAATGATCTCATACAATGAGCAATTTCGGTTGTTTATAACAACGAAACTTCCGAATCCTCATTACTCCCCTGAGATATCAACGAAAACTACTCTGTGTAATTTCACCATTAAGGAACAAGGTGTGTTCAATGTTATCAACAAGTAAGGTACAATTAATAAAATGTTTAACGACTGACATTTGAATTCGTTTTCGTTCGTTACGTTCGAAAATGCCCATTTGGGTATTTTCTTTTCAAAATTTTCTGAAGTGCTGTCGCTCATACAATAATATGTTTTTTTGCGGTCGATTTTTAATAAATCTGGGTTGAAGCGAACCATTGGGGGTTGACGCATTTTTTTTTTTAATCTCTAGGATTGGAAGCGCAACTTTTGGGAATTGTGGTCAGAAAGGAAAAGCCTCGTTTGGAGGAACAAAAGGACAATCTTGTGGTAACAATAGCTACAGGGAAACGAACTCTCAAGGAACTGGAGGAAAAGATTCTTTAGTAAGGCTTTGAAATATTAATCCTGTGTACGCTGCAGTGTACCGTGATATTTTAATATTTTTTAATTTGTTGCGATACCTATCTTTGCTATAACTTATGATTATATGCCTATACATTTATCGTTACGTAAAATCAAGGTGAACAGCTACGTACTAATCACCCTGCTTTTAGTTTGCTGAGTGTCTCGAGTGGTTCTCTTCTAGATGATCTAGATTTACTTAACACTTTGCAAACTTCCAAGGAAACTGGGAAAACCATCGAGGAATCATTAGTGACGTCAGAAGAGACGGAAAAAGAAATAGATCAAGCTCGGGAAGAGTACAGACCCTGCGCGACGAGAGCTTCCATCCTGTTCTTTGTTTTAAACGACATGAGCTTGATCGATCCCATGTACCAGTTTTCATTACATGCATATATATTATTATTCATGGTTTCGATAGATAAAAGCCCAAGACACGCGAAGCTGTCTGAAAGAATAGATGCATTGAACGATTACCACACATACGCAGTGTACAGGTACGGGTTTTGACGAAATTCAATTTGGAATTACCCTAGCATATTAAAAAAAAAAGAAACAAGTATTATTTGCTTCGGATAGCGCAATACAGCAGTTAATGGAAAGGTTATTTCTGTTTATTTTAAATAATGAAAATTTCAGGAACCAGATCCACTTTTAAAAATTTCAATTTAGCCTTTAACGAGCTGCAAAGATGCGATGTATAATGTTTGACGAAATAATTTGTTTATAACAGGAACACTTGTCGCGGTCTCTTTGAGCAGCATAAACTCCTCTTCTCATTTCATATGTGCATCAAGATTATGGAAGCACAGGGGAAAATAGTACATACGGAGTATGACTTCCTCCTGAAAGGTGGAATTGTGCTAAATCGAGAGAATCAACCTGATAAGCCTGTCTCCTGGTTACCCGATGAAATTTGGGACAATATTACAGAACTGGACAAGCTTGCAGGATTTCATGGGATTGTGTCTTCCTTTGAACAATTTTCTCGGGACTGGCATGTCTGGCAAGTATCCTTTCCGGATTGTAAATTATCACGTGGTGGCTATTAACCGTTATCTTGAAGAATTAATATACGAAATGTTATCACAATACATTGATTTTATTTAACAAATGATTTATTAGGTTCATACAAACCGAACCAGAAGCAGTCCCGCTTATAGGAGAGTGGGAGGAAAATTGCAACGAGTTCCAAAAACTGTTAGTTGTGCGCAGCTGCCGATTAGATAGGATGTCTTTTTGTTTAACCACGTATATTGTGCACAACCTCGGACAGAGATTTGTTGAACCTCCTGTACTCGACATTAAGGCAGTTTTGGACGATTCCGTTGCCCAAACTCCATTGATATTTGTTCTATCCCCTGGCGTGGACCCCACCGGCTCTTTGATGCAACTGGCTCAGAATCAAAATATGGCGAAAAAGTTTATGATTCTTTCTTTAGGACAAGGACAAGCTCCCATTGCGACTAGGTAAATTATAACTATAGTCATGAATAAGATTTTCCACGGAATAATTGTCAATTTTTCTCAATTATAAATCCTGAATTGTCGCGTACTTTCGGCAGGATGATACAAATTGGAGAGAAGGAAGGAAACTGGGTGTTTTTGGCGAACTGTCATTTGTCTATCAGCTGGATGCCAAAACTGGACAAAATCGTGCAGGTTTTGTCAAACAACAAGAATATCAACCCTCAATTTAGGTATTGTTTCATTTTATGGTAGTACTTGAATTTAATATTTGTCCTTTTGAGCGGAATATTTTTTGCTACCAAAATATTATGACTATCACCATTGTGGCATTAATTTAGATTGTGGCTGAGTTCAAGTCCAACTCCACAATTTCCCATAGCGATTCTCCAAGCAGGAATTAAAATAACTACCGAGCCCCCGAAAGGCTTAAAAGCCAACATGAAACGGCTCTATAGCCTGATAACAGAATCTCAATTTGACGCCCCCATTGAAAAGTCGAAGTACAAAAAGTTATTATTTGCATTGGTATTCTTTCACTCGATTCTCTTGGAACGTAAGAAGTTTCAACAGCTCGGTTGGAACGTCATCTACAGTTTTAATGATTCGGATTTCGAGGTACCTCGACAAATTCCTTTGATGAACATAAATCCGCATAAATCTCTACTTTTCATCATTCACCCTGAAACATACTAGACTGATATGAGGGAAGCCTCAGTAATATTCTTTGCACAATGGACACCATTCCCGAGAATGCCAATAATTTATACATAATTATTTACAGGTATCGCAAAATATTTTACGAGTTTACCTGGATGAGTATCCTGTAACTCCATGGGATTCTTTGAAATATCTCATTGCTGGTGTTTGTTATGGCGGTCACGTGACAGACGAATGGGATCGACGACTGCTAATGACTTACATTCAGCAATACTTGACGGAGAAAGCCCTCGATACTCCATTTTATCGACTGTCATCTTTGACGACTTATTATATTCCGCGAGATGGATCACTGGAGTCGTACAGAGATTTTATAAACATGTTACCGAATACCGATCAACCCGAAGCATTCGGGCAGCACTCGAATGCCGACATAACATCTTTGATAAAAGAGACAAGAGACATGTTTGCGACATTAATGTGTCTCCGAGTTCAAGCCTCGGTTGATGATGCAGGATCGAGTAAAGAAGACAAAGTAAATTGATATATAAATATTACATTTATATGGCTAGTACAAGTTAGTTTATAGAACTTGGTCTAGGCATTAAATAATTCCACGAAGAAAAAATTAATTTTTCGAGCATTCTACGAATATGGGAACAATAATGGATGAGTTGTAGTTTCTTCTTCAATTTTGCAAGTAGTTGTTTAAAGCTTATAATTTATTCGAATTTAGGTGACTTTAATGGCAGAAGACATCCTCTCGAAGTTACCAAATTCGATCAATGTGCAGACAACGGAACTACTGATCGGCGCGGAGAAGACTCCCTTGGATGTGGTTTTGTTGCAAGAAATTCGTCGATACAATAATCTTTTGCACAAAACGCACTCCAGTTTGGAGGACCTCCAGCGTGGGATTAAGGGTTTGGTGATGATGTCCTCCGAATTAGAGGAGATTTTCACGAGCATATACGAAGGACGCGTTCCGTCCTTCTGGCTTTCGGCTTATCCTTCCTTGAAGCTCTTGGGCTCTTGGACGAGAGATCTTATCAAGAGAGTCGAATACTTCGCGAGATGGGCAGAAACGATCCACCCACCAACCTTATTTTGGTTAACCGCGTACACTTTTCCGACCGGATTGCTTACGGCTGTTCTTCAGACTTCCGCCAAACTTTGGGGCGTCGCCATTGACTCACTATCTTGGGAGTTCTCCGTCCTGGAGGTTGAGGAGCACACTATCAAAGAACCACCAGACGTAAGTTCGACATCCCTTTATATAATCTGTTACTAAATTAACATTTTAAGAGGAACTTTGTTCCTAGAGTTCGCCAAGATGCGGAATAACTGCTAGGTTAGATTTTTCTTCGATATGAATTATTTTTATTCAGGATGGGATGTACGTGCGATCGGTATTTCTGGAAGGTGCTGGTTGGGACAAAAAGCATGGAGAACTGACAGAACCTTCTCCCATGCAGCTGATTTCTGATATGCCTGTTATACACTTCAAGCCTGTGGAAAACGTGAAGAAGAGAGTTAAAGGTTTGCCTCTAAATGTTAAAAGTAATGAAGAAACTGACACTCTTATTTTACTGACAATTTTATTTTTTATAATAAACGGGGATACCGATAGAAATTAACATGGATAAAATGTCGAGGACAACGTTGTTTCCATTTTCTAACGTATTTTATGCAAATGTTACACTTAAGGTGATGTTAAAGTGGCATCTGAGGAGTCGATCGATCGGTTATGAAACTTTTTATATGAACTGGATGTACCGAAAATTTATCACGCGAATATGGAGACTCTAAGAAGGTCCTGACACCCATGAAATGACATTCTTTAAAAGTTTGTGTGTAAATACTTTTTCATTTTGTGTAAAAAATGAAATTTCATGGGTGGAGGGACCTTCCTTGGGGTCGCTCTATTCGCGTGATAAAATTTCAAATGATTCGGTGCACCCAGTTTGGAGAAAAGTTTCATGAAAATCTTTCAGACGGCACTTTCGTATCACTTTAATGGCGAAAATATCGGCATAGACAAAAAGTTAATGAAAGGTACATGTTCGACGTAGTTGGGAAGATTTAAAAAACCAGACACAGTGCCAACGACGGACCACCATACTTAAGTCCCTTCATAATTCAGTACTTATTTTGTAGGTCTTTATGTTTGTCCTTGCTACTATTATCCACAAAGAAGTGGTGATGGAGGTCGGCCATCTTTTGTTGTTGCTGTCGACCTGAAGGCAGGTGCACATGGAGCCGATTTTTGGATAAAACGCGGCGCTGCCCTTTTGTTAAGTTTGACCGAATGAGGTACCTCTCATCATAATATATCGGTAATACAGTTCATTTTCCATAATTACATCAACAAGTCACTAATTTTCATTAGAATACGTGCTAATGGATAATCTAAAGTTTAACATGTTTTTGTAATGTGATGCTAGTTTCAAACAATTTAATATTGGTTTAACTCAAGCAGAATAAATTGCACACAAACATTGAGATCCAATTTATTTCTCCCAAATCTCTTCTGAGACTTATTGAATAAAATTCGCCATGTAGATTGTAAATGGATGTTCATATAAAATACCTATGTCGACGTGTTACATTGTTTAGAAAGCCTACTATACATTATAAACTCTATTTTAAATTCACTTTCCCTCCTTACCAGATATCCGTATACATAATAAGTACTTTCCTAAGTAATGCAACCTTTGTATTCCCGTTATTTTATAATTACCGTTATTGCGTACAAATTATGAAAGTAAAGAAGATTGTGCCGCAAATACTATAAAAGTGTGAAAAAAGTAACGGCCTTAAAGTCCATGCTGATGACGTTGAAATCTCATTTTCCTTATTTTTTATAATATCACGTGTCTCGTTGAAATACCCATCCACGTATTGTTTATATTCATCCAAGGCGGTGTCGGTTGCTGTTAGTTTTATAGCCTTAATTTGGTGTATTGCATCATTTACAGTTTTGTTAATTCCATTTACATAAGTGACCCAATTGCTAGGAGGATCAGGAATTGTATTTTGCAACGAATCAATATTAAGATCGGCAAATTTCTTGTGCGTATCGACTAGGATTTGTTGAAGAGCCTCCGTTTCCATTTTTTGAGATTCCTCAATGTTGCTTAAATTTTTCAACATATCATATATCGTTTCGTTAATTTTAGCCTGATACTCTTGCCAGTTGAAAGTACTTACCGATTCCGTAAAAGGAGGTGAATATTTCAAATTGCTCGTAGTTTCGGCATAATTACTTAAATTGTTTGTAGCAACGCCGTTTTTCGTGCAATTTTTAATGTCGTTAATTTGATTAATGACATCAGCGAATGATGTTTTAAAAAAGTCTCGAATTTGCGTCCATGCAGCTGGGTCGCTGCGATTAACGGAATTAACAAAATTATTTATACTACCGTTTAATTTATCTCTGAAAGCAATCCAATCAGTTCCTGGTGTTACAGGTGTTGACTTAGGACCTTTTGTGAATTTTGTAGTAGAGAATAAACGTAGAGAATCAGTTGAACCTATCGAGTCATTAGTTGCAGTATTGTCACTTTTAGTAGAATTTCTTAAGGCATTAATCTGACTTATGATGTCGCCAAAGGATGTTTGAAAGTAATTTTTAATTTGTATCCAGGCAGTTGGATCACTGCGATTAACAGAATTAACAAAATTATTTATGCTATCGTTTAGTTTGTCTCTGAAAGCAATCCAATCAACTGCCGGATTCACAGGTGTCAATTTTGGATTCTTTTTGAATTTCGTCCAGTCGAACGTGCCGCCAGCTTTTGCAGAAGAGGATAATAATAAAGAATTAATTGGATCTACCGAGTCATCAGCTGATGTTTTGTCACTTTTAGAGGCATTCTTTAAGGCATCAATCTGACTTATGACGTCAGCAAAGGATGTATTAAAGTAATCTTTAATTTGTATCCAGGTAGTTGGATCACTGCGATTAACAGAATTTATGAAACTATTAACGCTACTGTTAAGTTTATCTCTGAAAGCAATCCAATCAGCCCCTGGTATCACGGGTATCGATTTAGAATCCTTTTTGAATTTCGTCCAGTCGAATGTGCTTCCTGCTTTTGCAGAAGAGGATAAAAATGGAACATCAGTTAAACCTAAGTCAATAGTTGCAGTATTGTCGCTCTTAGTGGAATTCTTCAAGGTATTAATTTGATTTATGATATCAGCAAAGGATGTGTTAAAGTAATTTTTAATCTTTACCCAGGCTGTTGGGTCACTGCGGTTAACGGAATTGAAAAAATCATAAATGCTGTTATTCAATTTGCCCTTAATAGAAATCCAATCACTTTCTGGAATCGCAGGTGCACTACTTTTGAGTTTTATCCAGCCGGACGGGTCAGCCGAATTTTTAAACACGGACTGAAGATTACTTTTATAATTTGCATACACGGTATTAGTCGAACCGTTTGCCTCGACGTCATCACTTTTAGTTGAATTTTTCATCGCGTCAATTTCATTTTTAATTTCAGCAAAGGACTTTTTATAGAAATCTTGAATTTCGTACCAAGACGTTGGATCACTGTAATTGTAGGACTTAATTAAATCTCTTATGCTATTTTTTATTTGTATTTTAAACGCAATCCAGTCAGTTTTGTTCAGCCCAGGCGTCGTTTCCACTAATGGAATCTTGAGTATATTCTTTTGGACGATGTCGAAGTCTTTTTGCGTAACTTTTTTAAGTTTCAAAATCTCTTCAGATGTCGGCAGAGATTGATCGGCATAAAACTCATTTGCACATTCTGACTCGTCTCCAGTTTTCAGCGAAGCCGTTAGATTTTTCAGTTTAATGTCAATAATTTTATATTTAATGGTCGCAAATTGATTCTTTAAGTCGTTTTTCAGAGCAACCCAATCTTCGACCGTAGCTTCCTTAAGAGGTTTGTGGACTTCGACGTAATCAGTCACATTCTTCAGCAATTGATTGATCTGACTTTTAAAATCAGTCCAATCTGACACAGTCAATTTCGGAGATTCTTTCAAATATGGTTTTGGTTTAAGAGAGGCAATATCATTGTGTAGGGCATTAAATGACTTGTTCAAATGATCCTTAATTTCCAGCCATTTTAAGCCATCAAGCGACGACGTTCCGGATTCACATTCGGCGATTGCATCGCTTACAGTCTTATTTATCTCATTTTTTATAGAAACCCAATCAAAGTCATCGACAGCAGCTGATGATTTCAAGACTTTGCCCATGTTTGTGACCGGAATTTGGTACTTAGTCATAGCAAATGCTGAGACCACCGCATTTCGGTAAGAAACCCATTCTGGACTGCCAGGAGGTGGCATATTATCCTTCATCTTTCCCACGGCATCATTCATATTTTTAACAATACCGATCCTGAACTGCACGAAATCACTAGGAGACGTCCAGCTTGGAATTGTTGCTTCAATTGGCCTCTTTGCAGCTACTTGATTTCTAAAGTCCGTGAAAAGATCCTTCATTTTGCCTCCAAATGAGGTCCATTTTGGATCCCCTGGTGGAGGCATTTCGTCCTTGGTACTCAGTATAGTCTCATCAAGAGTATTTACAATATTGCTTCTAAAATCATTCCACTTATCCGCCGCAGTGGGGCCGTCGATTTTCGTTTCTCTTGCAAGAAATTCTTCCTTCGAAAGTGGGATATAGTCTTTAATGGATGAAAATTGCATTTTAACGTTGTTTAAATACGCACCTCGATTTGGACTGCCGGGAGGCGGCACGTTATCTTTAACTCTTTCAATAGCTCCATTCATTAACGTAATAATGTCGTCCTTAAGCACTGAGAATTCTAGAACAGACGTGTTACTTATTTTTGATCCAGATGCCTCTTTGTTCATCGCTATTATCTGACTCTTCATGTCCGCAAATTCAGACTTAATTCTCTCTTTGAAAGCAATCCAATCAGCTACACTAGGTGCCCCGACTTTCGCAGCTTCTACAGTGTCGATCAATTCCTCTTTAATTTTGTTCCTAAATACGATGCAATCATCTGGTGCTGCGAATTCTGTAGATCGCTTCAAAACGTAGCTATTCAATTTCTTTAGTGAATTGTCCACGTAACACGTCAGCTCGTTGTATTTAGAAGTCCCTGGTAAAACCGGATGTACTGCCGTGGAAAGTTCGCTTCTAAAGTCTGCAAACGAGTCGTTTACGTAATTTCTAATGCCGTTTAACCCCTCACTTTCAACAGGTGGCTTCTTTGAATTTAAATACGAAATCGCATCTTGAATAGTTTCGTTGATCTCTTCTTTCAGTCGTGTCAGAGACAATGGTCCTGTGGATTCCTTTAAAGTTATCGGAGGATCTTCTTTCCACGTAGCTAAAGAAAGTCCTGGTATGTCTTCGCACGAAACGATAGGATTATCATCACTAACCGAGCGCATCACTTCAGCTTGAACATGCGTTATGTTGTCGGAACAATCACAGATGAACTTCGCCAAGGAAGATCTGCGTATTTCCGTCAATTGTCCTGTAACAAATCATTTCATATTTACTACTAACTGAAAATGGGTTTGGGTGAATCGAACACTCACCGATAATCAATTTCAATACGAGATTAACACATTTTTACATCCATTCATTGGTATATACCCACGCGTAGATGATAAAATAACACGTGAAAAGTAAGATGAAAATTGAAAATGATTTTGCTGGAGCCAAAAATTCGTCACTCAGTCAATTCGCCAATTCACTTCAAAGTGCATTAAGTTCATTCGATGTGAATTTCCTTACCTTCAGTAAATGCCTGAGGTGTTTCAGATGTCTCATACCAGTAACGATCACCACTCTGGAGCCTCCTAAATTGATCAGCAATAAGACACGTAAAAGTGGGTCCAATAATGCCATCCGACTTGACAATCTCAGCCAATGCACCAGTGTACAAGTCCACGTCGTCAACATTGTTATAGATCTTCGAAATCGCTTCCAACGCGTCTGGATCCAATTCTCCATTGAGATCACTAAAAGACGTGGGTCTGCCCAAGCCACAATGCTCTCTCCATATTGGATATCCTGGAAGTCCATGGTCCCTTCCTCGCTGTATGTTCAGTGAAACCAAATCCAATCCACAAGGCACCGTAGAATTAGCCAGTGGATCCTCAAACAGGTGATTCGTCAGCTGAGAAGTCACGTGCGTTGAAGTCTTCTGCACGGTGTTGTACATAGCAGTCATCAAGGAACTCTCCATCCCGCCCTGTGTGTACAGACTGTAGGGATTGAACAACATCTTGTGGAGTTCCACATATTCCGCGGTCCCCTTCTGTACATCGGTTACTCTCATTAATCCTGGAAGAAGCGTATGGGCAAATCTGAAAGCTGCAGTCGCGAAATTGTTGGCGATTGCTGGGTTGACGTCGGAAGTGTCTGGTGTCCTGTAGCCCGAACTTAGTGGTTTCAAGTTCCTTTGGGTTATTTCCTTCTCCCCTAGGACTATAGGCACGAACTCATTGTAAGCGATGTGCTGCATCTGGGCACCAATTATCCGCCTAGATTCTTGGTACAACTTTTCATCGTCCCAATGGGGATTTAGTTTCTCCAAATTCGAAGCTACTCTGTTGTGTTGGCGAGCCCAAAGCAGATGCATGGTCGTCAGGTGAAGATTCTCGTTGGCTCTGCCATCACCAGCTGCGAAACAGTAGCGACCACGCCAACGTTCCAAATCTCTGTTGCATCCGTCGTTTGGATCGGTGCTAGGTGGAAGAAGAGTCCTGTTGTCCGGCGTCAATTGCATCTTTAGCAATCCGCCGATTCCCTCTCGTATGTTGTTCGCTGAATAAAAGTCCGATCCATAGATCGTCGATCCATCGATGAATGCGCTCACCTGCAGATTTGATGAAGAAGTCAAATTGCAAATCGTTTAGATAGCTGAACGTTTCGGCACTAACAGTTATTTGGATATTCGACATTGAACGCATATAGTACTTTGTTGCACTATCCAGGGAACAAATCTACTCGCAAAGACGTTTCAGTTCCAAGTGCCTCTACCTAGAAACTTCTATACTTCTACACCGAAGAAAAAGTGTCTTTCTTTCAAGGAAATTATTTCTTTGAACGGAGTTAAAGGAACTGTAGCATAAAATCAAATAAACACAGTCCTCACTACATAATGCCCACAAAATGCACCGATCGAGTACTTCATATCTTAAATATCTCATCCGATAGATTGAATAAAATATTCCACCAAGTTATTTGTTGCAATTAAACACGTTATAGTTTTAAAGAAACTCGCAGAATATTATCATTTCTTCGGGATAATTACATATTATTTCTACCAAAACACTGTTATTTGATCCAAATGAGCATTATTCAAAGAAATCATTTTCTTCGAACCAAAGAAATTCTTTCCTCGGCGTACTCCTTTACCTGATTAAACTGCTGTCGAGGGCCGATTTTGCACTGAGGAGCCGGTGCAGAACGAACAAACTCCATGCACGAGCTCCCAGAAACATCGTAAACGGGATCACCAGGTCCAACATACACCGGGAAGCATTCCGGATGACTAGTATAGGGTGGACAGCAGGCCAAAGAACTGCCGTTTATCCCCTGGCTGACAGCTGTGCTGGTGATGTCGTGGTCCAGGAATTGGCCGAAAACCGCCAGCATCACGGTGAATCCTGGATTACTGCTAGGAGATGGTGGATGCACCTGCAAGCTCACCTGGCGAGCTGACGGCAAAGGGGCCCCAAACATCCCCTTCCTGGGAGCATCGACACCATCGGCGTAATCTGGAGGAACTACTCTTAGGAAGGCACTCAATGACGATCCAAACTGCTTAGGATGATTACAGGTTCCGTCATAAGTTCGGTACTTGTTTAGACTGCAGTCCAGATTGGCGAACTCTTTGCAGGCCCCGGCTGGTGCCCAACCAGCGTCGAAATAGCTACCAACAGAAGTGGGTTTCCCTTGGGTGGTGCGGACGCTTTCTATTCTCTTTGTAGCTGCTATTTCCCCGACTCCTGCCATTGCTAATTTGCCTGCATAAACGCTCGTTCTGACGGCATACTGGTGCCTGGAATTGGCCGATGGAGACGGTAGATGTCTCGTAGAAGTATCTGCTAGGCGTCTGGCTTCCATTGCCTCTACGCCTGCTGTAATGGCCTCAGTTTGTTCTTCAAAGGACAGAGCCTGGGAGAGGGGTTGTATTTCATCCGTTTTTGAGGATGGGGTGGACCAGGTTGACTTCAAGGTAGTTACTGTTGAGTTTTCTTGGGTCGTTAGGTTGTTCTGCTCGTTGGCACCCTTCATCGAGAAGCTGATGGTTGCCACGAGAGTCATCACGAAAATCGATCTGAAAATACATTTGACCGAAATGATTGCAGTGGTCGATGGTAATTCGATCTGATTTGTTCTCAGCTTTGCCATCTCAGATTTTTCAATTTTAATTTCGGTTCAATTTTATAACTTCGCGAAGACAGAACAACTTTGCGTAACTGTAAAATTGAACTTAAAGTGAAACCAAAAATTCTGGAAGAATGCAGCACTCGGAAACTTTGTCCTCTTTAAGGTGAGCTATTAAAAAGTTAAATTAGTCTAAAAGTATTAATAATTTAAATAAATTAGGAATTTATTTCGCAAATCTACCCCGCCTCGCAGACGGGATAGGTCTACTCTTCAATAAAATTTGAGACACTCCACTAAAAACAAAGTGGTACGAATAAAAGACATGTATCATAAGTACATCACACTAAGAAGTATAATCGCGGTTGTTCGAATTAACACATCACGCACATCCACCCTTATTCAGACATTAAATTGATTACAAACTTACTTAAAACTCTGTATTAAAAAATTAAGTAACACACAATTTCCACAAAATGGCGTCATTTAACACACACTTCCCTTGCCAATAAATTTCCTTGTCAACGTAGTTTTTGAAACGCAAAACGAATATCTCCGGGAAATAATAGTAATTTTCGTCAGACGATAAAAAATTATCTTTAGAATGAAAAAAAGAACGTATTCTCACATTCGACGGGTTTAAAGTTAGAGTCCTTCGCAACACTCTTTACGTAATTGTTTCCCCATGGAAAGGAAAATCCATGGAGGCTTATGACAAGATAATTATGAAACACACGAAGCGGAAAATGTCAAACTCACAGTACGATAACAAAGGTCACACATATTTGGCGATGCTCCCTTTTGCGCCTTGTGTGGAAATGGTTAATGTGCCCGATGTAATAAGGAGGCGAAGAGATACCACCGGGTGACTTGGTCAATGGCGTCGTCTCAGTCGACATGTTGCTTTCACAGTTTACGACGAATATCTTCTCTTTCCGACGATTGCATTGCGTTCGCGGTGGAGGCAAGCCACATACTTACATAAGTCTTAAGGTGGGAGATGATTTTTAATTCGATTACCTGAGGAACATTCCGAATGAATAATTGCGCCCAGAAGCGATGGGCTTGATCGACATCGATTTAAGTCTAGAAACATCTTTTGTTCGTACGACTTTGCGTTTTTTATTGCTGACAATAAAATCCCAATTTTGGGTGGCGATGATATTAAATTGATACGAATACCGAGGGGAACTCGGTTTAGTATTTGCAACGTTGACGGAGATATTTATAATTACTGAACTTACAGTAATATTGCGCAAACACAGCACTGAAATTGACGAATATTCGTCAATCTTCGAGGTCGAACGATACCGGGAAACTCCACATAAGATGGCTCCTGCGATGATCTCGTTAGTAAAGTCCTTTCTGTGGCCGCCATTCCGTAAACGTCGAGGACCTGAAGAATCCCAGAATAAAAATAGATCGTTTAAATTAAATCTTAAATCATATTTTCATTTTAGGATACATCAGTTTCGGCTTCGTGTAAAGAATCTTGCCAAGTACAGGATTGTAACTAATTTCACTTACAAAAGATCACTAATTGTATCCTATACTCATATGCAACTAAAAAGATGATCGACAAAGGTGAAACCATTAAGTATATACTCGTACGAAAATTGCTAAATCATAACAAGTCTTATATCATTACCTTTATAAAAATTATAACTCCTAAATTGAAGGGTTCTCTGGTTAACCCGCGTTCCCCTTCATAAAGCTATGTAAAAAAAAAAAAAAGACAGAAAGTACCAAGTTAACTTTAAAAACGTAGCTATTCACAGAACTTTTACCGGCTCAAAATTAGAGAAGAAAAAATTCCTGGAACCTCGTGCCGAGAAAATTTGTTAAAGCTGAATAAGTATCAAAGATTAGTTCGCGACCATGCGACAATTTCTCTTAATCTTATACATTTTTTATTTCTTTCCAATTACAGGCGATCGCGTTAAATAACAACGTCGAATGAATTCACGAGTGACGCCGGCGAGTTTTTATTGGTTTAGCGATCAAAACAAGGAGGATAATTGTGCTTCGATAAAGTGATAAATATGCGTTAGTAATAAAATACTGTTAACACGAAATTGTCTCGTTGACCGTGCGATTATTATTATCGATAAATAGGTGCGATTCTGTGCAGGTCGCAGAGAAGACTGGTTAAGTTACGTAACTCAAGCCAAGCCGAGGGCGTATGAAACACGAGCAGGTTTCTTTTAACTTTATTGCAGCGGTCGAGTGCATACAAGCACCCTACAGAAAAGGAGGGTTACGCGTATTTCATAAAAATTCTCCCCTCCAGGAATCCTTGTCTCAAAATTGGCCCGAACTTGACGACAACGACATACAAAAGCACAATTCAGTTGGTAAGCCTACAGCCTGAAAAATTGTGCATTCGGGGTTTCTTATTATTTTTAAAACGTGAGAACATTAGACATTACGACGGGGTGAGTATATGGAAATAGCCGAACAATTTAGAGCGATTAAAAACAAGTAGGCTGATCCCTTTAGACGAGTATAGGAAAAGACTGTCCTGCGGACAATAACCTGTTCCGTTCGCGTATTTGTAACTCGAGACGGTGTGAACCAAAGGAAGGAAGCCCCTTCCCTTCTGTATGTTCTACGAGCCAATACACGTGGAGTACATGGGTTTACATATACAAAGGACGTTTTTATTGGGCTTCGTCAGAAGTACATATATGTGCACGCATAACACTCGAGAACTTAAAGATATGGATGATATTTATATTTTTATAACTGGTTATCGTAAAAAGACAGGAATTAAAGGAATAAATTCTATTTATTATAGTGCATTAGTGCATACAAAAGCACGGCTGTATTCTTTTGGCGGTTATCGATATATTGTACGCACAGTGCGTAAAATACACGAAATCGTGACACTTTTAACGTTTCTTTATAAGACAGCGAAAAGAATCGTAAAGCAATTAACTCCTATGTACGACCTCGAGTGGGAAGGCCGGCGAAGGGAAGGCGACCTGAAACCAGACTCGTAATTAACACTGAAAAATGGTAATTTCACTGCCACGTCTAGCGACGTCACATTATATATATAATTATTAAAAAAATTGCGACAATATTAATAGCCATAATAACGATAACAATAATGCAGACATTGTATATCTTTTAAAACTCGAGAAGCATATTCACGAAGTAACCTCGTTATTGTGTAGTAAATCTTAAGTAAGTTATTCTTAACCTTTTAAAATAATGTTTTGCGGGAGGAAAGATTATATTTCATTAATAAATTCATCAGTTTCGCAGTAGCATTGCGCTCGGGAAAGGGTATATAGTTTTCCATGCGGACGACAGATGGCGCAGAAGCATGGGAGAGTTTTGATTAAGTTCTGCAAGATGGCGGTACACTACCGTTGGCGAGCAAATCACTCCACGAGTAATCTGCGCCAGAAGAGATGACAGATTCGCTGCATAAGGGTTCCGTACGCGACACCAACGCGTGCCCCAAAGCTCCGCGTCACGTCGACTTCGAGGCAACAATGTACTTAATAGTAGTAGATAAGTAGATAAAGTCAAATGGAGCGTCACGACTGTTCTTCCCTTACCATCAAAAGCGAGCAGTATCGGTAAGCGTAGGTAAGCCACCACCGTCAACTGCCGCATGGTATTACCATCACGAGTACGTGAGCCGCCAATGGCGACTGGTAGATGGTACCGCCATCGCGAGTGCGCGAGCTCCTATCAGAAATTCGTTGTGCCGCCCTTGGGGGCAAAAAAACGGTGAAAGCTAACGTACGAAACCAGAGGGCAGCACAGGATGCGATCGCACAATCCTGCCCGTAAGCAATCTCCCAACTCATCTCTGTCTGCGCCCCTAATTTGTCCGACTTGGTTGCATTTGGCAAGCTGTGGACAAGCTTGATTGCAAATGGCCGCGAAAGATTCTCGCGGGGTCCGTGGAACCCGATGACAACAAACGTCATGTATTTTGAGTAAAATACCCCGAGGAGTGATGCCCGACTGGTAGTGGTCGTTGATATCGCGGGTGTCGTGCCTTTGCGCACCGCGCGTTCTGATTATTTGTTGGGTCGACCTTTCCGCTGGAAACTGTGCTGGATCATATCGTTTCCGCAGGAAAACGATGTCAGGATATCGTAGAGTCAACTATTACGAGCTCTGCAGACTGTGTACCAGTAGCGAGGGCAACAAAATGAATATTTTCCGTGAGGAGGGCCGCAGGAGGCAGCTTCAAAACAAAATCCAGACTTACCTGCCGATTCAGGTGACTGTGCCGATGCTCTGTTCGCGTCGCCGATTTGCCCTTTGGATAATTAAGATAAACTTCGGACAGAGCCAGGCTTAATTACGTTAATTCCTGGAACGTTATGTTAAGAACCGCTGTCAGCAACTAATCTGCAATTGATACTAGTAGTAGACTACGATCAAACATCCTTGGTTATGAAAAGACAACTATGCATCGTGTACAAATCAGAATAATGTGAAAGAAAATTAATTTGATATTGGCGAGAAATAATACGTGTCGATGCAATTAGCTACAATTATAGGATAATACTAATTTACGATCTGTACGGAAGAAACAAGATATAATTATTTGTATATGTAATGCTTTTCCTATCAAATGGCCTTGATTGAGAGGTTAAAGGCCACTGCGACTTATGGTTTATGTCTAAGGGTTCGGTATGCGACAATCGTGATGAAATGATCTATTTTAGTCTATGTATTTTCTCCAACATTTATTTATTAATTTATGACTTAATATGAAACATTAATGTTTTATCCAATTTTGTTTATAACATTTAAAAATAGTACATTGTCGACAAAGAACTTAGAATACTGAGAAATGATTTATATACATTTCTGTTAAATATGGGTTTGACTAAACTTCATTTTTATTTGAAAGGTACTGGAAGAAGACTCCCTTCCAAAGATTGTGTGCCACGAATGCGTGAAGAAATTGGAGAGCTATATCGAGTTCCGTGAAACTGTTGTGAGCGCGGAAGGGATGCTCGAGTCATACTTTACATCTCTTCGATTCTCCGAAGACTTTCTGAAGGAAGGTAAAGTCTACGTTAAAAGTACGGAAAAGGAGAGAGCACCCACTCCGTCTGAAGAAGACCCTCTAAAATGTGAGGATAAGGTAATAGGGCCTCCTAATAATCAGACGGCTACGACGGAGCACCAACCGCAACATCAGCAACCTGTTGTTGTGAGCAATGTTAATGCATCTAATATTCAAATCATTAGTGGTGTCCAAGCGAGAGTGCAACAATACAAATGTGCCATGCAGGTATGTTGATATTGTATTGTCGTATTCTTTAGCACATTCTATACTATCCAATCGATATAGTTATATATCAATATGGTTACTTTTCCCTATGGCCTAAGAATTTTTAAATGAAGCACTATTGATGTTATGCATTCCAGTAAATTTAGCACTTGTACATTTTTACAACAATTTAATATTTTCAAGTTGCCAGTTTTTAGCAATATCCTGTAATATCATGTAAGAATGAATTAAATATAGAGAAACGGGAACGTTTAAAAAATTCTAGAACTGTCGAGCCATTCAGTTTATAATATGGTTCAAATCAACAAAATGTTTTATAGATAAATCCAAAAGTTCCTGGCATTACGTAAATAGAAGGAAGGAAGCATAACATGCAAGAAATAAAAACTTAGATCTTATAACATTGTAGCACTGCATATGTTAATTAGAAGGTTTCGTATTAATAGGAACTTATTGTTCCGTGGACTATGTAATCTGGAAGTCTATATTCTTACAGATGCCGTCTGGTGCAGTGGCGGCTGCTGTGGTGGAGGCAACAGCAGAAACGCATTATAGTTACCAACAACAAACGTCGCAACAAGTATCACCACAGCAACAGTCCAATCCTACCCAAAACCAGATACCTCAACAGCAGAGTCAATCGCAACCACCGCAAATTCAACACGTCCAGAATCAGATTCAGAATCAGAATCAGAATCAGATGTCTCAACAAATACAAACACGACAGATCCCGCAGCAACAGAGCCAACCTCCGCAGATTGTGCAGAATCCAAATCAGGTAAACCAACAGCCGCAACAGCAGCAACAGCAACAGCAAAACCAGTCCCAGGTGACGCAACAGATCCAGCAGATGCAGCGTCAACAGCGGGAATTCGAAAAGCAGCGACAACTCCAGCAAATGGAGAAGCAACAGGTCCATATAGTACAGCAGCAACAGGACCAACAGCAAACGCAGATGCTGCAGCACCAAAATAACAACGTCATCATGAAGAACGAGGACACCGTGGAACAATCTCAACCGGTAATTCAGAAGGCGGAGAAGGATTCTGCCGATAACGACGGCACCGACAGGAACGTCCAGACATATACGACGGTGCAGGCATCGCCAGAAGTATTTCTGAGTCTAGGTTTCAAGGAAGGCGCATTATCAGCTCACGCGACTCGAGAGGATATTAAGGACTTCAAGGAATACGTGAAGAATTCTCCGGACGACGGGATGTCACGGAACTCGATTGGCCAGATCTCGGAATTCCTGCGGATCAGGTCGGCTCCTGAGCAACCTTCCCTAATCACGGTCAATCCCCAGGTGATATCGCAGAACAATCGGAGCACGATGTGCTGCGACTGCGGGAAAACCTTTCCCTCCTTGAATCAAATGAACGGCCACACCTGTACGACCCACTCGCTGATCAACGAAGTCACCGAGGGAATCAAGGAGGAATCTCCTCCGAGCAATAGCATCTCCTTCAGCTGCGACGTTTGCGGGAAGCCTTTCAAGAGGAAAGAACACTTGTTCCAACACAGGAAACTGCACACCGGCGAGCGACCTTACGTCTGCACGACCTGTACCAAAGCGTTCAGTCGCAAGGAGCATCTGGTCAGACACTCGGTCTCGCACACCGGCCAGAAGATGCACGAGTGCGAGATGTGCGGCAAGAGTTTTTCACGTAAAGACAACCTCCACAAGCACAGAAAAACCCACGGGGTCTCTGGGCCGTACATCTGCGAGACCTGTGGGAAGTCCTTCGTGGTGAAACACTACTATCTCATGCACCTAACTACGCATGCACCCACCGTTACGGATGGTGTTAACTGCCAGGACCCTTTGCCCTACAAGTGCGACATCTGTCATAAGGCCTTCTCGGTTAAACAGTACCTCACCACGCACAAGCTGCGACACAGGTCCAAGAACAGCGCCAATCATGGCCAGAGCTCCGCCAACGTGCAACAGCAGCAGCAGCAACAACAACCGCAGCCTCAACAACAAACCGGTGCAACAAACGGCGTGACCGTTCCCGGAAATGGCGTTAACGACTCCTCGCATATTAACGGCACCGCTGCGCAGCCGAGTAACGCCTCTGTCGTCGAGATCCAGAATGTAGTAGAGAGGAGCGAACAGCCAAACGGGTCGTTCGGTAGTAACCATTACCACGGAAACGTACAACAGTTCCAATGAGATAAGGGGAAGCGTGTCTATTACGTTCTCTTACCGAATGGCAATAATCACAAGATCGTTGTCGTCTAGTCGGCGGGAACTATAAGACACGCGGTCGATCGTGCCCGTACTTAGCGATATACTTCTCTGGTACGGGCTGGTTCTCTTTCGCCCTGGGAAGAAACTTGGCATCTAGATTAGGTTCGGAGCTGTTTGCTTTTACCGTTGAAACCAGACGATAGATAAAACGAGTAATCATTTACCGGTGAAGAGGAAAGAAAGGGTACAAGCGTGGAAAAAAGAATCGAAATGCACTCTGGTTATCGGGTTGCGGTAAACCTGTTACAGAGCTAAATCGTTATACATGATTAGTACATAATGTATGATTTATTATATTGTACCGCGACGGATTTACCGTAGTTAGAGCTTGTGTCCATGATGCTAGAGCTCGGTCCGATATCTCGGATGAAAATGCATCCTGTCCCATTTTTCTATGATAGCTGAAATCTTCATGTCATGCTATATCCAATACCGTTCCGCGTACCATATTACATTTAACTTCACTTCGTATATGTGACGTGGACACGAGCTCTTGAAATTTTGCAACCAATCCGGAGTATGACTTTGATTAGTTTAAGATATCGTTATATCTTTTCATATACACATGTAGATATTTATTGCATTGGGGTGTTTAGTAGAGAACGTAGGGAGAAAATCATTTTGAAACTTGCCGATTAAATTTTATGCATATACGTATGCGTTGTTAATAGAAGTCTGTTTCTGACATTCGTGTTCTTTAAAACGTAGATGATTTTTCTTTTTTAAATTTAGTGTACCGCGTTTTACCGGTAAATGCGGCCAGCTCCGAGACAGCTAAAAGTCTGTATTCCTGTAGGAAGTCGAATTTTCGTGGCTTATGAGACTGTTCGAATGGAGTAGAGAACACGGTAGATATTTTATCAGAGAAGTATTACCTATTCTATGTTTAAGCTCGAGATCGCACGGATATACACGAGGGGAGACGATTTTCTCCCTCTCGGGCGGTGTCGAGGGCACGAAGTCAAAGGCTTAGAGGCGAAGTCTCGGGCGTGTTATATTTCGAACCTATTTCTAGTTTCTTCGAACATTTAATAGGCTGAAGACGTAACGAGCATATTATGGCCGTTATTAAACTATTTTTTCAGAAGATTATACCAGAATGGCACTGAGATATTTTATATCGGGTCCCGGGCATTCTTTTCGCCGATCGGGAGAACCTAGTGATATATTTTCTGGTACAGGAATACATACACACACTTTTTGAGAGCCACGGATCGGGGAATGAATTCTCGAGTTATTAGCGATTATACAGTTTTCCTACAGTTGTCGACGTTAGATGATGCAGTTCGACGTGGTTAAAAAGTGCGCGGACAAACTTAAACGTTTAAAAAAAAAAAAGAACAAGGAACGAGGAACACTTTGAATCGCCACTTGCCGTTACTTGGCAGGTGGGCGAGGCGTGGAAATGCAAGGATCGGCAGAAAAAAAGAAAAGTTGGTTGTGCATTTTTTAACCACTCCGGTGAAACCGTAAATGGACTTTCTCTGAAACACGGAAGATTCGTCACAGGAATTTGGTGAACATTGAAAAGTAAATGCTTGCGCGAACGACGTTTAACGTTACTTCAATGCCAATGAGACAGCAGGGCATTAAATGGGCGGGTAAATGATTTCAAAGGTGTGCAATAATTCGATAAACAAGTATTTGCAAGGTCAATTATCCGCAGGAACCATCGGGTGCAATTTGTTCGGTTGAATGAGTAAACTCCTAGCCGCCGTGGCTCTTCGATGAGAAACGTACTACGAATGACCTGTTTGATAGGTAACCACTTTAGGATTATTATACATAAGGATTTTAAGACCAAAGAATATTATATTGCGTATAGAACGTACGCATGACTATAATATTAAGGCATAGTAGGTACGAGTATATAAGATTGTACGAGAGTATTTACTCTTTTGAAAGACTCAATAGATGCTTAGTGTGCCATTGACCAAAATCAAAGTTTATCGCCAGGATTCGCATTTCAAGGTGGGAAGGGCTGAGCACGATTGTATCCTTAGTACTATCGTTACCACATTATTTCAGCACGACTTTACACGTTGCTATGCAGATGCGAAGGAAATTATTCTGTTCTAAAATCGTGTTCTTTGTTCGGAGAAAATTATATCCGAAATACGTGTTTTCGGATGGTCCTTGAAGCATTGGCATCCAAACGTCGTCCCTTTCCTTTTGAGTTCATATTTTATTATTTCACTTAATTAAGTGGTTGACGACCGTAAATCATGTTATTAAATTGTAGGTTTATTGATCCCACAAAATGCGATTTTTTGTTATATATGTGGTGTCCATTTAAACAATTACAACATGTCTTGGGAACACCTCTGTAAAAAACATTTGGTATTGGGTGGAGGCGCTGGTGTTCAGTCCTACTTTTAGGCTCAACTTGCCCCTGAAATAGGAATCCTGAATATGAACGATCCCTCCCCTAATTACAACGTAGCCTACTGTGGAAATGTCAATACATCCTACTTAATTTATATGTCGCATGGTAGTATGTTTCCCAAGGATGCCTTTTATTTATTACCAAGGACGGCTGCTTTTACACGAACTTGACCGTTCATCTACATGAAAGGGACATTGACATAAAACTAATCGAGAGAATGTAACATTTTACGTAAATGATTTAATTTATTTTTTGTACAATGGTGAAAAGTATTTTTGGTTATTAACGCAGATGGATGTGTTAGCGTTATTTTTAACTGCTATCTTGATTTCGTATACACTTGTGAGATGAAAATTTTTCTATCACGGTTGAAATGTTACATCTGAAAATACGAAGGCCGCCGACCCAGTTTGTAACAATGGGCATAAATAAACAACTGCACCGGTTTATTAATTAACTTTTAAGTATTCCAGTGGTAGTCCCGAAAAGATTCTGTGAATAGTTTAGGGTGATTTATGATACACTTATGTATTATCATATTCGAATCGTGCCATGTAAATACAGTGGTTTTACAATTTATTTTCTTAGAAGTGGTATGCTTTAGAGAAATCGTAAAGGCTTTATCTTACTTATATTATTAGCTTTTCTTCTTCTCCGTTTGTACGCATTCTTGAGAGAATATATTAACGAAGTGTTATCTAAATAGTTGAGAAGGAAATTATTTGTTTCTATCAAGAAACCTCCAGTCTTAAAATACATCTTTATTTTTGTAATGGTTAATATTAGGAGTGTATGTCGAAAATAAGACTCGGAAATATGAATGATTCAATGTTAAAACATAAGAATTGTTTAAAGCAATTTTATGAAGATTTCTTGCATCTTGACTTTTAGGAACGATTTATGCATCTAAACATTAGAAACTAGAGAAACAAGGGCGTGCGAGAAAATTTTTATCTTTTGTATTCGACACTTACTAGTTATAGGCAGTATTTGTTTTTTCTTTCTAGAATACAGTCAAATGATTTAGTGGGTCTCAACGCAATAGTCAAAGAAGCGATAAATGATTTCAATAAAAAAAAACTTGTAATTTAAGTGGATTTTGTTAACAACATTGTTTCTATTTTTAATTTTTATCCCGACGGTACATTTCAAAAACAGATACTTAAATTAATAACGAGAACGTTGAGATAATTAAACCGTGTATTCTGATTGCTCAGAATAACAATTTGAGTGGCAAGTCAATATTTCATTCCGCGATAATTTTCTTTTATTTCTTACTGCTTCAAGTAGTATAAAAACGATTTCATAAATTGCACAATGTGTTAATTTCTTTAAAATAATACGAGGAAAAGTACCACAATCAAAACTGTTGAGCGATATCAAATGTATTCAGTTTTTTACGCTTTAAAACGTCTCTAAAGATGTATCTGATTTTCTGACATTATTACTGAAAACTTGTTAATGCTATAGAAATTGTTGTATATGCCGAATATTCGTTTGCTCTAAACGAAAAAAAAAAAAACTACCGCTTTACTTTTGTTTGTGGATACATCATTTACGCATTATAACAGTAATAGTAGGACTCGGGATGCTTATATAGTCGTAAAGTCTATTAAAAGAGAAACTATACTTGGATATCCCTTCATAGAAATTTTGAGGGTAGAAATATCAACGTTTGGTCATTATTAATCGATTATTTATTTTGCTAAGCCGTGTATGCATATGCGATGAACTTCATCTATTCATATTTGTCGAAATATTCTTTACCCTTTCAAATTACATTCCACGTCAAGGTAGTAATAATGCGTTAATGATAATGCGCGCCTTTTCGGAAAATTGGGGTGTTCAGCCATTTTCTTCTTTTTTTCTTTTTTTTTTGTAATATTCATCCCAGGATGGCTCTCAGTCATGGTGCATAATTATCATGTTTTCGTCATTCCAAACTGAGACAGTCCGTAATAGAGATAAATCTGTGCCATTTATTTTGGACTCCTTTTACTACCCGAAGTTCTTGCCATATCAAGTAAACATTCAGTTTAAAAAAAGAAATGCACGTGTCCGCTTAGAAGCAAAGTATTGGTTTGAGGGAGGAACCATATACACGTATGATAAGATTTGTAAAATGCAATTTTCCAAAACCCATTATAAAAGAATAACTTGTAAGTAAGATCTCCGATCAATGTGTTACTATAAATAACTGCGAAAAATTCTACTTCATTGTATACATTGTAAATTCTTATACCACTTATGTAATAAGTCGTGACACTTTAGACAACTGTTGACATCAACGATATCGACAAATGTAAAGACCTATTTACACATTGATTTCTAAACTAATCTCTGTAAGACTCGAAGGGCTACGAAATGGAATATCGTCTTACGTGACACATGACACTTCGGCAATGTTTTTTGCGAAACCTAATCCTGACATTGTAATATATCGGAAGCATAACTGAAAAGAAAGAAATCTGACGAAGTCTCCTGTGCTTCGTTGAAAGAATTACATTTGTAGCCGTTTATCGTTGACTCGTATGTAAACGATGCATTACATACCGAACGGCATGTAATTATGAACTATCCCAAGGCTAAGCACTTTCCATTAATTTCCCTTTGTATGCCGCGAATATTTCATTTGCGTACCCCTTACATATCGGGAGCTCCTAATGGACGCCAAAACCCGCCATTTTGTAAATCCGCGCACGTGAAAGTTATTCTAATTTCGATTGTCCTTTATTACAGGAAGCACCTATTTAAACAATACATTACATACCGGACGGCATGTAGTTATGAACTATCCCTTAGCTAAGCACTTTCCATTAATTTCCCTTTGTATGTCGCGGATATTTGCGTACCCTTTGCATATCGGGAGCACCTCTAATCGATGCCAAAACCCGCCATTTTGTAAATCCGCGTTCGTGAGATTTATTCTAATTTCTATTGTCCTCTATTACACGAAGCGCCGATTGGTTTTTCATTTATGTTTCGATGAGTCAATCGTGGACCGGTATTTATGAAAGAGCGTTGGATGTTTTTCTATGTGTAAATAGTAGAGTATCGTTTCATCGGAACTCGAGGAATTCGGTGAAAATTAGCATTTAGGGCTGCCTGGAAATGGCCCTCCGGTGGCTAGTGGGATTGTGAAACATCAATTATTGCGCAAGTCCACCGATGACGTGCTGGAGCGAAGCATCGGAATTGATGTCTTAGAATACGACTAACTGTCTGGTTCAATTATCCGTAAATGTCGATTTAGGAGATCGATGGAACGTTATATGACCTTTTCGTCTTTAGAGCGTGTGTGGGTGGGAGAGCGAGAGGAAGAGAGAATTTATATATCTTGTCAGGAGGTCCAGCTCTGTTCAAAATACTTATTTGACAGTGGACTTTCAGCATCGGTCGTATAATGAAACTTCTTTTTGTACCACTTTTTTTTTATGTAATGTAATAGTTTGGAATGGGTTTTAAATTCATCCGTTATCCGTAAATGAAGATAAAAGCTGCCTGTAACAAGACACGAGCATAATAGACTCTACCAAGAAAGAACTATAAACTACTAAATTTGACATAATAGAAAAAAAAGATAATTGTAATCTTGAGTGTAAAGGCGGTAAAGCGCTATTTTTAATGACTGATAACGTGTCTTAGTTGAACTTCCACCATTGAATGTATGATTTATGAATTTGAAATTTTGCAAAATTTTCGAAAGAAATTCGTTAGTTTCGTTTAGGTATTGTACATTTGGGCGTCGAGTACTACCGTGTGTCGAAGACTCTATACTCATATCAAATAAACGATTTTTGGGACACAGGGCTGGACCCCCCGCGATGCAAAGAACTCGTTTCTTGTATAGTTGACTTATCTACGATTTCGCGTGTACTCTCGTTGCGAAGAACGGCGGTATCGAATATGCCCGACTTGTCCCGCAAGAAAATTTCCCCTTGAGGCCCACATTTCTACCATAACGCGTCCCTGCGGGATTTTACATTAGGGAGGACACTTTGACAGAGGGAACCTTGTGCTTTGTAAAGACTCCGAAAGCAACGCGATGCAACTTTTGTGTGCGGACGTTCACTAGAGAATACGGCCTAGAGGTAGTACCCTAGTTGGTAAGATTATTATACCGTGTCAGTGGACACGATTCAAAACTGTATAAACAGCAAGGACAAAATACAAACTGATCGTAACCTAAGTAAGGAAATTCTGAAACGTCTCGTGTGAATCTCTCGTAATTGAAAATAGAGGTGGACTTTAATGCACGTAACAAACTGACTGAATTGCATACAGTCATTATCATCATCTCGACAGATGATTCTATGATAAGGAACGATCAAATCATTCGTGGATTATGATTTCCAATTCTATGGCCTTAAACTTATACATTGATATCAGTGTCGATATGTTGGGTCGAGCCCATCTGGTAATTTAATTTTTGATAAGAATATCGTCATGATCCGTAATTATGGAATCTTAGAATAGGGCATTTCGATTTCCTTCTAAATTAAATTCGATCGCGTTTATGGGTGATGAGGGAATTATTCAATTTATCCATTCGCAGTAAGCATAAGGCCGCAGGTAATTTTTGGATTATGTCTATCCAATGAACACAAAGTCATTATGAACAAGCTGTAAAAATGTATTTTTAATTGTTTACCCTTACAATTAGCAATGTATACAATTCCTGCTATTGAAACATTGCACAGAAAGGTGTAGTTACAAATGTCATTTCAATTAAAATCTCTTCCAAATTTCTTAATTTTATTGCTCCATTAACCCAGAAATTATAACCATCAACCACGATGTCATCGATTTCATAAAAATGAAATATCCAAAGACTGGGTTGGCGGAAAAACATCGGTCGACGAAAGAATAATTTCATACATTCCTACCAAAGATCTTACTCCTTCTCATTGCACAACATTTCTTACTTTATACATAACAATTACGCAAGGAATATTAAGACCAATTTTTAGCGGCTGCGTGTTATCATGTTGAATGGCATTAAACATCACTACCGGAGTTATGAAATATGCGTCAGTCCCTAAATGGGCTACAAGATGCAACTACAGTTTGTAAAGTTATGACTTGTACAAATATTTTTTCTTTCTATAGTTGTATGTCATATTTCTTTTAAGTAGTAACGCCTATCTCCGAAATACTTTTTCTCCGTGGACGAGCGTCGAAACGTCATCCATTACCAAAGGTTATTAATATTCTCAGAAGCCGTTAGAAATTACGCCTACGTTGAAATATGGTCTCACTGTGTTGCATTCTATGCGTTGCATCCCAACGGGCACTAAATTAGAGTTTAACACTTTTGCACGTGATTCAAGAGTCATTAGGAACGCCGTATGGTAACGTGTATGGATTTGCAAGGGAACGCCGCGATGTATGAAATGCCTAAGACGAAAGAATCCTCCTGCCAAACGATATGTATCATATACGTATATACGTATGTATGCACAATGTATAGAAAAAAAAAAAAAACATGTATATATAGGGCCGCTACATCTATACTTCAACCAGCACCTGCGTCTATGTCTACTCGATTATCGAGGACGCAGCTGCTAGCGCGTTCCTTCCATCGGAAACTTATCCAAAGAAGGATAGTTGACGATATGCCAGCAGTTGCTCGACAAGTGTCTACATACGAGGTATTGAATATCCTACATGGAAATCGAATGTAAATTTAAGTTCCACCTCGCTGAGAAAGGTGTGAACTTTTCATCGCTTTCTTCCGCGAGTTATGGCGGCGCCCCCGAGCAATTCCCACTTTGGTCGGTCGGACTTTTGATCCGAGGGAAAATGATAGTGAAGCTTTACTCGGATTTGATTCGACCTGACATTTTGGGTAATCACAGAAGTGTTACGATCAAGTGATAGGATTTTATTTTAAATTCGCTGGGAAGCAATCAGAGCTGGATGAAATGATTTTCAATATCTATGTAAAATCAAAAGTGCAAAATAACTTTATAGAGTCCATTTAAATTGTACCATGTAAAATGGTTTTCTGTCTGATGGTGATAGGATTTTATTTTAAATTCGCCGATATGCATTGAACATATGTACAGTAGAAAGGAGTCTAAAACAAAGAATTACAAATAAGTAG